TTCCTCGGAATTATCCTGCATTTGAGCTTTGTGATCCTGTTGACACGATGAGAACATAAGGTATTCAATGGACTACAAGTTCCACACTGTAGACTTACAGCTTGACAGATGGGATCGAGCCTAAAATCCTTGCTCAAGATCAAATCTCATTATCATGAGTTTCCATCTGAGACTCAGCTTGACCAGCTAATGTTAGGAGTCTGTTCGTTGCCCGTTAAATTGTTATGGAACTTTACAATCTTCACCATATGCAGAAGCATACTCAAGTAGCGTCGGAGACTGATATCTTACCGATTGGGTGAAATGGAACAATCATGGGGATACTCTGCAGCTGCTTCTACCGCCGAGTTGACCCAATCCGACCCAAGAAACGTCTCCCGGCCTTCTAGGCCAAGAATGGGTGTCATGGCTGCAGGATTGATACTGATTGGGGTCATCTAGGGCAAGAATGGGACGACCCATTATGGACGATAAAGATATTTTCGACCCACTATTGGAAAATCAGGAGTACTCACCAATTTTATTTTTAAATAATTTAAATTTGACTATGTTTCCCAGATGTCCACATATTTTGAATGAGCTGATTATGTTTCTAATATTGTATGCACATGTAGTAGGGTCAACGTGTGGGCAAAGCCGAGTTCTTCAAAGGTTTGCCATGAAATTAAGCGTAATCTGAAAATTCTCCGACTGATACTGACTTCAATAGAAGCCTGAGGTCTGCAGATCCCGACAGCGAAGATATGGACGACGCCGGCGCCTCCATCGGGACATCACGCCCATCTCAACACTAATATTTTACTAGCACTCGTAGCCCGATTCTCCGCCGCACGATGCATGGTCGGTCGACTTCAAATCAACTGCCACCTCAAAAGGATGGGTGGGATATTTTCGTAAATTATCAACTGCCCTGGTCAAAACCTCTGTCAACCGATGAACTGACCGTATTAGCATCAGATCCACGGGCAGGTGTCATAGAAGCGCCATTAACCCAGCTGGCAGCACCTCCTCTCTTAAACCGCCACGTGGCCACATGACCTGGCCCGACGGTCGGTGTGCCGGTTAGAGCCGGGATGGAGTCGGTTTGACCGTAACCAGCTAGAGAATTGCATTTTATATTGAGTTACCACAATGTCTGGTAAGAGGAAATATTTCAATGGTCAGTTCCGTTGGCATTGTCAGATTGTCCTTGGAACATGCTTTTAGTCCTCGAATGCTTCCAATATTATGGGGTCTACTTGGACCACAACCGATGAAGGACATGGCACGATGCAGCAGCAGCAGTAGGGAGAGTGTGTGTTGGAATCTTCGTGTTTTCTGATAGAAAGCGAGGACCTTTCCACTCTCCTGTCTCCATATCAGCTCCCCGAGTTGCCACAAAGTGAACCTGCAGATTTCAACAATCCAATGTGCGACGGAGAAAAACCCGAGAAAATCCAAGAGATGACCACCGCGCTCGGTGCGGCGAGAATGTAGACATAGAAGATTGACAGAAAGAAAAGAAAGAAGAACAGGAGGGACGCGCAGTGGGAAAACGAGCCACCTCCCTCCTCACAAGACAGAAGCGAAAGTGTATCGACGATGACGACGGAGATTAAACGAACTTCGTCCCTCAGCTACGACCCTTGATCGATCAAGGAGAAGAGATCGAACCCCTTTTCAATCGAGATCTGGACAAGGGGTTTAGATTTTTATTTTGCCCAATGTTTAAACAAACGGAAGATCTATTCTAGGAATCTTTTCTGTTTCCTAGCACGGCGAATTTTTTTAAAGTTTTTCATCTAATCTAAGTTTTCTTCTAATATAAGATATGCATGGAGGGTGAGTTGCTGATTCCAACTGCGATGAAAAAGAAACAAGAGGGGGGGCGGAGGGCGGGAGTTATTCTGAAAAAGGTTAATTTTATTTGCGCGAACATCCAATTAGTACACTTGATAAACAGCTAAATGTCAATATGCTGGTCTTCGTATGTTTGGCCACTACACATATATACTCAATTCTACAACTACCCTAGGGCACCTTGTATTCATTCTAGTGGTAGGAAACCCTTAAATAGCAAACCCGTATACAGTCAAGTAGAAAGAAAGCTCTTACGAGTTTCCTTGAGGATTGAATCCTAGGTTGTGATGGTACAAGCTTCGCAGTTTTTGATGCAATAGTTAATCATAAATAATTGTTTATTTCCTCCTCTCTGCCCACATTAGTTGACTCTCTCTCTATCTCTCTCTCAAGAGAGAGATAGAGATGAGGAAATTAAAGAGGAACGTAGCGTTTCTGGGATCTTTTTACATCTTATGTTATCTAGTGATTACTGGAATCATTAAATACTTGACTTTGTCTCTTAGATCGCTCAAAGGTTTTATTATCTTTTTGTCGATGTTTTGACCATACGTTTTTTGCGCCATCGTGAATATATGGATTCAGATTCTTGAAAGCTAGGAAGTTTGATCATGAGAAGACAGTACAAATATGGGTCGACATGCTGCAATGGAGAAAAGAATTCGGAACAGATACAATATCGGAGGTAGGGACAACAATCACATCTCTGCCAGACAATCTCTTCGCATTTGAGCAATTCCTGTTTCATGTGGATGAGACTTTTTTATGCACGTAAAATCATTATTACATACCGGCTCACTTATGTAGATAATACCTTTGCCAATTTAGTCTTACAATTTTATCGAATAGCTTATATGTTATACTAGCTTTTAACCCTCTGGCTTTATATTTTTTAGCGTTTTCGAAGGTAGATACAAGAATCAGTGACCTTCCTTCATCCCACACTGAACTGTCACCCATCTGATGCTATTGTTCTAGAAATGCCGCACTATGATTCTAGTACTTTGCCAAACTCAGCAATGAGACCCTAGCGACCAGAACCTTGACAGAATTGATAGTGTGAATTTTGTTTGATCTCATAACTCTGCAATGCCATCTAAAACTTCGGAGCATAATTGGTTCGTATGGTTCTCTCCCCTATGGCTCATGTACTGATTAGATAGCCAACTCAGTACCTTATTATTTTACTATACATTGTTACGTCCATAAGAGGCTCTTCCCTCAGTGGAGTCAAGAACGTTGCCATGTGAAAGTTCTTTTTCGTTTTATTGTGCATGGAAGTGTAATTGAATAACATTTTCATTAGGACTGCATTTAGTTGAATCAAATTCTGTGTTTCCTTCTTCTTCCCGTCTTACCTGTTTCTCTACTTTGGGATGGACATTTGAGTTCTTCGTCATTCAAAGCAGAGTGAATAAATACTCTTTGCATCCTGTTTCTAAATCATATTTTCCTGCATAATCTGTTATTCTTCCATTTGCCCTCTGACATTGGATAAAACACTGAACTTGGCTGAAGGAATCTGAGTTTGAGGAGCTGCCAGAAGTTCTGCATTACTATCCCCAAGGCTGTCATGGCGTTGACAAAGAGGGAAGACCTGTCTATGTTGAGAGGCTTGGGAAAATTGAGCCTAAGAAACTCGTGCACCTAAACTAGCGTTTAATGCTACATAAAATATCATACACAGGAGTTTGACCGAGCACTTTGTTACAAGTTTCCTGGATCTTCAATCGCTCTTAAGAGACAGATTAGTTCGACCACCACTATACTTGATGTTCACGGCGTGGTATGCTTCTGGAGCTACCCATTTCTCAGATGTTCTCTTCGTACTTGGGATTTGAAGTATTGTAACCTTCTGTGAACCTCTTCTGAGGCATCTAAGTATATATTCTGTCCCTATTAGGGACTGAAAAACATCAGCAAGTCAGCAAGAGACCTTCTATTGACAATTCAGAAAATAGACGGGAACTACTGCAGTGAAATCATCTCAACAGCTACTATCCAGAGGTAACTGTTCCTACTAAATATGTATTGTTAAACAAATGGCGCTCTATCAAAATGGAGTTCTTCACCAGTTTTCTTGTTCTGACACTACGTCAGATGTTTATTGTCAATGCTGATCATGACTTCGAACTGCTTAGGAACACAGTAAAGAGATTTCTTGATCCCATGACTGCTTTAAAGATTCATGTCAGAATCTTAAGTCCCCCGTTCACGTCAAGCGCTTGTGTTGGTAGCCAAACGTGAAAAACCAGAAACCGTCTAATTACATATTTTTACTGATTAATGTTGATCTGTTTCTATTATATCTGATTATTTTTATGAGCTGCTGGTCCTATTTTTTTTAAGGTTGTCTTCTAATGAAAACTATATCCATATTATATCTGTTTCTATGATATCTGATTACTTTTACGTTGGCCAATGAACATGAGGGGTAATCATAAATATTTATCTCTGAGAAATAACCTTGAGATCCAAATTAAGAAAAGTCTAAATCATGGTGTAGTGTAGGTTTTAATTCCAAGGTTCAAGTAAACAGCAGAAGATCCTTAAAGAAGAGTATTGACTTGAAAATTAGTGAAAATCCCTAATCTGCCCAGTCAAGAAGCACATTAAGCAATTGAACGTCGGAGTGTATCATCATTTTAGAAAAATAGGAAAAAATATTATGAGCAATTGCAATGTCCCACGGAAATTTTGCCCTTTTGGAGATCAGGTAAAGAAAATTCAGAAGATGAGAGGAAAACAACAAAAATTGCATCCCATAGGAAAAAAGATTTAAGCGCATCTTTCAAGTTCACTCATTCCCTTAAAAAAAGGGGAAGGAGGAAAAGTGACTGCAGTGATCCATTAGTTTCAATGGAAGATGTGAGAGATGCAGAAGAGGAACTTATAGCACGGAATTTATTGGCTGAGAAACACGATAACTATCCTACAATGCTCAACAGATACCCCTCGGCGCCGCAGCACACATAGACGGCAGCTTCCACGCCTCTTACCACAGGGTTACAGAAATTACACGTGGACAGAGGACAATCCTGACCTTTAACTCCAACACGAGCATGTGACCATGTTGTAGAGGGAAATCACCAGGGTATTATGGCTACTTACTATACTCAATGCATCTATAGTGCCGGATTTTGGGTCAAACCTCTCCCCCCCTAAACCGGACAGGATTTCCATGATCTCGCTGAAAAATGCGACGAAGACGACTCTCCAATGACTGAAATGGTGATTGAAGATATGTGCCGGATTTTGGGCCAGTCCTCTTCCTCCATCCGAGCTCTAGAACAGAATTTAGGAGGCATATCCCACAAAGTGAGGTCCTTTAGACCAGTCATGTGTTGCAACTCATCCGGAAGCATGGCCAACCTTCTGCAATTGTATATCTTCAGGCTCCTCAGGCGGGACATGGCCCCAGCCTCAATTACCCACCTCTCTAACTCGTCTAGCGAATCAAGTACGAGGAACTGCAGTTGGGGGAACCCGCTGCTGGAGCAGATCATATCGTTTCCTGTGTAGGACGAAGGACCTAGATACAGATACGTGAGTTCAGGGAGGTTCTCAAGCGCTGCTATCGAGCCTCGATCCAGCCTGGTTCCACTTAGTATGAGTTCAGTGAGATTGAGGGGCCACTGGTTGCCGCAAGAACTAGGTTGCTGTGGCCCTGTCACTTCCCCTTTCAGGTATAAGACTTCGAGTGAAGTATATCTGGACGGTGTCCATACACAGTCTGGGATCGACACGCCTTCCAATATCAACTTCTTGAGATGGGACAACTTCGGTAACGAAGAAGACAGCGCGTCGTCATGACATCTTAAGATGCCTGTTAGTCCCAGCTCCCGGAGATTGGTAAGGGTCCCTAGGCAGCTATCTATCCAGCTCCCGGCCCGGACGAACTTAAGCACCTGCAAGTGTCTTAAGCCTGTCTCTACCATCTCCGGCTGCACTTCGGGAATGTGGACGTGCCGTAAGGCCTCGATCATCCACACAACTCTCGGTATCGTTTGGATCTCCGTACCAGACGTGTCCAAGCTTTGTAGATGACATAGTTTCCCCACTGAAGAGGGAAGCTTCCTTATCCTTGTCAATCTCAAGCACAAGAATCGAAGATGTTTCAGGTCTCCAACCTCTTCTGGCAGTACGGCGAGTGGTGCCCCCTCCAGATCGACGACTCTGAGCAGTTTCAGTTCTGGAATGGGGAAGCTTATAAGCCCCCTCCGGTGGGCATTGAACCACAATAAGGTGCGCAGTCTTGGGGTGGACTTCACATGGGAGACGTAGTCCTCCGCTCCCCCGTGAAGGGAAAGGCGCCGGACGGAGGAGTCCAGTCGGACGGCGTCTCGGTCGTCTGGGATCTGGCGGGAGACGAGGAAACCCACCTCCTTAGCCTCCGCAATTGTAAAATCGTGCAGCAGATCATGAATCCGGCAACTTCGGCGAGTTTTTGGCTTCTGTCTGATCATCGGGCTGCGGTATTCATCTTGCACAACTGTCACCATGCACCTCCGGACGAGCTCCTCCAAGTAACACTCTGCAGATTGTTCGAGTGTCTCTCCTGCTCTGTGCTCGATGAAGCCCTCCGCGATCCACAATCTGATCAGCTTGTTGATTCGAATGTCGAAGTCCTCTGGAAAAGAACTGAAATAAAGGAAACAACGCTTGAGGTGATGGGGCAACTCGGCGTAGCTCAACGCCAGTATATCCAAGCACAGTCGGCTTTCTTCGATGTTTTCCCAAACGATGGTCTCCGCGAGCCTCCTCCACTCCCGGAGCGACGGACCTTTCGTTGATAGCAGACCCCCAAGCACCACCAACGCCAGAGGCAGGCCCCCGCATTTCCTGGTGATCTGTTTTCCGACTTCCCTTAACGATTCTGAACAGACAGTTTCGATATCATCCTGATTCGGGAACGCCTTCTTGGAGAGTAGCTCCCAGCTCTCCTCCTCGGTTAGTAACCGCAGCTCGTGTGGAGGGATAGATGGGTCCGCAGCTCTGGCAACGTCGAGGGAGCGGGTGGTGATCAGCACCAGGCTTCCGTTCTCGTCGTCTGGGAGATGCGGATTGAGGAGTCTCCAAACCTGCTGGTCCCACACGTCGTCCATAACGATCAAGTATTTCTTCCCCCGGATGGTCTGGTAAAGCCTCTCCTCGCGTTTGTCCCTCGTCATTTTCTCGAGTTCCTCTTCTTCGAGCTCCGTGACCTGCCGAAGAAAGTCTCGAAGGAGATCCACAGCGGAGTACTGCTGGGAGACGTCGATCCACACCGAGTGATTGAACTCGGCTCGTGCTTCCTTGAAGACTCTCTTAGCAAGAGTGGTCTTGCCGAGGCCGCCCAATCCCACAATCGAGATCACGGACCGCTTCTTCCTGCTCTCGTTCAACAGATGCTCCAATATTCTGTTCTTCTCCTCGTCCATGCCGACCACATCAGCATCTGCGGCGTGGAGACGACCCGCCTCCGTTCTCGGACTGCCTCGTCGATCTGCCGCCGCGCCTCTCCCCCCAGGTTCTGGATTCCGTAGGTAGTTCTTCGTTCATTAATTTCGTGGATTTTGGCCTTTATGGCCTCGATCTCCTTACCGAATCGGCGGAGGATGATGAAATCACTGGGGCGAGGAAGGCAACACACAGTGATCCGGATGAAGCCCTCGCTCCGTCGTCGTCTCCGCTGGGCATCGAGGACGAAGCAATCGACGAGGTCCTCCGCCCGATTAGCGATTTCCCGCACATCCCTCACCCAGTTCTTCACCCTTTCGTCTCCCTTGCTCCTCGCGTCGGCGTCCTTCACGAAGCACTCCATCGCCCGGAGCTCGTCCTTGACCCATTCCACCTGATCTGTCACGTTATACAGGAAGACCGCTTCGTCGATGAGGATGTCACCGACCCGATTCACGACGTAGCTCAGAACAGCTTCCACCATCCCTCTCCTTCTGAGCCAGACCTGGAACTCTTCGCCGATTAGACTTTATTCCCTGCCCCTCTGGTTCAATAAGCGCCAAGGGAATATCATAACCCCACTCTTGCTACGAGGATAAAGAGGACTAGTCACCTGTCACGGTCAAGCACGCCTAACAATCTTTGGACTAGAAATTCTTAGGTGGGAGGTCAAATCAGGACATATACATCTAACGAAGCGAGTGTGAACAAAATTTTCAACAAAGTCAACGCCTTTTGCCAGCAAATGTTGACTAGGGATCTTTAATAGCCCCAGCCTTACCACGTTGTTTGAAACAGTACGTTCTTTTTTTTTTTTTAACTGGTTTGTCGTATTCCCTCTCTATTTCTCTCCCGACCGAGAGAGAGAGAGAGAGAGAGAGAGAGAGAACATAAAAGAGAGAAATGTAACGTTTCTAGGACTTTTTACATCTTATGTTGTCTAGTGACTACTGGACTCATAAAATAATTGACTTAGCCTCTCATATACCTCGAAGGTTTCATTATCTTTGTTTCCATGTTTTCTCCCCGTCGTGAATCTATGGATTCATATTCTTGAAAGCTAGGAAGTTTATCAAGAGAAGACGATCCAAATGTGGACCGACATGCTTTTTTGGAGAAAGGAATTCCGAACAGATACGATGTTGGAGGTTGGGACAACAATCACATCATTGCCAGACAATCTCATTGCTTTTCGGCAATCCTGTTCAGAACCGCTCCCGCCATCCGTCTCCTTCCCTCGCTTCCTCTCATCCCAATCTCGAATGCTTAGCCGGTCAGACTTCTCTCCCTTGTTGTTCCTCTGGTTCGATTCGATAAGACCCCTGGGAGCATGATAAACAAGATGCATCGTATTTGTTTTGAGAGGGAATCGACCTGATAGATCTGACCCACCGGCTTATGCCTGCTTCCTCGACTGGGCCTTATGTAAGAACGCAAAGTGAAGGTTTTTGCTAGATTTTGATCAGTTCTCTCCCTCTTACTTTAACTAGAACTTGGCTCAGGGAGCACACAGCGTTCCAAGATCCTGCAGGACAGCCAGCCCTCCAAACCTTCCAGAAGCATTGTCAACTCGTCGATCGTCAAGCTCCTTAGGCAGGGCACCGGCCCAAACTTCAACTCCCGCAGCTGGATTTTGATTAATCCACTACGGGAGTGGATCATCTGGTCTGCTTCGAAGGATCCATAATTCAAATCCAGGAGTGTGAGTTCAGGGAGGTTCTCGAGCACCGCCATCGAGACTCGATACCACGTCGGCGCATGACTGCCATGGCCTTGCCAAGGGAATGACGCCTGGACAACTGTAAACAGGCAAGGATCGACCTGCCTCTCGATTCTGCCGTGTTCACGCGCTACAACTTCGACAATGGCGAAGACATCTGCAACGAAGTCCTCCGCGAAAGGACAGGAATAAAGGAAGTACTAGGACAAATCGGCGTAGTCGCCCGTCTTCGTCCTGCTCCCAGACGACATGTCTTCGATAGCAGATCACAGACCACGAAGAGAGCCAGAGATCATGATTTAAGGACGCATTCCTTGTAAGGAGATCCCTTCTAACCTCGCTTAGGAACTGTAGCTCGTAGGGAGGGGACGATGAGTCGGCAGCTCTGGCAACGTCTGCGGAGGGACTCGTGATCAGCACCCTGCTTCCTTTTTTCGATGTCTAGGAGATGTGCTCTGAGAGTGTCCCTCATCTCTGAGAGAGCATCAATGACAATCAAGTATTTCGTCGCATGAAGGTACTTCTACTCCAACTTTCCCTGCTCATCTGCTCGAGTTTCTCTTTTCTGATCCCTAGGAGCTGCATTAGCTTATCCCGAAGGACCTCCAAAGCGCGATATTATTGGGATACATCAATTCACATAGAACAGTTGACGCGGCCCATCCCCACGATAAAACCGACGGACCGCCGATCTATGTCTCTCAAACAGATGCCACAAGATACTCTCCTTCTACTCTATGCCGATCACATTCATTATTGCGGTATGGAGATCGACTCGCCTCTGTTCCTGCACCCTCATCTCTCACTATGCTTCGTCGTATAGAAGACATGCCCCTCGGTCTTGGATGTCGCCGTTCTTCGCCTTTATCCATTTGTTCCGCAACGTGGGGGATGAACTCGACGAGGTCCTCCACCAGATAAGCGGTTTCCCTCAGTTCCTTTCCTCATTAAGATCCTAAAGCCTTTGGTCCCCCTTCCTCTTCAAACCGTCATTTTTCGTGGATGATACCATTGCCCGGAGCTCCTTCACCCACACACCACATTGTCCCGCATCTCGCACAGGAGACAGCTTCATGGATGAGGAAGTCATCAATGTATATATTTCACACTTTATGGTTTAGTTGTCATCCTGATTATATACATGCAAGATAAATCAAATTTTCGCAATTATTTCTGAGTCTTGTGAATGATAAACCTATCGGTTAGTTTGAGATTCATAACGTGAGTTGATCAACTTAATTTGTAAAATAAATAAATGAATGATTTATCCCCAATAATATATTAAATAAATATTTTATTAGACAAGTAAAATGAGTTTAGTTCACATAGGAACGCATAAAGTTTTTAGATTAGAGATCCTACATGTTCTTTGGTACCACACAGTTCATCTGACAGCCAGCATGGGTATTTATGTGGTCTGCTGTTCAGTTATGTTATTCATAACTTGTAATCCAAATCAGGTCAATGGGTTGACCACTACTGGTTCCGATCTCAAGGCGCACCGATCGTTAGTGATCGATCCATTTTCTGGAATGCCCCAGTGGAGAAATCGAGAAGGAATCGGCTCGGTTGAGAAATGGGCCTTGGGCCTAAATGGCCTTCACCAGACAGCTTCATTGTGAAGCCGTGCCTTCCGCCGAAGCAGGGAAAGATGCACCGTCTTCCGTGTCCAACCGAAGGATGATACACGGTTGCGGTCTGAACAAGAGCGGAGACCCACCCACCTCCGGCGGGCTTCCCGCATGCCGGCCGCTGCCCCAGTGGGCCTCGGTCCGTTCAATTGCTCTTCCTCCTGACCATCCCAATGGACCGTACGGCGGCGATCAGCGAGCGGCGCAGGCCGACAGTTCCGGTTCACTTCCCGCCGCCGCCACCAGCCGCCGTCTCCTCCGTTGGTCACCGCCACACCCCCCCCTCCTTCTCTAGTCCCAGCTCCCCGTGCCTGCGTCACGTCACTATTCTTCTTAGAGAACCCGATAGCTGCATGGCAGCTACCCCCTTCCAATCATATACTTGGTACAGATGTAACTATAAATGTTTGCGACGGATTTAAACGAAAGTTCCTGTGTGTTCGCCGTCGCGAAGTGTGTTATCCCTTCGTGTTCTTTTTCTTATGTGCCCCGTCGCGTACGCCGCCCGCCTTAATGGGCCCGGCCCAGTAGTCAAGCGATCCGTATAAAATAGCGATCGGCGGGGTCCAGTGTTCACGTGAACCGAGGAACACGTAGGAAAACATGGGCCCGCGGGGTCCACATGTTGCGTTATCTTTCTACCGTGGCGAGGGAGGACGAGACGGAGAACCACCTGGTCTGAATTACTTAAATGAGCTCGCGAGCCAACGGAACGGACGTTGACAATCCTCCCCAACTACGATCACAAGCCCCCGACAATTCGGATTGAGGAGTGGTTTGAATGCGACTAAGACGGTGGGGAGGGAGGTTAGCAGATATGGCGGGGCCCCACCATTGATCAAACAAAGGCTCACATTAAATGCGTACGCGTAGAAACTAAAGACGGTATTCAAGAGACTAACAGTTCCACGACTGCTGCCTTGCATTTTCACAGATTGGATAAACCCTAAAACCCTAACTCGAGATCAAATCCCATTATCGCGAGCTTCCAACAGAGGCCAGCTAATGTTAGCAGTCTGTTTGTTGCCCGTTCTATTGTTCTGGGCCTCGTAGTGACCTTAAAATCATCGCTATATGCACAAGCATGGCGAGGAACAGCTACCACATGATACAAGCGGAGTGGACGAATCAACTGGACTGAAGAAGCCGCAGTCAGAGCTTAATCTTACATCAGCTCGGAGAATATAATCATGGGAAGGTTCGCAAAAAGAAGAAAGAACAACAGAAAGGACTCGAAGGGGGAAAACGAGCCCCCTCCCTCCTCACAGGACAAAAGCGAAAGTGCATCAAAGACGATGACGAAGATTAAAAGACCTTCGTGGCTCACCCCCCCTCTTCCGCCTCCCGGAACCACCCTTCCTCCCTTCTCATATTATGCTTACATACTTCGCACAGTGCATCCATCCTCCGGGATTAAGAAGGATCCTCCAATGGCTTCAATGATGATTGAAGGTATGTGCCGGACTTTGGGCCAGTCCTCTCCCCCATTCCGAGCTCTAGAACAGAATTCAGGGGGCATATAACGCAGAGTGAGGTCCTTCAAAGCAGTCATGTGTTGCAACCCTTCCGGAAGCAGGGCCAACTTTCTGCATCCGTAAATCTTCAAGCTCCTCAGGCGGGGCATAGTCCCCGCAACAGCTACCCACCTCTTTAAATTCTCCAGTGAATCAAGTACGAGGTGCTGCAGTTGGGGGAACCCCCCACGGGAGCAGATCATCTGCTCTCCTGTGTAGGACAGAGGACCTAGACGCAGATATGCAAGTTCAGGAAGGTTCTCGAGGGTCCCTATCCAGTCTTTACCCAGCTTGGTTTCCAAAAGTATGAGTTCAGTGAGATTTGGGGGCCACTGGATGCCGCCAGAAGTTGCTAGCCTTGACCTCTTCGTTCTGTATAGGCAAGGTCTCCATAGAGAGGTTGGGTGCGACCATCCAGCCAAGGTCAACTTCTTCAGCCATGACAACTTTGGTAGCGAAGATGACAGCGCGCGATGATGATAGCGATCGATGCCTGTTATTTCCAGCTCCCGGAGACTGGTAATGGTCCCTAGGCAGTTATCTATCCAGCTCCCGGCCCGGACGACCTTAAGCACCTGCAAGTTTCTTAAGCCTACCATCTCTGGCTCCAGTTCATCGGGAACGAGGACGTGCCGTAACCCCTCGATCTTCCACACAGCCCTCGGCATCGTTTTGATTTGCGTGCACATCGCGTCCAAGAATTGTAGATGACGAAGTTTCCCCACTGAAGACGGTAGACTCATTATCCTTGTCCTTCTTAAGCCCAAGAATCGAAGATGGATCAGCTCTCCAACCTGTTCTGGAAGTATGATGAGTGGTGCCCCCTCCCTCCGAAGGGAATTGAACCACAACAAGGTTCGCACTCTTGGGGTGGACTTCACAAGGGAGGCGGAGTCCGCAACCCCGTTAAGAGAAAGGCGACGAACGGAGACATCCAGTCGGGAGGCATCTTGGTCATCTGAGACCCAGCGGCAGACGGTGAAGCCCACCTCCTTAGCCTCTGTAATGCAAAAATTGTGCAGCAGATCATGGATCCGGCATCTTTGATTTTCTTCCACGGCATCTTGCAAAACTATCACCATGCATCTCCGGACGAGTTCCTCCAGGTAAGCCTCTGCCGATTCTTCGAGTGTTTCTCCTGCTCTGTGCGCGACGAAGCCCTCCGCAATCCACAATCTGATCAGCTTGTCGACTCCAATCTCACAGTTTTCTGGAAAAGAACTGAAATAAAGGAAACACCACTTCAGGTCATGGGGCAAGTCGGCGTAGCTCAACGCCAGTGTATCCAAGCACAGTCGGCCTTCTTCGCTGTTTTCCCAGACGATGGTCTTCGCGAGTCTCCTCCACTCCCCGAGTGACGGACCTTTCATCGACAGCAGACCGCCGAGCATCATCAGTGCCAAAGGCAGGCCCCCGCAATTTCGCGCGATCCGTTTCCCGACTTCCCTCAACTCTTCTGAACAGACTGCTTCGATATCCTCCTGATTCGGGAACGCCTTCTTGGAAAGGAGCTCCCAGCTCTCTTCCTCGGTTAGAAACCGCAGCTCGTAGGGTGGAGTAGATGTGTCCGCAGCTCTGGCAACGTCGACGTCGTGGGTGGTGATCAGCACCCGGCTTCCGTTCTGGACGTCTGAGATATGCGGACTGAGGATTCTCCAAACCTGCTTGTCCCACACGTCATCCATGACGATCAAGTATTTACCCGCCTCGAAGGTCTGGTAAAGCATCTCCTCGCGCCTGTCCCTTGTCATTCATAGCGGAGTACTGCTTGGAGACGTCGATCCACACCGAGTGACTGAACTTGGCTCTTGCTTCATTGAAGATTCTCTTAGCAAGAGTGGTCTTCCCGAGGCCGCCCATCCCCACAATGGAGACCACCGACCTCTTCATCCTTCTCTTGTGCAACAGATGGTCCAGAATTCTTTGCTTCTCCTAGTCCATGCCGACGGGGTCAGCATCTATGGCATGGAGAACGACCCGCCTCCGTTCTCGGACTGAGTCATCGATCTGCCTCGTCGCCTCTCCGCCTAAGTTCTGGATTCCGTAGGTGTCTCTTCGCTCAGTGATATCGCGTATTTTGGCCTTTATGGCCTTGACCTCCTAACTGAACTTGTGGAGGACGATGAGGTCGAGAGGGAGGCAAACGCCGGATACAGTGGTATGGATGACTCCTTTGCTCCGTCGTCGCCTCTGCCGGGCATCTAGAACGAAGGACTCGACGAGGTCCTCCGCCCGATAGGACGATTTCCCTCACATCCCTCACCCAGTTCTTCACCCTCTCGTCCCTCTTGCTTCTCGCCTCGGAGTCCTTCAGGAAGCACTGCATCGCCCGGAGCTCGTCCTTGACCCACTCAACCTGATCTTTCACTTCGTACAAGGAGACCGCCTCATCAATGAGTAAGTCGCCGACCCGATTCACGACGTAGCTTAGCACCGCTTCCGCTATCCTTCTCCTCTCGCCTCCTCTCAGCTATATTTGGAATGATTACCCGATCAGACCTCAAATTCGTTTAGAGGAGAATTTATGGTGAAGATCAGACTAATGAAAACTGAATCGACTCAAGAGGAGTCGGTATATGTCAACATTCGTTTCACAGTAAACATGGTTAAGGCGAGAAATTCGTGCTTTGGAGTCAATCACCATATCTCACGAAGCGTGTGTCAACGAACTGCTCAACTCAAGCGGGTGTCTTGAGTATAATGAAAAAATTTAAAAAGGTTTAACAAGAGAGCCGATTAACTGTCCCTATCATGTCGTAGTACCTGCCAACTAACTATTTACTAAAGCCAACTGTTTACCTGCAAGGGCATGACATGTTGCCTAAAATGAGGTGATTTTTAAGTTTCATACCGTTTTTGTATTATTTTCATAGTATAAAACATTGAGGACTTTATTTTCATTAAAAAAATTATTTGGTAAAAATTGTGAACTTGCGAGATTGAACGACCTCAGCCTGACTACGTAATTTGAAACAATATTCTATTAGATGACCAAATTGATTATTAAACAAGCAAACTAGTTTTTGCTAATAATAGATAACGAATTTGGCCCTTAGATATTTTTAAGGACCAATGTTTGAATAATATTCTTAAATGTGAAAAGAATAATCTGGTCTTTATGATTCTTAGACATAGCTGGCTCAAGCTGGCTGGCTATGACTATGAATAACAACTAGATGCCATTATGTCGTAGTACCTAATTGTTGGCCTTTTCAAAGCGAATTTATATAGTGGTGGTAACCGAACAATTATCAATTTTGACACAGCATGAAATAGCTTTTAGTTGAAATACCCGTCATTGTGTATTCGATAATGAAGCATGAAGGGCAAAATAGATTTCGACATCATATTGCACTCAAGGCGATGGAATAAATAAATAAATAAAAATTAAGCAGAGGACCAACGAAATGAATGGACGACTAGTTCCTTCATTTTCTTTCTGAAATTGTATTGCGAACGAACATGTTCATTGCAGTTGAAGTCCTTCCTTCGCTGCCGCCTCCGGTCCGCATCCAGCAATCAAGGAATCAAAAATGTCCTCCACCCGATAAGCGGTGTTTCTCGCATCTCTCACCCAGTTCCGCATGCTCCGGAGAACATCTGCGGAACAGAAGCTGGCTTCTTCGTCCGGGAGGTCGATGATCCGTTTCACGGCGTAGTTCAGAACCGATCCCGCGATCTCTCTCCTTCTCATGCCTCCCCTCTGCCGGCACTATCGGGAATGCTGAGCCAAAGGGAAACGACAGGCTTCGTCTCTGCCGATGACCTCCCCGCCAAAACTACCCGTCACTGTTGACGGGTTCCATTCTTCAACAGGTTGCTAAATGGGCCTCAAGCGAGGAAAGAAATAGTATGGGCTTCTTCCAAAAGGTTGTCAAAGGAGTTGCATCTCATGAATTATCAAATGGGTTTAACACTAGGATAAGATTTGAAACGACTTATAATCTAGATGGAACGATTAAATAGGCTCATCACGTGTATAAATTGAACTTGACAATTGAACGAGCCATTTCATCACAATTAAATGGCCTTCAGCTAGAAACTTGACAATTTTTCATTCCATAGGCAGGAGGATGTGCGTTAGCTTAGAAAATCATTTAAATGCATTTCGTTTCATAAAATTACAAATAATCTAAACTTCAACTATTGAGTGGGTTTTGGATCAAAACACTATCAAATGGCCTTTCATTCCATCAATTATCAAACGGTGTCCTTTCATAAAGTCACCAAATGATTTTATATCCGACCCCATGAATAACCTTAGGTCTTACACATCCAAAATTTGAGCATATTCTAATATGAAATCAGCTAGTGGCATTTTATATTATGGGGATGTGTGGAGAAAGCTTGCCTCAGATCTATAATGGGTGCATTGATCTAACTCCATGTTGAGTGTGGAGGAGCTCCAAGGGGAAGCGCCCCCTCAAGAAAATTTCAATTAGGGGCAATTATGTTAGTGTCCCTAGGTGGTCGCCCTAATCTTTTCATATAAAATGGCGCAACCACTGCCATTGTAAGTAGGATAGGGTGAGAAGATGAATCATGAGTAGAGGGAAGAGGATGGAAGGAATAAAAAAGATGAAGATATCAACTTCTAACCCTAAGTGAGCAGACCACTCACTCACCCAAGCCCCTAATACTTTTTATTAACACTAATTGTAGAGACTATTGATAATAGTTTATTTATATTGTATAATATGGATTATGTGTATATGCTTTGATTATATTTGGTAAGCATAATACCATGAATTCAATATATGATGTCATTATTATGATTTGATCAATTCCCATGTAATAGTCATGAATTATGCTTAAAATGTGATTTATAAACTTGGCACATTATAAACAATAAGTTTTCATATGGATTATTGGTTGAAATTTTGTCTTGAACATATAAGAAGTGGTGAACAAAAATTAAGAATTGTTTAAGATTTATTTAGATGATATTCAGAATTTTTAAAGATAAAAAATAAAAGTTTTATTCATTATGGACTTATATCTAATTTTATAATGAGGGGGACGTTTTATATTTAGTGAGATGTCATTTGATCTCACGTGAGATTAAGTGGCAGGGGGCCTTTTAAGTATCTCACGTAAGTCTTACTTAAGCACCTTCCTATTTAATTTGAATTAATTGTAGGAAATGAAGGAGAAGGTGGTGTTACAAAATCAAAACTACCAAAGAAAGAAAGGATGGCTGGCCTGATTCAGGGGACATAATTCGTCCCCTGAATCATATATTGGTGAGTTAGTTTGAGATCACACAACGTGAGTTGATCAAATAATTATACGAAAACATAAGTAAAGAACTGTTTTAGTCCGTATGATAAATAAAAGAAATAATCATTAAAATTTGAATATGAGTTTACGTCACCTAGTAACTCATAAAAATACGAGAACACAGATCCTACATCGTCTTTGCTACAACACAATTCATCTCCCACACAGTTTCGTGTGAGGATGTATGCGGCCTTCCCTGCGATGTAATCCGAAGCAGGTCAATGGGATCGATCGTTGGCGATCGAACCATTTGCTGGAAAGCCGTCAAGAACCGAAAAAGGAATTGGGTTGGTGGGGAACTCGGGGGACCGAATCTCTCGGACCCAGAACGGTCCCGCCGGATCAACGAAAGTTCCAGGAACAGACGGACGAAGCCGTCTGTACGAAGAAGGGACTCCTCAGGAAGGCAAGAACGAATAATTAGGCGGAGGATTATCCGGACTCCTCCGGAAGGCAAGGGAGGATAATGCGGCGGAGATTATTCCTCTCTCCCTCTATAAAAGGGAGGGTACTTGGCTCTATGAGAGCAAGAAGGAGAAGAGAAGAGAAGGAAGGGAAGCTTTGGACGAGAGAGGTCTCGTCGGAGGTGTGGGGAATTCTCGAGGAGGAGACGGATGTACGGGTGGCACGCGCCCTGTTGATTACAGACCCACTTTTCGCCCCATCCGTATAAATGGCGATAGACTGGGGAGCGACTGTTCACGTGACTCGAGGAGTAAAAACGTACGAAATTGTTTCCCGCGTCAGCTTCTACTGTCGACGGGGTCCAACAAAACCAGGTAATGAGCTGTGATGGAGGACGAGACAGAGGCCCCATGGTCCACATTACTTAAATGAGCTCGCGAGATAACGGAACGGATGGTAACAGTCCTCCCCAACTACTATGACAAGCCCCTGAGACCTTGGAGCGATTACGGACGGCGGTGATTATTAGTCAACTGAAGGTAGATGACCTCGTGGTGGGGAGTGACGGTCCTGAGATTTCGAACGCTCCGCCGCTGAGCGTGTTTGCCGGCGGCGCGGATCTTACCGGAACGAACCGCAAATCAAAACCAAAAACACTCCCATATTTGCGCCTGCCCAAGAGACGGAGAATCTGTGGTCTCTATAGATCTTTTGGCAGAAATCCATCCATCCATCCATCCGTCCGTCCGTCCGTCCGCCTGAGAGTCAGTTACTTACCAAACGCCAGTTACTTAGCAGCTGGCACATAACACAAGCGAAGAGGACGAAATAGCTCGACTGAAGGAGCCGCAGTCAAAAGCTTAATCCCACATCAGCTCCCCGATCAGATTTTCACAAATCCAAAGCGTGACGAAGACAAAAAACCCAAGAAGACAAAAGAGAAGGAACAACAGGACGGACGCGCAGGGGGAAAACGAACCCCCCAACTCGTGAACTGCCACGTGGCATTTACTGTGACGTGCGATGAAGTTTCCCCCTTTTTATTAAAGACACCCCCACAATAATCGAATAAATGACATTATGGAAACCTATTTTAATACAAGATGTTACCTCATTTGATAAATTATTCGACTCAAATGGCAAAATCTCTTCGTTCAGAAGAGAATAATAGAAGTTTTGGGCCCATGGATTTGAACAGAATGATGATCGTTAAGCATAGTATAGAACTGAGGAGAGATCTGTCTCAAGAACGTGGAGAGAGACAGATAAAGATTTATTCTCCAGAACTGAGTAGGGGACCAACAGATTGATAAAGTCGCGGTGATTTAACGATATCGGCCCGTTGACTGATCCAAACCCAATCACCAGCATTTCACTATAAGCCTTTGACTCCTAGGTCACAAATCTAAAAGGCTTTGAAATGGTGCTTGACATTGGTTCAGTCCTCTTCCTCCTTCCGAATTTTAGAGCATAATTTAGGTTGCATACGAAACAGAGTTAGGTCCTTCAAAGCAGTCAAGTGTTGGAACCCTTCCGGAACCATCGCCAACTTTCTGCAGTTGCTGATCCTCACGCTCCTCAGGCGGGACATGGCCCTCGCCTCAGCTACTGACCTCTCTAACTCGTTCATAGAAAGTAAGAGGAACTGCAGTTGGGGGAACCCGCCGCGTGAGCAGATCATCTCTTTTCCTGTATAAGCCCCATCACCTATACACAGATATGAAAGTTCAGGGAGGTTCACGAGCGCCGCTATCAAGTCCCCATCCAGCCTTGTGTTAAGTAGTATGAGTTCGGTGAGATTGGGTGGCCAATGGTCGCCACCAGAACTTGGTTGTTGTGGCCTTCTCACTGGCCCGGACAACCATAAGACTTCAAGGGAAGAAAAGCTGGTCGACGTCCATAGACAATCTGGGATCGACATGCCTTCCAAGAACAACTTCAGGCCAGACAACTTCGGTAGCGAAGACGACAGCGCGTCAACGTGACAGTCTTTAATGTCTGTTAGTTCCAGCTCCCGGAGACTGGTAAGGGACCCTAGGCAGCTATCTATCCAGCTCCCGGCCCGGACGACCTTTAGCACCTGCAAGTTTCTTAAGCATACGTCAACCATTTCCGGCTCCACTCCTGGGGGAACGAGGACGTGCCGTAAGGCCTCGATCTTCCACACAGGACTTGGCATCGTTTTGATGTCCGTCCACAACACATCCAAGAACTGTAGATGACGCAGTTTCCCCACTGAAGATGGAAGACTCATTATCTTTGTCCTTTTCAAGCCCAGGAATCGAAGATGAACCAGGTCTCCAATTTGTTCTGGTAGTACCGCAAGTGGTGCCCTCTCTAGGTCGATAACCCTGAGGAGTTTCAACGTTGGAATGATGGGGAAGCTTATAACCCCTCTCCGATGGGAATTGAACAACAAGAAGGTGCGCAGTCTTGTCGAGAACTTCACATGGGACACGTAGTCTTGTGCTCCACCGTAAAGAGACAGGCGCCGCACAGAGGAATCAAGTCTGGAGGCGTCTTGGTCGTCCGGGATCCGGTGGCAGACAAGAAAGCCCACCTCCTTAGCCTCTGCAACGGTAAAATCGTGCAGCAGATCATGGATGCGGCATCTTTGCGAGCTTTTTGGGATATATCTGTTCATGGGGTTGGCGTATTCATCTTGCACAACTATCACCATGCATCTCCGGACGAGCTCCTCCAGGTAACCCTCCGCAGATTCTTCGAGTGTTTCTCCTGCTCTATGTTTCACAAAGCCCTCCGCGATCCACAATCTGATCAGCTTCTCGACTAAAATCTCGAAGTCCTCTGGAAAAGAACTGAAATAAAGGAAACACCACTTTAGGTGATGGGGCAAGTCGGCGTAGCTCAGCGCCAGAATATCCAAGCACCGTCGGCCTTCCTCGCTGTTTTCCCAGATGATGGCCTTCGCGAGTCTCCTCCACTCCCCGAGTGACGGACCTTTCATCGACAGCAGACCGCCGATCACCACCAGTGCCAAAGGCAGGCCCCCGCATTTCCTCGCGATCTGTTTCCCGACTTCCCTCAACTGTTCCGAACAGACTGCTTCGATATCCTCCTGATTCGGGAACGCCTTCTTGGAGAGGAGCTCCCAGCTCTCCTCCTCCGTTAGAAACCGCAGGTCGCAGGGAGGAGTCGTTGAGTCCGCAGCTCTGGCAACGTCGACGTCGCGGGTGGTGATCAGCACCCGGCTTCCGTTCTCGGCGTCTGGTAGATGCGGACTGAGGATTCTCCAAACATCCTTGTCCCACACGTCGTCCATGACGATCAAGTATTTCTTCCCCTGGATGTTCTGGTTAAGCTTCTCCTCACACTCGGCCCTCGTCATTTGCTCGAGTTCCTTTACTGCGAGTCCCGTGACCTGGCGAAGAAATTCTCGGAGGAGATCCTCCGCGGAGTACTTTTGGGAGACAACGATCCACACCGAGTGGCTGAAATTATTTCTTGTTTGATTGAAGACTCTCTTAGCAAGAGTGGTCTTCCCGAGGCCGCCCATCCCCACAATGGAGATCACCGACCGCTTCTTCCTGCTCTCATCCAATAGATGGCTCAGGATTCTGTTCTTCTCCTCGCCCATGCCAACCAGATCAGCATCTGCGGCTTGGAGAACGACCCGCCTCCATTCCCGTACTGTCTCGTCAGCCTGTCTCCTCACCTCTGTGTCCAGGTTCTGGATTCCGTATGTGTTTCTTCGTTCATTGATTTCGTGGATTTTGGCCTTTATGGTCTCGACCTCCTTACCGAATTGGTGGACGACGACGAGGTTGCAGGGGAAGGGAAGACAACACACAGTGATCCGGGTGAAGCCCTTTCTCCGTCGTCTCCTCCGCTGGGCATGGAGGACGAAGCAATCGACGAGGTCCTCCGCCCGATTAGCGATTTCCCGCACATCCCTCACCCAGTTCTTCACCCTTTCGTCTCCCTTGCTCCTCGCGTCGGCGTCCTTCAGGAAGCACTCCATCGCCCGGAGCTCGTCCTTGACCCACTCCACCTGATCTTTCACTTCATAAAGGAAGACCGCTTCATCGATGAGGAAGTCGCCGACCCGTTTCACCACGTAGCTCAGAACCGCTTCCGCCATCCCTCTCCTCTCGCCTCCGCTGAGGCAGATCTGGAATGGTTACCAGATGCAAATCTTCTCTGCTCTACGTCTGGTTCGATAGGTGCCGAGGGCACATCATAAACCCAATAACTTGGGGATAAATTCTCTGATATTGAAAACTGAATAGAATAAACAGTAGTTATATGTAACGGTCGGGCCACAGTAAACAAGCATCAGGCAAGAAATTTGCGGTGTGAAGTCGATCAGCACATACACATCTCACTAAGTGCGAGAGAAAAAAATTGGGGGCAAAAGTCAGCGCCTCTTTGCTGACGTGTCTTGCCAACAATAAATAATGTTTAAAAATTATATGTTCATCAAGAGAGGCGGTTAACTGTCCCAATCAAACGCTCATACGTGAGGACAATGGGCATTTATTGATGAATAGAATGCCAGCAAGATCTTACTAAATCCAATTTTCTTTTGTAAAATGTGTGACATTGTTACCTTAAATACAATGACTTTTATGATATTTGATAATATTTTTATGCTATGTAAATGCAAAAACATTTAACTTACTTGTTCTGGTGGTTCCTTGACGCTCGCCGCCTCAGATTGATTCCTCTGAGCAGTTTCAGCCCTTCTACAAGGAAACCCGCGGGCGGTCGCGGGGTGGGGATGCAGCTCAGAAGCGAAGTCCTCCATTCCCCCGTGAAGGGAAAGCAACCGATCTCCGTTGTCTCTGATATATACAGAGTCGAGCTGAAAATCATCGATCGCCCAGATTGACGCTGGCCACTCAACTCTAGAACCACCCTGGGGGCACCTTTTATTACTTCTAGTGATAGGAATCTCTCGCATTCAGTATACTAGAAAAAGAATCTTAGGATTCTTATGATTTCCTTGAGGGCTGAGTCCTTGGTTGTGATGGTGCAAGCTTTGCGGTTTTTTATGTATAATTAGTCCCCGATAAATGTTCAAATAGAGCAAAAAAGACTGGATCTGCATATTAATTATTTGAAAATATGAATCTTTCACAGTTTTTCTTTGTTGATAATTGCTTGAAAAACCCGGTGAAGATAAAAATATATAAAAATAAATAAAGAAGTAAATTCATGTTGCAGAATCGGTCCTCAAACATCTTTTTACCTTAACTGGGTTGGCGCGCCGATTAACCGATCCGGACCTAATCGCCTCTCCTCCCCTGCCGGCAGCAACCCTTCGAGAGCCCCCTGGAGGGCCATCACGGACTGCACTGGGCCGAGTAATTTCCGAGTCTACTACGGATCTGGAATGTAGATTGAAGGTATGTGCCGGATTTTGGGCCAGTCCTCTCCATCCTCCCGGACTCTAGAACAGAAGTCAGGGGGCATAAAGTGCAGAGCGAGGTGCTTCAAAGCAGTCATGTATTGCAACCCTTCAGGAAGCATCACCAGCTTTTTGCAGCCGTAGATCTTCAAGCTCCTCAGGCGGGACATGGCCCCAGCCTCAACCACCAAACTCTCCAACTCCAGTGCAGCAAGCGCGAGGAACTGCAGTTGGGGGAACCCACCGCGGGAGCAGATCATCTCGTTTCCTGTGTAGGACCCACTGTATAGAGTCAGAACTGCAAGTTCAGGGAGGCTCTGGAGCGCCGATATGGAGCCTTGATCCAGCTTGGTGCCACTTAGTGAGAGCTGGGTCAGGTTGAGGGGCCACTGGACGCCGCCAGAACCTGGTTGCTGCGGCTTCGTCAGCTGTCCCTTCAGGGATAGGACTTCCAGGGAAGCAAAACTGGACGGTTTCCAGAGACAGGCTGGGATCGACGCGCCTTCCAGTCTCAACTTCTTGAGGTGAGACAGCATCGGTAGCGAAGACGACAGCGCGTCATGATGATCGACTTTGAGCCCAGTTAGTTCCAGCTCCCGGAGACTGGTAATGGTCCCTAGGCAGCTTTCTATCCAGCTCCCGGCCCGGACGACCTTGAGCACCTGCAAGTTTTTTAAGCCTGGCTCCACCATCTCCAGATCCACTTCTTCGGGAACGTCGACGTGTCGTAAGGCCTCGAGCTTCCACACAGATCTCGGCATCCTCTCGATCCGCGTCCACTGCACGTCCAAGCACTGTAGATGAGGAAGGTTCCCGACTGAAGATGGAAGTCCCCTTATCTTTGTCCATCTCAAGCCCAAGTATCGGAGATGGACCAGGTCTCCAACTTGTTTTGGAAGTACGGCGAGTGGTGCCCCCTCCAGATCAATGACCCTGAGCAGTTTCAGCTCCGGAATGGTGAAGTTTACAACCCGCCTCCGTCGGGCATTGAACCACATCAAGGTGCGAACTCTTGGGGTGTACTTCACGAGGGAGACGTAGTCCTCTGCTACCCCTGCGTGCAGAGAAAGGCGCCGCACGGTGGAATCCGGTCGGGAGGCTTCTTGATCTTCTGGAATCCGGCGGCAGACAAGGAAGCCTACCTCCTTGGCCTCTGCAATGGAAAAATCGCGCAGCAGATCATGGATCCGGCAGTCTTGCCAACTATTATTACCATGTTGCACAACTGTCACCATGCACCTCCGGACGAGCTCATTCAGGTAACCCTCTGCGGACTCTTCGAGTGTTTCTCCTGCTCTGCGCTCCACCAAGCCCTCCGCTATCCACAATCTGGTCAGCTTCTCGATATAAATCTCAAAGTCCTCTGGAAAAGAACTAAAATAAAGGAAACAACACTTCAGGTGATGGGGCAAGTCAGCGTAACTCAGCGCCAGTATATCCAGGCACAGCCGGCCATCTTTGATGTCTTTCCAGACGATGGTCTCCGCAAGCCTCCTCCACTCCTTCAGTGACGGATCTTTCGTCGACAGGAGACCGCCGATCACCACCAGCGCCAGAGGCAGGCCCCCGCATTTCCTCGCGATCTGTTTCCCGACTTCCCTCAACTGTTCAGAACAGACTGCATCGATATCCTCCTGATTCGGGAACGCCTTCTTGGAGAGGAGCTCCCAGCTCTCCTCCTCGGTTAAAAACCGCAGCTCGTGGGGAGGAGTCGTTGAGTCCGCAGCTCTGGCAACGTCGATGGAGCGGGTGGTGATCACCACTCGGCTTCCGTTCTTGGCGTCTGGGAGATGCGGACCAAGGATTCTCCAAACATCCGTATCCCACACGTCGTCCAACATTATCAAGTATTTCTTATCCATCAAGTCCTGGTAAAGCCTCTCCTCGCGTTTGTCCCTCGGCATTTTCTCTTGTTCCTCTCCTCCGAGCCCCGTGACTTGCCGGAGTAAGTCTCGAAGGAGATCCTCCACGGAGTACTCCCGGGAGACCACGATCAACAACGAGGGACTGAAATTGGCTCTGACTTGATTGAAGATTCTCTTAGCAAGAGTGGTCTTCCCGAGGCCGCCCATCCCCACAATGGAGACCACGGACCGCTTCTTCCTGCTTTCGTCCAACAGATGTTCCAGGATCCTGTTCTTCTCCTCGTCCATGCCGACCAGATCTGCATCTGAGGCGTGGAGAACGACCCGCCTCCGTTCCCAGACTGTATCGTCGATCTTCCTGGTCGCCTCTTCCCCCAAGTTCTGAATGCCGTAGGTGATTCTCCGTTCATTGACGTCGCGGATTTTGGTCTTTATGGCCTCGATCTCCTTACCGAATTGGTGGAGAACGATGGAGTCGCTAGGGACGCAAACGCAGGACAATGCGGTCTGGACGAAGCCCTCGCTCCGTCGTCCCCTCCGCTGGGCATCGAGGACGAATGATTCGATGAGATCCTCCGCCCGACAAGCGATTTCCCTCACATTTCTTACCCAGTTCTTCACCCTTTCGTCCCCCTTGCTCTTCGCGTCCGCGTCCTTGAGGAAGCACTCCATCGCCAGAAGCTCATCCTTGACCCACTCCACCTGATCTTTGACTTCGGACAGGAAGACCGCTTCATCGAGGAGGAAGTTGCCGACCCGATTCACGACGTAGCTCACAACCGCGTCCGCCATCCCTCTCCCTCTCTCATCTCCTCTCAGTCAGATCAGAATCCTCACTTTCAATCCTCGATGCGCCGTGATCAGTTCCAGCTTTTCCGCACAAAAAGATAAGGTCTAGGCTGGCTTCGTCTCCGGCGGGGCCGGCCGTGCCAACCTGTGATGTCTCTTCCATTGCCACACCTACTCGTTACTCTCGACGGGTTCAATCCATCCCATGTGCTACTAAATGGGCTTCAAGCTAGGAAGATGTATAGAATGGGCTTCTTCCAAACCCTGGTCAAAGGAGTTGCACCTCATGAATTATCAAATGGGTTACACACTAATCGAAGGTTTCAAAAAAATTTAAACCCAAATAAAAATATTAAACGGAGTTCTTCACATTGACCATTGAACGGGTTTTGGCTCAAAATGCTATAAAATGGCCTTTCATCCTATTGATTATCATATGGGCTTCTTTCCCAATCCCACTAGATGGGTTTAAATGAAATCCCAATGATAATCTACGGACTTAGACTCGTATCTAAATTTGAACATGTTACAAGATGACATGAAAGTTTAATATTTTTTTAGCATTGTTTTTACAAATTATTGATCAGTGTTCTCTCTTCAAAAGGATGTATTGTGAATAATTGACTAGATTTTACGCCTCTTAGCTAGCTTCAAATACTTTATGGAAATATTCCTCTTGTTTTCACGATTATAGGAACATATATCGATTTTATGTTTTGATTCATCTATGGATTCTCCAGGAAATTTTCATGAATTTAGAAAATGAACTTCTTGGTCAAATTGTGGAATTTTCTTGGTTTTTGACTTTCTAAACTGACATGCAGCGTAGGTGATTATTTATCAATAACGTTCCGTCGATCTGCCCAAGCCCAAGCACCCCTTCGAGAGCCCCCTCGCGGGGACGAGCTTTCTTCAACAGATCCAACTTACAGAAGAATAGATCAGATTTTCCTAAATAGACTTAATGCCCGCTAACCAGATCCCCACAATGGAGACCACCGACCGCTTCTTCCAGCTCTGGTCCATCAGGCCATGCAGACCAGACCAGCATCTGCGGCGTGGAGAACGGCCCGCCTCCGTTCCCCGACTGTCTCGTCGACCCACCTTCCGGGTAGGGAAATGTATATAAAGGGCGTCTTCCAAACGGTGGTCGAACGAGTTCCATCTCATGAATTATCTAATGCATACACTAATAGAAGATTTCAAATAACTTTTAACCTAAATAAAACTATAAAATGAGGTCTATCACATGCACAAACTCGAAGAAAATTATAAACTATTGGGTAAAACGCTGGCTATTGAATGCGTTTTGGCTCAAAATGATATCAACTGGACATTCTATAGTTTTATCAGATGGTATGCTTTCACAAAGACACCAAATTGGCTTACAACCAATCCCATGGGTAATCTAGGGTCTTAGTCTCATATCCAAGTTTATTCAATTTTGCCTTTGTTTTTACGAATTACCTAGTAAGTGTTCTCTCTTGAAAGGGATGTAGTTTACAATTATTGATGAGATTTTATGTCCCTAAGCTAGCTACAACGACTTTTTATGGAATATTGATCTTGCTTTTTGCCATAATTAGGAATACTTATCCATTTTATGTTTGGAGTCATCCATAGATTTTCCAATACATTTTTCTGAATTTATAAAATAAACTCCTTGGTCAACTTGTGGATTTTTCTTAGTTTCTGATCTTCCAAGTGGTCAACTAACGTCGGTCCGTTGACCAGTCCGAGCCTAATAACCTTTCCTCTCCAACCGGCAGCACCCCCTTCAAAAGCTCTCTCCTAGGCCACTGCTCGAGCTGTTGGGGACGAGCCTCCTCTTCATATCCAATATATAAAAGAATACAGATCAGATGTCCCTCTATAGATTCAATGCAAGCTAACCATAGGTATCGATCATACGCAAAACATTTAGCAACTTAAATGTCAGACTCCACGTGTCCTAGCCATCATGAAACTACCGGAAACTCCCAAAGCCAGAAGTATTGCTTTTCAAAAGAAAGATAGTGCACTCTTAGTTATTTTTAAAATATTTAAACTGATAAAATTTGGTTAATATTCATGTTTTCTTAAGGCGCATAATAATAGTATATGATATAAGTTATTGATTTGCTATGCCAAATACTTTTTGACGACATATTTTGTCTAATTATTTGGCAATATGTTTATTTATTTATTTTTTAAATGATAAGGATTAACTTTCATTAAGCATAGCTATTTCATTTAATTGTAATTAAACCAAAGGAAGTTATTCATCTATATAAAGTTGTGAAGTTCATAAGGATCTAAACAATCCCAATCGCCGAAACAAGGAAAAACGTGTCGTCTTCCATGTCCCACCGAAGGATGATCCAGCGAGCGGGGAGTTGTCGGGGTTGCGCTCTGAACAAGAGCGGAGACCAAAGGTGGGAGGCCCCCCACCCCCCACTCCGGGGGGCTTCCTTCTCCCCCGCCGGCTGCTGCCCCGGTGGTGGGCCTTGGTTAATTGCTCCTCCTTCAGCCAACCGAAGGATTGTACGGCGGTGGCCAGCGAGCGGCGCAGGCCGACAGCTCTGGTCCCCCATCCCCTCCCCGTGGCGCCACCCGCCGCCGTCACCTCCGTCAGTCACCCCCGTCCCCCCTTTCTCCGGGCCCTGCTCCCGTGCGTCCGTCACATCGCTACTCTTCGTACATATGTAATTATAAATCTTAGAGAGGGGTTTAAGCGACCAGCTCTCCCACTGGGCTCCCTCTCTTACATACCCCGTTGCGTACGCCGCCCGCTTTAATGGGCCCGGCCCACTCGTCACACGATCCGCATAAATCGCGATCGGCGGGGGGAGGTGTTCACGTGACCCGAGGAACAAGCACGTAGGACACCGTAGCCCTGCAGGGCCCACACACATCCCGCGTTGTCTTCTATCGTAGCCGGGGTCCGATAAACCAGGCCATTTTAATGGCGAAGCAGGACGAGACGGAGGTCCCTTAGTCCGGATTACTTATACGAGCTCGCTAGCTAACGGGATGGGCGTTGACAATCCTCTCCAACCACGATCACCAGCCCCCGACAACTCGGATGGATGAATGCGATTATGGTCGTGATTAGTCAACCAGGTAACCGGGAGTTAATCTACCGGGAGAGATGGTCCTGCCGCGAGGCTCCTAGGGTGAAGCTGTGCCGGTGGCGTCACGGCGACCGCCCGGCCGGCAATATGAAAGATTTTCCGAAAAATATTGCGGCGTGTCGGAGGACAGAGTCTCCACGTGCCGCCCGGAGGCCAGCCCACGGCGACTGCGGCGGCAGATCGAAGGACCCGTGACGTGTAGGCAGAACAGAGAGCTAGCCAGGGGGCGACCGACCTGCTCGCTCCCCTGTCGCGGCCCGCTTGTAGCTCTTAGGCAACCGTCTACGGCTAGCTGCCACCTCTCCCGCCTGAGGCTCTCGGAAAAGCAGCAGCCGTCGGTAGGAGGAAGATAGCGACGGGACAGACGAAGGGGTCCCATGTGCCTGCGGCGCGGCACCCGCTGGGCGACGACGGCAGACAGCGACGTCTCGCTCGAGGCATCCGCTGGTCTGCCGACGGCCTCCGAGGCGACGTCACGGGGAAGAGAGCGGCCGCCGGCGCCCGCCACCAGGCGCCCGCTGCGACAGTAAATGCGTCCAATGACGAAGCGCGCATGAACCCATTGCCGCTCATTGTCGGAGGCAACGCGCCGCCCCCCAATTAATGCCACGCCGGGCGACCGGCACGCGTGCTGCGGCCAAGCCACCCGGCCGCCACCGTCGGGGCTGCCACGCGCGCCGCCGAGTTCCACCGCAAATAAAAAAGATTCCCTTGTTCCAAGAGCGCCGACACATTCGCCGACGCCCAACAGTCCGCCACTGTCACGCCTGGTCTTCCCATATAACATTCCTGTTGAGGTAGAGAGATAAAGATAAAAGAGGGGGATTTTGAGAGAGAGAGAGAGAGGGTCAGTGTGGGGATGAAGGGTGGTGACTGTGCTCGCTGTCTTCTCATGGAGTCGGAGAGGAACTGTCTTACTTACTATACCTGTTCTTCGTTGTCTTGTCTGGGAACTTTGTCATAAAAGTCCTCCATCACCCATGCCAGCCTGCGCATCCAATAAATAATGCAGCAGACCCTGCATGAAATCCGTCCTAAGATAAGAGCTCGTTTATATCCTCCTCTCCGCCCATATTAATTGACCTCTCTCTCTCTCTCTCTCACTCTCATTCTCTCTCATTCTCTCTCTGTACGTCGTTGTCCCCAGAGGGAGGGAACCGCAGATTGAAGCGATCATGGACCCCTTGATGACCTGCTCTGACGGGGAGCAGCTTCATTTGTTAAATCAATGCTTAACAGATTTTCACAGATATACCCTGCTCTGAATTTATATTGCAGTTGGGGAAAGAGTATGTAGACTATTATAACCTTGAAAACGGTAGGATAGTTTGGTGTATAGATTACGGGGTCTACTTGGACGACAACCGATAAAGGACATGGCACGATACAGCAGCAGCAGTAGGGAGAGAGTGTATTGGAATCTTCTTGTTTTCTAGAAGAAAGCGAGGAGGAAGCGGAAGGGAAGGAACTTGTTGCTCTCCTGTCTCCACATTTCTGTTGCTCCCGACGTCGGCAAGCGACTGCGGTGGCGGTAATCGGAAGGAAGAAGAAGAGGAGACTTGTTGTGTGGACGGAGTAGATCGCTTGCGCGGGTCATCGGATTCTCCTTCTTGGCACCGGTATTCCCCCGAGGCGGAAGACCGTCCAGGGAATGGCGTCGTCTTGAGAAAGAACTCACTATCGCGTCCCTTGCGCGTGGGGATTTCAGGAGGTGGACTACCCGTTGCGCTTGTTGTTTTTCTTTGAGAATTGAGCTCTTGCACCTTGACGTCCACTCCCTGGATCCTTTTCTTCATTACTAATGGGAAATGGGATGCGAGTTGATTTATTTATGTTTGGCGTCTCTTTCTTGGGGATTATATCGTGAATTGTTGGTTGATAGTTTGTGCTCTGTTAAGGGAGGGGTTAGTTTTCTTGCCTTTCTCTTTCGGGAAATGCTGCAGCTGAAGCAGGTCTATGACTTCCCTTTTGGGTCAAATGCAGGTCTCTGGATCCCTAATCATCGTGGATCGCAAGGTTCTATCCTTCCTTCCCGTTTGTATCTCCAGTATATGCTCGGTACGCTATTTTTTTTCTTGCCATTCTAAGTTCAATTGTGAATTTTTTGACGGGCATTCAGTGTTCATCTTCCGAAAATATTCTTAAGGATAATAAAAAGTACTCTTCTCCTTTTATATAAAAAATACTGGTAAATTAGTAAATATAATACAAGTCGTTGCGGCATATTATTATAAGTAAACTGTGACATTTTAAGATTCTCTTTTCTTGGCAGCTAAAGTAGGGGTTGATATCCGATGACATTCAGCCAGGAATACCAGCTGATGTGAGCATATTTCTTCTTTCTATGAGATTTCAATTCTATGAGTACCGACATGACTTTAAATTATCTTCTTTGTCGTTGATACAGCTCATCCTCCCAGATTTGAGAGTTCAACTTTTCTGCAATGGAGGGAAAAATGTCCGGTAAAATTTTCTCCTTCCATCTCTTCTTGATTACCTCTTTCAGAACTTAAGCGAACTGAAGGATTTATCGATTACTTTCGGTAAATGAGTTTTTATAGGATTTCGGTGTATTTAGCTCCAGGCTCCTTACCTGATCTGCGCATTGTCACTTCTCAGTGTGCCACGCTGCGGTACAAGAAGGGTTTGCTTCGCATGATGAAAGAAGGGAATGGAGATCAGATATAGAAAACTCAGAAGATGAGAGAAAAACAACAAAAATTGCGTCCCTTAGGAAAAAGGCTTTAAACGCATCTTGCAAGTTCACTCATTCTCTTAAAAAAAGGGGAAGGAGGAAAAGTGACTGCAGGGCTCCATTAGTTTCAATAGAAGATGTGAGAGATGCGGAAGAGGAGCGCGCTGTTTATGTCTTTCGACAGGAGCTTATAGCAAGGAATTTATTGCCTGAGAAGCACGATAATTATCATACAATGCTGCGGTGAGTTCTTGCTCTTGTTATTACACACTTTGTTTGGTTTGTTGTCTGTCCTCTCTCTCTCTCTCTCTCTCTCTCTCTCTCTCTCTCTCAGAAAGAGAAACAAAGACATTAAAGAGAGAAACGTAGGGTTTCTGGGATTCTTTACATATTATCTTTTTTCCGTGTTTTTACCATATTTTTTGTTCCATTGTGAAAAATGGATTCAGATTCTTGAAAGCCAGGAAGTTTGATCACGAGAAGACAATATTAATGTGGGCCGACATGCTGCAGTGGAGAAAAGAATTTGGAACAGATACTATATTGGAGGTAGGGATAGCAATCACATCTCTGCTAGACAATCTCTTTGCATCTGGGCGATCATGTTTGATGTGTAGATGAGGCCTATGTTACGTGTGCAAAGTCATTATTACAAACCTCACTTATTTACGTATATACATTTTTAAAATTTAGTTTTGTAATTATATAGTTGAGAACATGGCAATTTCATCGAGGATTTAGCCCTTATGGTCTTTATAGCTTCATTGGAGGTAGGTACAACAATCAGTGACCCATGTGATTCTATTGTTCTGGAAAAACTACAGTATGAGTCTAGAACTTTGCCACAGTCAGCAATAAGACATTAGTGACCGAAACCTTGACAAAATTTATTATGTGATTTTTTTTTGATCTCATAATTCTGTAATGCCATCTAAGTCTGAGGAGCATAATTGGTTCATATGGATCTCTTCCCTAAGGCGCAGGTATTAATTACATGGGCCAATCTTATTTCCTTTATTTTGCTAAGCATTGCCATGTTAATTAGAGCCAAGAACGTCACCATGTCAAAGTTCTTTATGCAAGTGCAGTTGAATCATATTTTCATTAGGACTGCATCAAGGTGTGTACCTCTGGTCAGTATGTTAGGAAATTCTGTGTTCTTTATTCTCCCTGTCTTACCTGTTTTCCTACATTGGGATGAACATTTGAGTTCTTCGTCATTTAAAGCATAGTAGATACTCTTTGCATCCTGTTTCTAAATCATATTTTCCTTAATAATGTGTTATTCTTCCATCTGCCCACTGACATTGGAGAAAATGCTGAATTTGGCTGAAGGATTTTGAGTTTGAGGAGCTGCGAGAAGTTCTGCAGCACTATCCCCAAGGTTATCATGGCATTGACAAAGAAGGAAGACCTGTCTATATTGAGAGGCTGGGGAAAGTTGAGCCTAACAAACTCATGCACATAACTAGCATTGAACGCTACATAAAATATCATGTACAAGAATTTGAACGAGCACTTCGTGAAAAGTTTCCTGCGTGTTCAATCGCTGTTAAGAGACAGATTAGTTCGACCACCACTATACTTGATGTTCACGGCGTGGTATACTGCAGGAGCTACCCATTTCTCAGATGTTTTCTTAATCTTTTGGATTGAATAATTGTAATGAATCTCTTCTGAAACGTCAAAGTTTGTACTCTGTTTCTATTAGGGTCTAAAAAACTTCAGCAAGTCAGCAAGAGACCTCCTATTGTCCATGCAGAAAATAGACGGGGACTACTATCCTGAGGTACCTGTTCCTAATAATATGCTCCGTTAAATAAATGCCGCTTAAGGAAAATAGAGTTGTTGTTTACCCGTTTTTCTATGCAGACGCTACATCAGATGTTTATCGTCAATGCTGGTCACGGCTTCAAACTGCTTTGGAACACAGTAAAGGGTTTCCTTGATCCCAAGACGACTTCTAAGATTCATGTAAGAATGCAACCTTGGTCAAACGTTGTGTAAAAACATACGTTCATGATATCTATTTCCCTGTTTATCCCAGTCTAAATGTACGCTGACTAGTCTTGGCTCTGCTCAGGTGCTGGGAACTCGATTTCAGAGTAGACTTCTTGAAGCCATTGATGCAAGGTGACGGCCTCACCATATACAACGCTTTAGGAAATGACTTTGCCTGTTTATCCTTATCAATGTTTTTCTGTTCAGCCAACTCCCAGATTTCCTGGGTGGTACGTGTACGTGTTCGGGCAAAGGAGGATGTCTCAGGTCCAATAAAGGTCCATGGAATGATCCGGAGACAATGAAGGTACTATACATTACTAAACGGGGTTTTGCAAAGGGTCATGCTAAAAGTGTGAAAAGCAGAAAAGGAGAGTGAAAACTAAAGTTCCTAAAGATTCTGATCCAGATTCTGCGGTTGATCTATCACTAATTCTTCCCACCTTGGTCTCTGTAGCTTGTATATGATGCACAAGCAACGTTCGTGAGGGAGGTTAGGAGACTATCTAACGGAGAGCAAATCATTGACTATGTTACAAGGTTACGTCCATTGAAGGCAAGTTTCTGAACCCTCAAGCACATACAATGTGAAAGGGAGATTTCTTATAGAGTTGATTGACTTATCTCAGGGAAGAATTAGTGATACATCAACTGCAGAATCTGGATCAGACATTGAAGATCCTTGTTCACCAGTTTTACCAAAGGCTTCTGAATTTAGGCGGTTGGCCCCGGTTCATGAGGAAGTAAGTTTCCACCGAACACTTGCTTAGGAATTATCTTTCCGTGCCCTTAATGACAGATACAGAGCTCAAAAATTTGGTCACCATAATAAGATGTGACAGTTTATAAATCAGGTATCCCATTGAAGATGAAAGTGGATTTCTTATGGTTTTGAAGTACAAACAGTGTTCGATAATGATGCTTTTTTTTTTGCTTCATCTTTCTTTGTCTTGAGTCACCAATTTGTCAAGATTTGATCACACAACCCCTTCTGTTAAAAAAGAAATGTTCATGACAAAGTCACATTCAAATATCTTATTCTAAACATCGTGAAATAAAAAATATACAAAGAAATGTGTCCACCCGTATGGTTCTTCTTTAGTTGATTTACCCGATACGGGTCGTTAGAATGTGCTTTGGGACTTGCCTCTGTAGACCATATCGGTGACTTTTAGCAATCACCACATATGCTGAAGGCATTAAATTCCAAATGAGCCATAGGCTTGATTTAGTTTTTTGATTTGTAGAATACAAGATTATACTCACTTCTCCATCCGATAGAAAAGATTTGCAGTATGCTTAATCTAGAAAGAATCTATTTTGGAATAAACTGTAGCATCAGTCAAAGATGGTGTCTAGCTTAATCGCACTGATTCGCTACGGATTTCATGTATCATGCTTAGTTATCCCCTGAATCAAGGCTACATGCTTTAAACTAAGACAACTCACATGAGACAAATTTCGCTCATCACCAGTCCGTATTCTTATTTACCTCCTCTTAATATGAATATTTATTTCTTTATCTGCTTTCATTTTTTTCAGGTTAGGCCAATAAATCCGAGTGTTTACTTTAGTTGTGATGACCATTTTTTGGTGGTGGATAAAGCTGTTGATTGTGGGCGTGCGAAATTAGAACCTACTGGAGAACAACGATCTTACAATAGAAACTTGCGTCCTTCTTTGGCAGTTCATGCGGTTTCTTCCCCAGGTAATGTTTTCTAAAAAAAATATCATAAATCTTTAGCTTTACATATCTTGTTTTAGGAAATAAATTACCTTTGGATTGCGGCCATTTCGCCCTGAAAACACTACTTATCAAAACCTGGCCAGTGTGAATCATGCTTTAGAACTCAGAAAATGGAAATCCGTTTTTACGAATTAAATGAATAAATATTCATCTGAAAACTGCAATCTCGCTGATATGTCTCTTTAGCTTCAATTTCCTTTATTTTACCCATATGTAGCTTTGGTAACGAGGAAGTTTTCCATTGGAAAGCTGACATTAATATCTTGATACTTCAGTGGTCAACCAATGCGATATTAAGGACGAGGGCCAGCAAAGAAGCTTGCAATGCATTGCAAGAGTGGTGGTGATTTTTGTGGTCAAAATGTTGTCCTTCTTTCAGGTTTTGGCCTGCAGACTTGAGAGGAGATTGGCAAATGTCCATCCTTCTGATAAGTTGGTTCAATCGTCTGCTTCTGTGGGAGATCAGACTAATGAATCTGCAGAGGATTATGTCGGTCCTTGTCTACAAAAAATACAAAAGCTTGAGCTGATGTTGGCGGAGATAAGCTGCAGACCTGCAGAAATTCCTGCGGAGAAGCAGCATATGCTCGAGGAATCTTGGGATAGGATCAAATCCATCGAGTTTGACCTCAAGAAGACAAAGAAAGTAAGTAAATAGTTATAGCTCCTCAAGTCATCGATCCATCCTCTTTTCTCTTCCTGGGCAACAATGTATTTTTGTTTTTTTTTTTTTCCTTTTCTTCTCTACATTGTAGACCGGCTTACTATAATAGTTTTTCAGGTATGATTAGTGATAGTAAAATCTGCTCATATTGCCCACCTGGTCTGGTCATCTTTTCATAACTGGTATGGTTTAGATCCTTGACCTATTTTGAGTAGTCGAATGACTTTATTTATATCAGGTGTTGCACGCTACAATAATGAAGCAATTGGAAATCGCGGAGTCACTGAAATCTGCCCGGGACTCGAAAACAAAGGTTAGTGAGTTTCAGCACAGTTGATTTGACGCAGTATAACACAATCATTATTCTCGTAGATTAGTGAGATGTGGCAACGTTATTCTTTCATTCTAGTGTTATTAAGATGGTGCTGTCGGCCGTGGAGCTTGCAGACAGACCCTTTGTGTTGATTTGTCAGTCCTAGGAAGAAATGGAATCTAGGAGGTAGAGAGAGGAGGGAGGGGAGTAAGATATTACGTTGTGGATGGCCAGGTAATCCCTGAGAACTTTCAATGCGTCAATCTCAAAACCATGAAGAGACCCAAAAAAGTAGTGTTGCATGTCCCTTCCTTAACCAGATCCAGACCTCCATAGTGTATGGTCTGAAAGTTCTCGGCCCATTTTCCTTATCATGTGGTTCCCTTGATATTACTATCTCTCTCTCTATCTCCATCTGTGCATATAGTTACTGGCTCGATGCCTGTGATAAAGGTGGAGTAAAGCATTGTCTGCATTTTGGTTAGGGTTTCGTTTGTTTCCAGTAAACTCATCATTGGGAGCAGATGAAGCAACCGTTGTCTGAAGATTTCCCGTTTCTCTGGTGCAGAGAACACTGTTTTGACAAGTTGAAGGGGGTGCTGACTACTCGTGCCGGATCGCTTGCGAAGACCACGCCTCTCTCTCTCTCTGTCTCTCTCACTCACTCACTCACTCACTCACTCACTTTATGTACGTATCCTTTCTAAGTCACTGAAGCATTTTTAGGCTCACTGTAAAGAGAAACGAAAGGAATTAAAAGGATATGTGCGTACCCTCGCCAGAGTCAACGTACCCTTTTGGTAATCATTCTTCTTTCTTCCTCAGACCTTGCATTCTGGTGCATCTCTCTTCTCTTCTTGTCAAAGTCCACTACAAATGATACTAAAACAGCCTATCGCCCGCCACCCGCTCCTCTTCTCTGGTTAGTGGTTAGTTCTTGAGGATAGCCTTTTTAAGTCGACCCTTTGACTTTGTATCCACGAAAACTAAAACGTCGTTTGGAATCACTTCATGCGAAGAAACCGATTCCGAAGCTGTCAGCCATCTCCTCGAACCGCGGGCCGACTTACACGTGTCGGCAGACGAATAATAATATCTAATAATCACAGGTATAATCGACGGAAACGAGAAAAAGACGGCTTAATGATTTACATAAAATCTGACCTTCACTTTCTGACTTGCTACTACATCGAACGCCTTGCCGCCGAGGGTCAAGCATCTGGATGGGATAGGCATCGGCGGAAGGAGGATCACTACGAACCAGCAAGAGGATTTCTTCCCCGATGCTTCTGGCGAAACTGCTTCTTCGTGATGCACCAAGCGCTGTGGAAGGTGCTCACCTGAAAAGGAGATGCAAGAAGAAAGACATGAACGAAGACCTTGAAGGTATCTCAAATGCCTGCCAGAGCCTTCAGCCAGAAAAAGTTATTTGGCTGAGAGACAGGTAGTTGATGTTTCATTTGTGATTTTCAAACGGTTCTTTGTGTGAATATGCGTTGAGTATGTCAACCCATCAAGCATTATGCGGGATTCCCAAGTGTTTCTCCTGTTCTTGAGATCTTAGGTCCACGGAAAATATAGAATGTCACCATTCTATATCTCCCTACCCAATCGATGCATCATTTCAATTTACCTTGGTGGGATAACTTGAGACTATCATTTCATTGCAAAAATAAAAAAATATATATGCGCAGAACCTTGGTAATCCGCATAGATTCTGCCACCTAGATGTGGTATGATTGGATGAATATGAAAGATGCAATCTGTACTCATGAACTGAAGTACATTCCAGTGTTTTGGGGTGATTCCCCACTTCTTTTTGGGGGTGATTTACACCCCTAAAATGTCCATTAAAATAGGATTTTCCCACTTTGACACCGGAGGGAAACTCATCTTGATATCCAACGATTATCCCACACAGCCTTATAAACACTAAAATCTCACTCGAAATAGGCCATAAAAAGATGCATTCTAATGAATGATAAGAGGACAAAGTCAGGATCGTCCTCAAAAAGTTTTGGTGATGATGATACTTTGAACTGATTTTTTCTTGGTAAACATGTCAGATGTGAAATTCCAGTGTATATATCCCATGCAACTGCCCCATGAAACAGTTCAGGATAATATTTCACTCAATTAGTAAAGAAAATCTTAAAAAATAAACAAACAAAATGTCGGATGGGTGAATAAATACTTTAAAATGGGAAGATAAAAAAAAGATGATTTCTGAAATAGACTAGTAATATAAGCATGTATTTTTATTTATTTTTACTTACGTTGCTTACAATTTTTGCACCATACCAAGCAGAATCAACACCATATGGTGGCGGAAGAACTTTGATGCCCTCAGAAATAGACGGTGGAAGAAGTCTGATGAGCTCCTTTTCTAGTCTCTCTGAAACAGAGGAGATATCAGTCACCATGCGAGCTCAACAAAGTCTGCCAGTACCAGCATCATCCACTAACAACACGCCTACCCAACAAAAAAGGGAGACTATATCTTAGATCCATAGTTCGAGGGAGTAGTAGCAGGTTTGAATAACTGCATGAATATAAATTCCACCAAACGTAAATGAATTGTAGAAATGAGCCCCAACCTGGAAGTCCAGGTAAACATGAGGTGCCACCCACCAAAACAACGGTCTTGAACCATCCATCATCACTGAAAATACCTGAATCAGCACAATGATGCATGCAAAGTGACACCGCACTGTGCAAACCCATTGCATGTCTGGAAGACAGAAGAGAATAAACAGTTAACTCCAACAGAGAAACTGAAACTGAATATGTATAGATTGTCTCTTATGAAGCCTAAATGCGTTGAGTACATAGCTAGTCGTGTGTGGATGTCCATTATCTAATACAATGTCGTGAAAATGTTATAAATGTGCAAGATTTAAACTCAATAAAAATCTGGCAGAAAATGTGAGGCGACCAATGAGATTATCATATTTCCTATGATGAAACTATATTGGCCTAAGAAAATGAAGATGGGTTGGAGGCAGAGGGGATTGATCATTGATTTAATCTTTTAAAAAGGGAACCCTTGGGACACCCTCTACATATTTACACAAAGAACCAAAAAAAAAAAAAGAAAGTCAGATCCTCATTCATAAGAACATTATGATGATCTATCCGTCGTTGATTTTAAATCAAGCATAGTCAGAACCAACTTTTGGTTCTGGATGACCTCAATCCTTCCTGACTTGTATTATCCGGTGGGTAACTTCTTCAAAGATATTTCTTTCCCCTGCCCCCAGAGGATGACCTCAATCTACTCTTCAAAAACTACGAAGATCTTTCATATTAAATACTTGACAGGTGCATCAAATCTGAAATAATTCGTAAGCATTAGATAAAAGATAAAAGCAATAAGTTTCTGGTGAATTTTAATGCCTCTGAAATCTCTCAAAGCTACAGATACCTTGAGAGATGTTAAGATGATTTCAAAGCCCTTAGGTCTTCTATGTTCTCTAGACAAATGGAAACCCTTTCTAATGACTCGACTATGTCAGTCAATACTCCTGAGTTATAAGAGAAAAAATATGTTCCTCACTAATAGTATTTATGCTACAACGACGCATTAAGTTTTTCTCACGTCCATCTAAAATATATTGCTTCTCACTATTCAAAGCAAACTCTCTCTAAATAATTATCATTTAAATGGGAAGAATGATCAAACCGTCCACCTTCAATATAAACTTGCACCCAATAAAAGATTCTCCAAGACAGGCATACAACATCCATATTTTAAATCCAAGCTCACAAAGACATGCCCCGACTTTAACTTGGATAGCTTCTTTGAAATAATCATGACCAATTCATTCAACCCTGAATACTGATTATTTGTGGTTAGTAACCAAATGCATTACAATTCAGGCTTAAATTCTGGGCAATCGAAACCGACACAATAAACCCAGTTATAATTTGACAATTTTCTCGCTATTGTAACAAGCATACAATTCATGGGGACCCGAAGAAATGGATCGAACAGAGCGTGTGGGCGAATCTATGGCTCCATACAATTTATCCTATGCCTCCATTGCTCTTAAAATATGGAAATCTCAACCGCTTTATACTTCATTGAAGATTACTTGCACGGCACTTATCAAAGTTACCCCAGAGGGCCTTATCGTGTAATATTTCTCCGATAAACTATGTTCCTGGTATTGATAAGCCCAGTAAATAAAGTCCATAGAAAGTTGCAATCCAAAATGCTGAATACTTGATAGATAAATATATGAAATAAAAAACTCACATTCCTCCAATCTGCGGCTGGAAGAGAATCTCTCCTGTTTTGAACCGCTCCTTTGACAGAGTGAACCAACCCTCCCCAGAGATCTCACATGATGCTTGGGTAACTTTAGAAAGTTCAGCATGATAATCAGCAGCGACATAGCATAGCTTCTGAAAGGATATAACCATGAAAAAATTTAACTACATTAAAATCATTTGAATAAATTACTTCAGGACAATCGACTGCCACCAAAGACAGCTTTCGCCATATGTTTCAAGTGCAAAGGTTTTTGACCCAAAAATTTCTTACTACTGATTTATTCAAAGTTCTTCTATATTTAAATCTAAGTAAGGAAAATCTGTAGGTCAGAACCCGTAGAACTTGAAACCTACTTATGTCATTCGATCGTATTAGGTGAATGTTAACGTAAAAGCTGCAATCAAGGTTCTCAACTGGAACCACAGAACTATTACCTCTTTCAGCGTCCGAACAGTATATAATGACTCAAAATTCATATTTCTTTGTTGCATCTGCTCTCTTAGAAATCCCGTCAACTTCAATGCACCTAATCCCACAACTTCGACACCCACTTCACGCATCACTTTACCACAACGAACTGTTCGTCATCACAACCAAAAAAAGGTTATTAGTATGAAAATCACATTGACAGAAGCAGGAAAATATGGGATATCCATAGAAGATACGACATAAAAAGAATGGTAAATTCAAACGCGGAATCTCCACCATGATGAGGTACTGAGTATACTAGTACCAACTACATTAGAAAACTAAGTGTACACAGCTGGTTATGGGACCTAGAAATATAAGACAACCGAGTGGTACCACCTTGATGAAAACATTTGCGCTCATGACGACAAAATTCGCCATGCACTACTACGTCAAAATCATGCTTACAAAGATGGGACCTTTGAAGAACTTATGGAACAGAAAAAGCAATCGAGCATTTGGGTTTTAGGATTAGAAGAATATTTTGACAATGCATTTCTGAGGTTTGGAAGGTTTCAAATATTTGTAAACAAATTTTGAATTGAAAAAGACTCTTTTACCCACAATTCTGCCATTTTTACATTTATCGTCAACCATCATGTGCTTTTTAGGAAGTTCATGTAATATTATGTCATTTCCACCATTGTGCTCATTCAACCCAGTCTAAGACAGGATAGCTTATACAGTAGAATCAGGAAAAGGAGTCGGATCAGCTTTACAGAAACTAAAATGAAATTACCCTTCCACTATTGAAAGTTTAGAAATACCTAAACATTATTCCCTTCTTAATGCAAACAAATACATACACAAATTACAATAAATTTCCAAAAGTTTGTTAACCAGAAGTCCGACCCGATTAATTCACTAATTACCCATTGTAATCAAGGAGGACACTGACCATGAACTACACTAGGGACAAGGTACTGTTGGACAGAAAGGGGTGGTCTGAGGCCTCAGAATATGATAAAAGAAAAAACTGTTCCTTAATTTTTAAAATATACTTTCCTAGGGTGAAGAAAATGGGAGAAAAATTGAGAACGAGGGGCATAGACTCGTGACTTGAAAAGACGAACAAGATAGAAACACACCCCCCTCCCCACCCCAACCACCAGCGAGTATTAGCCTCTCAGATGACAAGGGTCAACACGAATTGCATTAAGGTGAGCGTGATATGTGGTATGTAATGAGTCCGCAGAAATCAGAACAATCGACCAGTGAATACATAAAATTGACCGATTTGTATGCGCATCACATTTTGCTTGGCTAAAATCACACTAATTCGCATTAGGCAGTCTGGCAATGTCCACCACAGAAAATAATAAATAGTGATCTTAAGTTTATTATTTATATCAAAGAGGCCAATCAGATAAATCTTGCATGTTATTATAGCGACAGACTCATCAAGATATGCAAACAAACAAAACCATATGGCAGCTGACAAAACCCATGATTCCCAGAAATAAAACTGCAATTCCAGGACACAACTAAAGCATACTGAAGCTTCCTCTCAGTTCCCTCAAGCATCTATATAATATTACCACTTGTACACATTTTTTGTTCTCTTGAAGTATTAATTATATAAAGCACTCCTCATGGTACGGAACCATAAAGGCACTTAAGCTTGTTGCACTCAAATCGGCCTGTTTTCGGCAGTGCCATGGAAATATTTACAAATTTGCGTAGTCAAAGAGCTTACTGGGCACAACAGACGTGACATTGAAGCCAATATTGACAACAATCCCTGAAGTACGCCTTGCCGCATACAATCCTAAAACTGACTAAATGAACACAAAGAAACGAAAATTTGTCATAGACAATAAGTAAGAAATAAGTAAGAAATGGTGAGCAAAAGTGATGTAGAAATAAAATAGCATAAGGAAACAATATTCGTAAAATCACGAATTTTTACGCCATCATAGAGTGTTTTATTTTCAATATAGAATCTTGAAAAACTAAAAAAATAAATATCTTGAATTACACGCTCCCATTCTGGCATTTAGTTACGATCCAATTATACTAGCCAACGATGTATGGACCTAAGAAAGCTATATTATGACATTAACGCAGGTGTCAAATTTTCCAAAAAAATGAAAGAGAGCAGAATTATTAACTACGAAGGCAGAAAGTAAGAGATAATTCAAATCCTCACCAAATTCACAGAAAATTAAATGGGTATTGCGCAAAATAGGACTCATCATACTTTATGGTAACTCGCTCTAAAGTTAAAGTAAGATAGGTGGTTGAGCTTAGTGGTTTAGTTCATTGAAAAAACTAATCTAATACTCAATGGCCATCAAGTAGGGGAATAAAAACTAGGTTACCCTTTTTAACTTTTATTATTATTTTATCTCGTCATTTATTTGGAAACTATATAGTCTCCTTTTGGAACCCCAGGACAGACCAAGCACGACATATTTGAAACGGGGACAAAAGGATCCAATAAACTAGAATCTGACTTGTTTGAGGACTGATCTTGGTGGAGTAATATAGAGCATTCATGCATAATAATTCCCAATGTCCATACATCCATATGCTTGAAACTTGTGGAGTTCCACCTTTATGAAATTATTCTCCCCAAGGACAAATTCAGATTGCCTGGGAAACAATGTCTCAACAGGTAAATAAGATTATATTGAAAGAGTATCCATGGCACGATCAACTGTCCAGACCAAAGGGGTCATATATTTTGAACAAGCAAAAGAAGATATTTAAGGGACACCTTGTTCTCTATGTACAAAAATTTGAACGCACACAATGCAACTTGATGAAAATAAATTGAAGTGATGATCTCATCACATATTAAATTAAAAAAATATGTAAAGGAAATTATACTTGATCTATGGCACAAACGGCTGGAACATTCATATCAAACAGTACTGTGTATATGGCGTCCCTCAATTGTCTTCTAGATGCTCTAGCTGATTCAGTATCTGGATAATAAAATGAAAAGAGAAAAAAGAATGAGATTACTGCCTAAGTTGGAAAAAATTTATGAGCCAAAATATGTTCCCTAGGATTACTGCCTAAGTTACATTACATTCAGGCTACCCTTTCTAATTTGGTGCAAGAGAAATAACTCCCACTATACAAATATATTCATATACAATGTTCAATTCAATTTGCAGTTTTAAAAGTCTATAACTCGATTTATCAAGTCCAGCTCAAGATTTTTTTTTGATACCAGTACGTTCTTTAAAGTGAAATTATGTTGGAAAAAAAATCACCAGTTCCCATTGCCCAAGACCAGACCTCATAAAAACAGCACGTATGGGGAGTGAAAAGTCGCTGATTTTGCTTTACTTTTATCAAAACCAGGCGCAAAAAAATACCAATCGCGACACAGCCTTCCAATTTATTTATTTTTCAAGCACAAAAAGTTGAACACTTGACTTTACATCATAGGTTGTCATGAATGTGCAGACCAAATTTCAGTCTGAACGTCAAATGAAAAAAATGTTTAAGGCACATCTGACATGATTATCTCTCTCCTGCAGTCGCAGAAGCCATCTGGTTTTAAAATAAATAAATTAAGATTTCAAGAGAAAATGAACACTCTTGTCAACGTCCTCAGGATACCAGTTAAGCCGATTAACTGATCAAATCCATCAGGAACAATTCATCCACAGACAACAGTCCTGACACAGAATGAGGTTAACTTTTCCAGACTTTCCTGTTAAACGTTTTTGACGGAAACCAAGCAAGGATTGACAGTCAGGAAAAATTTTAGTGTGTAGGTTTGAAAAGAGAATAATGACATTATTTCTATTAAACTCTTGAATCTTAAGGCTCCAGATGGCAAATGATTTATGAGATGAGTCGTCGTAAGCATTACTTCTCCACAAAAAGGATTTAGACATTGTTTTGAAACACAGAGGCCCATGTTACCACAAGAAGATGACCATTTTTTCTTTCAGCTACTCTATTTTTTTCTGGTGTATTGAGACACGATGACTCATATGCTATCCCGTAGTTTTTAAAGTACGAAGTTAAGATTTGATCGAAACAGTCAGCATTATTTAAATTGAACATTTTGACATAGACCCAAATTGATTCTTAAATCATGGAACAAAAATTTGGCATGGCAGACTAATACCGACGTCAGATTTCTGCTTGAGCAAATAAGGTAATATGCCCTTAGCAAAACCCTGCTTCATGGTAGCAGAGTCCATCTGGAATGTCCAAACTAGTGAGCAATCTAAATCGTGAGAAAGCTCTTCGATAGACACAAGCTTTGTGGACAATCTGAGAACATGGAGATATATTTTTGAAGTTCAGTGAAGGGTTTTATTAACATTTCCTACACCGTGCTACAGTTAGTAAAAGAGCCATCACTTGTGACTATTTTCCGACTTGGAAAGGCGAGTTGTCCATGCCTTTTGGTTCAACATAGAGCCTTTTTGCTTTCTTTGATTAATACCACTACTTCATTAAAGCACGGTACCTAGATCTTCATGTTTACCGAGAACCTGAGTTTTCACTTGATCAAACTCTAGATTAAGCCCAACAAGAAAATCCCGAATTGTCTTGCTCAATAAAATTCTTAAAAATAGTTGTCTCCTTGGGACAGTGTGATTTTAATCATCCTGTAATAGTCAAGTTCTTGCCACGAAGCTTTCAGTTGATTAGCATATGATGTAACTGTATCGCCTTCACCTTCATAAATTTGAGCTGCATCTCTAGCTTTGAAATAAGTCTGCCAGATTCCATCCCATATGTCCTTGGGTGTAGCCAAGAACATACATGTGCTGCCGATCACGGGTATCGTAGAATTCAATAGTGACACCATAATCATGGTATCTTCTTCATCATACGCCTCAAACCGAGGATCCCCTGGTTTTGGCCCTGCACCTATGAGATGGCTGATCTTCCCTTTCCCTTTCAGAACAGTCGAACAACTTGGCACCACTTCAGGTAATGTTTTCCATCCAGCTTGCATGTAGCTGAATACTCTGCAAATCTCCGGCTTGTCGAAACCATACAAACTCCTCCGATTGTGACGTAGCGGTGGTCTCTAAAACCTCTGGCATCTATAAGGCGTGAGACGATACGGACGGCGGTCTGGAATTTGGAAAACAACGATGAAGACCAATCTTGAACAGTCTGACGAAGAAAAACCGAGGCAATCAGCTGATCCAAGAGCCTGACGAAGCAAAACCGATCCGCTTCACATGTGGCAGAGACATCCAAGAATGACAGCCGAAAGAGGACATCCCAAGGTCAGGCGATTCGGAACAATATCAGATACAGACAGAGATCCCGCTCGCCGCCTGGAGACCGACAGAGAGCAGTGGATGGACGGAACCGATTCCCTTGCCTCCCATTTACATGGGCGCGGAGGGACAGGGAGAGACAATGCGTCTGACCTCTAGGGTTAGGGCTTCTTCGAGAAGGACGGGCGACGATGGGAACCAGGCGTGGGGAGGATGAAGACTACGGCAAAAGTTCCAGCTTTCCAAGCCGAAGCCTAGGCTACCATGATGCAAACAAGATAAGTATATAAAGAGCTGGGAAATTTTAGTCTTTTCAATTCAAAGTATTGCTAGTAAACTACCTAAGATTAAATCCCACGATTTATGGGATATTCACCAACCAAACTAAGAGACTGACCAACAGCACAACCAACCCACTGAACTGATCGATAAAAACTAATGGTCAATTACACATTTTTTTCACACAGTTTTGACGGTATATAGCTATACCATTGAACGGTTAGCGTTTTCAGGCATTTCTATTACAGTACTGATCCCATTCTGAAGGAACCTAACCGTAGCCAAATCAAGCATTGAGCAAAACAACGAACTGAATCAGTTGACCATTTCCATAACTATATGTGGCCAACACATAATCTAATATTTTTATGCGATTGCTTAAGACACGAACATAAAATTCCTCAAATGTCCACTGACGGTCAATGATTCTATGAGAGCTATATATTCTGTTTTCACTAATTAAAAAAAAGGGAATGCATCGATGACGGAAACAGATTTATGGTTATCCACATTTATCCCAAGAAAAACGTGAATATAAGCTCATCATAAGACGTGAAAAATACAATGATTCAATATGGGTTGACCTATCCTATGCAGTAAATCACAATAATTTTACAAGGAAATCTGTTATATGATGAACCGAGAGCACTAGGCCCACAAAAAAAAAAATTAAAAAGGAAGCGAAATGAAAAGTAACTGACCATCAGAATGACAGATTGGAATGGAAACAACAACTGGCCGTAAGGAACGTTTTACCTGCATCCTGTGTAAAAAACTTGTCAGTGTCTTGTTGAAATATTGCTACAAAGAAATCAGACGATCAAATAATTCATGTGAAAGTTTAGCAGCTATAAAACCGTAAAATGAATGAAATAGGGTAAGACCTATAGCACATGCTCTTCACTAAGTATGATAATGGATTCCATATTTCACCTACACGGTCCTACGCTACACATCATTATTTTCTCATTTCAGGTTCTCCTCAATGCAACACATTAAAGTAGAAAAAAAAGGGTGGTGCGAGAAGTAACCAGCTGCCCGTTCTATCCAACTCTCTCAAGTTCTCAATTTTAAATGTATGACTAAATATTTAGTCGTAGATCCTTCACTTCTTTGCAAGTGTCAGTGGTAGTCATGACACCCATGTTCAATATTTTGTTCTCAAAATTTTATGGCGTTTAACGCAAATATAATTCAATAAGATTCTCATGTTTTTCGAGGCTCTAACTTTGAAACTTGTAAATTTTAAAGATATAAAATAACGTATAATTGATGAAATCAATCGGCCACAAGATAAGTACAGATAAGAAACATTTAATTGATGGATAAGACCTTCTGCATGAAAAATGAAATATATCAGCGTAGAATATTAAAAATAGGATGAGTAGTGAAGAGTCGCACCATTCATTCCTAACAAAGGGTGGCAACATACCACCCGTCCACACAAGAAGAAGGCATCGAAGTCAAGGTACAGAGTTCTGAAAGTAATTCATGTCACTAGGAGAAACCTTATTTGAAATTTTCTTTTATTTTTATATTATTTCAGTAAAAATCTTCGTATGCTATACAAACTCTTCTGCCTTTATTTTATCAAGAACTAACTCTTCGTTAAGAGTTACATCAGATTAGCATTGGTCGACTTTGTGAGACATTCAGATGTCAAAGTACCACGTTTGTTGCCAACGTTCATTGTATATGCTAGTCTTATATTTGAGGATCAGAGATGGATGCCATATAGGCTCTAGAAATGATACTATCTGTTAGATGCCATAATGTCGAGTTATCTAGGAAGATTAAGAGAATGTGAACTGTGTTGATATAGTTGGGTTTTATTTTCTGGGTATTCACATTTTTTCTGCATCTTGCCCGCATATTATCTATATTCCATATTTCCTCTCATATATGAGAAAAGAGATACGCTCTAATATAACGAAGATGAGTAAGAAAACATAAACTTGCTGGAACATTTCACATAGAATTAGTTAACTTTGAAGCACTATAGTAGGATGGCTGATTGAAATACCTGGTGAAAACTGCTGTAAAAAAGTGTTGCAGTCTTGATAAAATTGGGGACTCAATATTTCCGAATTCCTGCAGATAAACCACAGAATAGACCATGAAAACGCACATAAAAACTTGAGTAAAGACGTGGCGAGATGTGTCAACGAACAAACATAAGTGATATATTAGATGTCAGAAATTTTGAGATTCATAGGTATAATGCACCATAAACGTAGCACAACGTCCAGATGGCGCATTATATTTGCTCCAACCATATTTGCAATATCCAGATCCACCTTCACGATAATAGCAGCCAGATAGAAACAGTCCAAGTCAATAACTTCGAAAAGAGAAATTAATCAATAAAGGAAGTTAGACGTGAAATTTTTTCATATATATGGTATATACGATAGTTGTTAATGCATTTATAACCTTTCAATTTAACTGAAGGACATCTGACATCTCCAGTGTCACAATTAGTTCATCGACAATAAATGTTTGAAAATCAAAATCCAAAGAATTCTCATTGTAAAGGTACAAATAACTCTTATAAATATGTAGCATAGGCGGATCTACCTGGAGATAGAGATGTGGAGATTCACCATCATAACGTAGGCCATCACTTGTACATATTCCTTGGGTGTAATTGCCCTCGTAAGTACCAAATTCACCTGACATATCCAGTGCTGAATATGCCTGTTCATTTGGTTGTGTTGGCAAATTTTAATCCCTTTGTTTAGCATAGGATTTATCTGCTACTCTGTGCTTTTTGTTTCCAATTCCGAAAATTCAATATTATCATTCTGATCCCTCTCGTCATTCAAGTCAAAACGGAAGGAGAAAACCTTGACTAGGTTGTTCTAATGGGTCCCTACTTTTTCCCTGTGTCATTCCTGTCAAGGGACACATTTTTTTCAAGCTGTACTGTCACTTCTACAGACTCATGTCACCAGTAACTGTGCCGCCAGAGGATTCCCTACTACAACTCTTCAACATTAGGGACTCGTCGAAAAAGTTGACTAGAACATAGAGCAGTCATAATTTAAAAAGTGGATACGTCTCAATTTGCCAAACGTCGTCACATGGAGTAGAAAACTTCTGTCATAGTAATCGGACACAAAATACAACAAAGCTAACTTATGAAATTTTTTACTTCGACAGATAAGCAACAGATATGCAAAATGATAACGCAAATGCTATTTTTTATATGTTTCTCTTTATAATGATAAGATTATTATTATTATTGGAACAGACCTAACTATGAGAATTTGATGCTCGTATCTACCATCATAATCACCTAAAAAACGAGGTAGAAAACTTGTTACGGTAGAATGATTATGGGAGGGTACAGTAGTTTAGAACTCACCATCAATGATAACGGAGCCTGGAACTTTTTCACGCTGAGCATAAATATGCATAAAGGATAACTGAGGTGAATGACTGAAGTATGCCATGTAATTCCTGCATGGAAGTAACGAATCAGATAACGCCATGATGAAAAGGTGACATCTAAAGAGCAATTGGCACACATTTTAAAAGAAAACTCTGAGTTACAGATTGCGCATCTTGAAAGAGATTGGTGAATAGACAGATTGAAATAAGGCTCTATTATCAATGATTAAAAATAAAACTAAATCCATAAAATGATTCAAAATTTTCATAAATCTTTCATGCTTACATGTAACAATGAGATCGACCTGGCATTTTGAACACGTGAAAGAACATTTCAAACATTATATTTAGAAAAAACATTATACTTCGAGAAACTAATGCACTAAAACTTGATCATCGACAATTTTAATAGATAAATATGATATTGATAAAGGAATCGGCGGCAGATGATATAAGACTATCAAGAAAAATCCACATGAATGTGGAGGCTAATGAACGAGCTGAATAAGTGGTATTCTTAAGGAAATAAATCTTCCAATAACACCCATGATATATGCTTGAAACTACATGAAATATGAAACTTCAATGCTTAAGGCATCATTATAAATTCTTCTTGTCATCGGAGTATCGGTATTGTGCATGTTCCAGAATCAAACATTTCAGAACTTTTGGGGACGGTAAAGAATTCGGTTTTATAAGAAATTTCGCTGCAGAGTATCTCGCGAACAGCTTCTGCTGACGTACTGAACCCCTAATCTGTGAAAGGCTCAGATGATCACATGCGTTTATCACATGTGATCACACTATGATAAAAGTATACTGCCCCATTTTTTCAAAAGAATATTTTTAAGCTATTAATCCCTAGATAAAGGGAAGGAATTTTCACTAGACTAGGTTAATACGATCCTAGTGGCATCGGGACATCAACGAAAAACGATTCTCGAACAGTCCAAATACAGTGATTACAATAACATCCGAGCGAATTAAATATTCACCGTTCTTCCCAATTTACAGGAATTAGATATAATTACTCACGTATGAGGCCTTCCTGGTCTCAGGTACGTCTCGGCAAAGATAGCGGTATCCCAAGGTTCTCTCCCATTCTGGAGGAAGAAAGCCCAGAGCATGTTGTCCGAAACAAGCTCCTTCCAAGCCCTGCACACGGCGCTAGCCCTCGCGGCGTCCCTCGGTCCAAGCAGCCTGAAGATCTGGATGAAGACTTCCGTGGGAAGCTGGTCTAACGGCCCCGCCGAGGCTGGTCGATTGGCCGTCTGGTGCGAGGAGCCAACCCTCGAGTCCGGCCCCGATCGGCTTATCATGGATTCCCAAACCTTCTTGAGAATCACGGCCATAGGAGCTCGGTCGCCGGCCGGAAATCCTTGAGATGAGAGAAATCACGGCCTCCGGTGAGGACTGAGCAGGAGGATCTTCGCATAAGGAATCATGCCTCCGGGGAGGTCGTCCGCTGGAAGAGAAGAAGGGAAGCTCCGTCAACGTCAACGAACTGGTTAGTACCGACGAAAAATAAAACGTTGTTTGGAATCACTTCGAGTGAAGAAACCGATTCTGGGGCTCTAGCATCTACGTGGCGGGATAACCGCCAGCATATCCTCGATCGGCGAGCTTCCCGCCGTTCCCTTCTGGGCCTTGTCCTCTGCCATTAGCGGCAGACCAGACCGATGACGTTTCGAGTGGCCAGTGTTCGCCCTACTGTCAATGTTGGAATAATACCATATAAATTTATCAGGAAATCAATATTTTAAAACCAAAATAAGTCAATGGTATTATTGACAGATAAAATATTAATTTGAATTTATTTATCCTCAACATAACTCGAAATAATTCGAATTTACAGAGGTTCTCCTTTTCCAGGAGAATTTTTTTTGAATAATTTAATTAACTAATTGGTTAATGATGAGTGTATTATATGAGTTATCGCTATTTTTAAAAGCAAATAATTTATCTTTTCCGAAATTATTATTATTATTAAAAATTCATCTCAAAACGGGGCACGAAAATTGGCGATTCGAACCTTCTAGAGTGTGGATCATACCGTGTTACTCAGCCATATGTCCACGTATTTGATTTCACTTCCACCGCTGGTTTGTGTCCATCTCAGTCTCGGGAAGTGTTCGCACTTCCGGTCCTCTCTCGGTGTTTCATTTGTCTCATTTTCAAGCCGTCCTTTTCGCCTATCGGCGACCAGTACGTCCTCGGCGCTTCATCCGCCATTGACGTCTGCTCGGAGTTCTCTGAGGAGGCGCCTCGCAAGCCGGAATCCGCTGCCTTTGGTAAGTCCTTCCTTGTCTAACTACCTTTACTCTCTGGCTTTTTTGACTTCGATCTGTTTGAACACGTTGGTGGACTTCGTTCCTCTTTTCTCCTGTTCCTCATCCTGCGCTGACTGGTCGCCTGATCTTTTGGGGCACCGCTGTGACCGGGGATAAGGTCGGATCGGGTGAGAAACCTCGATTCCTGCCGAGTCAACTAGGTGATATTTGTGTACTTCGCTGTTGATCGCCCTACCCCCATGCTGTTGCTTGGATTCTCCAGACATGTTGCTTGTCTGACGCTTTTAATCATTTTCCGTGGGAGCGTTCTTTGTTTGCTTTGGATTTATTCTCTTGCGGTTCCTATGAAGAAATGATGTGCATTAAATGTTGTCTGTTTGTTTCGAAGTGTCATATTTTTCGGTTTTTCCATCTGTTAGGGTTGTGTCACTTCGGTCATATTGTTCTGGTTCTTTATCTACACATCCCTTAGCACGGTTTTCATATTTTCAAATCTATTTGCTTATTTTACTTACTGTATTTTTCCTCGACATAATTAATTAACTTTCCTTAGTAAAACTGTTATTCCAAACAGTTAATTTACATGATTCCCTCTGTTGTCCAGGAATCGTACCTCTCTGTTGCATTGGGATCGATGTTACCCAGCAATCATCTCCTCCTGATCTAATTCTGTCTTACTAATGACATCTGATCCATAAACCCAGTGCCCATTTAGTCTCACCCCTTCCATGCTGGTCCAGTTTGATGGAGAGAGCCCAGACTTTCCCATATTTTTGGTTTCTGCGGAGCTAAATGTTGTGTGATACCAGGGTCGAGAGGTGATCATATCTAAGTCGTAGGATTCAGGAGTAAAGGTTTCAGGAAATTTTTAAGGTAGAGACATAGGGGATTTAATCAGTACTCATCTATATATTCTTTACCATTTAATGGTTAGTAGATTATAAATTTATTTTTTACGCACTTGTGGTCTGGAATTTTCAAAAATTAAATCGGAACTACGTTCTTTTCCTGTTTAATGCCCATGATGATGATTTTTTAAATATCATTTATTTTTGCTATCTGGATACTGTATGCTCGAAAGTTCAGATGATTGATTGCATAATTTTTTTGTTTATGTTGAAATCCTCACTTCTTATTGAATCTATGATTTTACCGTGTCCTAGTTATGTCTGCTGAAATCCATCAGTAACGTCTATCTTGACTTTTATGTTGAATTCTTCTCGAGCGGGAGATTGTCCTCATCACACTCCTGGGAAGATATATCCTAAAACCTTATCACGATTAAACTGATGTGCTAACAGTTTTATTTACACTGATGAATATTTTTATTCGAAGATGTTTATTTCTTTATCCTTTTCATCATCAAGATCAGAATATCCATTAATGGGTTTTTTTTAATTCCAATCTCTAGATTGGTATTTTGGTTATTTTCTCCTTTTTATGAGCAGACTTCCTAGCCAGCTTTTATGGATATCATACAAAACAATAAGTGCACATTGATCCGCACAAGCAAGAATGGACTTCTCTAACTAGATAATGAAATAAAAATAACAATTCTCTACTTCATATCAAGTATTGTGGATCGATCGGATGAAAAGCAGCTGTTCTGATCTATTCAGATATTTTTTTGGAATTTTGTTTATCTTCGTGTTAGAAAGCATCTTGTTTACGTACGTGATTAGTGGGAAATGAATAGCAATATCATCAGAAGAAGAATTCAGAAAAAAAAAAAAAATGAAAATCACTAACTCGTTCACCACCTTACGTAGCACGTTTAGAGATTCGAATCGAGGAGCATCATGGCTAGTAAAAGAATCCAGAAGGAACTGCTGGATTTGCAGAGGGATCCCCCAACTTCCTGCAGTGCCGGCCCGGTCGGAGAGGATCTTTTCCACTGGCAAGCGACGATCATGGGCCCTGCAGACAGCCCTTATGCGGGAGGTGTTTTCTTCATCAAGATTCATTTCCCCCCGGATTACCCTTTCAAGCCTCCCAAGGTCAACTTTCAGACAAAGGTCAGCTCTCCCCAGATCTCGCCGCTGACTTGCTCTTCAGAATCATGCATCCTGCGCATTTTTGGCATTTCAGAGGTTTTTGGATGAATCTCTGGTTGACTCTGACCATCCCCTTCCTTCTATGGCAGGTCTACCATCCCAACATCAACTCCAACGGCAGCATCTGCCTGGACATTCTCAAGGAGCAGTGGAGCCCCGCGTTGACCATCTCGAAGGTCCTCCTCTCCATCTGCTCTCTCCTCACGGACCCCAACCCAGACGACCCCCTCGTCCCGGAGATCGCTCACATCTACAAGAATCAGAGGCCCCGCTACGAAGAGACGGCCAGGGCCTGGACCCAGAAGTTCGCCATGGGTTGACTCGGGGCCCAAGACGACCGTTACAGGTTAAGTCAAACCTGCACCCGCCTCCCCCCCCCCGACGTCTCCTGGTGTGCCCCTCGAGCTGTTTTTGTGATGATATCTATTTACGGAATTATTATGCGCTTGACTCTCCCCTTGACTTTTAGTAACTTAAAGTCAACGATACTTGACCGTCAGTCCGCAGTCGTTGGTGCCTGACTAGCTTTGAGACCAAGGCCAAGTCTTCTTTGCATTCGGAGAAGGGGAAGGGGGATTCGCCGACAACTCTCAGCTCTCTCTCTCTCGCGCGCTCTCTCACTCACTCACTCACCCTCTCCCTCCCTCTCTCTCTCAGCTCTCAGCTCTGGGGTCTCTCTCTCTCTCTCTCTCTCTCTCTCTCTCTCTCACTCACTCACTCTTTCACTCACTCTCTCCTCTTTCTCTCAGCTCTGGGGTCTCTCTCTCGCTCCCCTCTCTCTTAAAGAAATCTAAATTTATTGATATATTTAGTAATTTAGGGCCTTCAAAAGCTAGCAGTCGTGCTGGCCAGACTATTCCCAGCGATTGGGATTGCCATGATTTGACCGTAATTCGGATCTCGGAGCTTCCTTTTCTCAGTCACTGGAGGGTGGGCGTGGGAGAGAGATACGGTCACCGGCTTTCTAATTACGTCAGATCCAAAGAAAGCAATACCCGCTTGAGTCTATGATGGCCCACGCCTTCTAGCCCAAATAAGCGGTTTTTAAACCCATTAATAAAATCATGGACTGTATCTCCACGTCGTAACGCGTTGACTTCCACCCATTGACTATACCGACTGAACCTGCAGCTCCACAGTCGGGTTTTGGATGATGGAGGTTGATCAATCTAAACCGTAGGATCTGCATTGGACGGTGACCCACCGTTCAAGCGGCAGAAGCATCTCGCCGAAGATATGGCGCATTCTTTCCGCGGTTCGGTTTCCATACTACGTGTTGTGGGGGGCGTTTCGACGGAAGCTCCCTTACTTAAAAACACTTTCTAATTAACCTCTTACTAATTGTATTTAAATAAAAAACAGAGCCCATCCGATCTCGGTGGAAAGAAATCATAACTACGGACCTACAATAGATGTCTAGATAAATAATTTTAAAAACTGGGTATAATTGAAAAAATTATATGCTTTTAATAATGTGCCCCGCCTCCACGTAACATACCCATTAGGGTAGAAGCTTGGGAGCGTTACAGCGTGAGAGCGCCACCAGGTTCCGTCAATTCCGCCGGGGCTGGTGCGTGCATGCCTCGCCGCCCGTCGTCTCCTCCGCTGGCTCTCCACCGCCGGCGTCTCCTCTCGCCGCTGCCACCGTCTCCGGCAGTGGCCGGTCTCGGCCTCCGCCCGAGGAAGAAGAATCCTCAAGGCGCTCCGCCGGCGCCGGCGCCGGCGGCACGTTTTGAGGCGCAGAGCGACTCGAGAGCCTCTTCTTCGAGTGCGGCGGAGAAGGGAGAGAGGGTTCCAAGAGAAGGACCGATGGTGAGGCTTCGGATCAGAGTTTCGAGAGAAGCGGTGGAAGAAGTGAGAGAAGTGCGAGAAGAAGAAGGAGATGACGGAGATGAAGAAGCAGAAGTCAGAGAAGAGGAAGAAGATGATGGTGATGATGAAGAGGATGAGGATGAGAAGGAGGAGAAAGTAGTTGAAGAGGTCGCTACGACTTGCTTGATCTGTGGGAGGCACTTCCATTCAAGGAATTCACTGTACGGGCACATGAGGTGCCACCCGGACAGGGAATGGAGGGGAATGACCCCGCCGCCGGTACCTGACTCCGGCAGACCGGAGGGAGTCCCCGTCGCCGGCCCCCCGACGCCGCCGCTGAAGTGGTCAACGACCCAGAAGAGAGGCCGGAAGGGCACCAAACCCCACGATCCAGCTTCTCCCATTGGCGGCTTCTGCAACGATGACCCGACGATGATGGACGCCGTCTTCAACCTCCTCTTCATGGCCAATGGCCGCTACTACAGCTACAAGACTCCTTTCAACTTCCAGTCGAGGAATGATCCAAGAATCGAAGATGTACAGCTCCTTTCCGACGATGGGCAGTCGTCCAACCCTACGGATTCCACCTTCGAACCAGATAAAATGGACATGTGCGAAGATCGTGATCGATCTGCTGAAACGCCGGAGACACCCGTCGCCGGCCATGGCGGGTCTGGGGGAGAAGATCAAAGCTCCATCTTCGATAGGAAAGGGAAGAGGAAGATGAAGGACATGGAGATCCTACAGGAACCTCGCGCGCCGTGGGGGAGGAAGATGAAGTACGGCTGTAGCAGCTGCAACAAGAGTTTTCATACCCACCAAGCACTGGGCGGACACATGGCCAGCCACAAGAAGGAGAAGCAGGTTCTTGACGGCGGTGGCGGCGGCGGAGAGGCGGAGAAGCCGGCGAGCGTGGAGGAGCAGCCTGTCTTGCCCACTGTGTCTGGGGTGAAGAAGGCGGCCATGGCGGAGCACCGCTGCGACAAGTGCGGTGTGGCGTTCCCCACTGGGCAGGCCCTGGGAGGACACAAGAGGAAACATTGGAACGGACATGAGAGCTCCATCTTCTCCAACGAGGCCCAAGAAATCTCTTCCGAGATTCGATCTCGCCTGAGGTTGGGGAGATCCTCCGCTGTTGCACCGTCACAGAAAGATTCATCGGAGAAGGGGGAAGGAGGAGAGCTCCATCGTTCATGGCCGGCTGCTGCAAGAGACGAGAACGGAAAGACAGCGGCGCCGCCCGGTGTGATCGATTTCGATCTCAACGAGCAGCCCATCGAAGAGGGGGAATCTTGAGGGGTATCTTATTATTTTATTTAATTTCCAGGGAATTCGATGTGATGACTGTGTCTCCAGAATTCACTCGCCAGGTTCTTCTCGGACGGCTTTTGCGCTCTCAGTGGGTTTCTCTTCCTGGAAATATACTGGTGTTTATGCTGCTCATTTATTGAATTCTTCACATCAAATATTATGCCGTAAGCCTCTCTATCTCTCTCTCTCTCGCTCTCTCCCTCTCTCTCTCTCTCACTGTCTCACTCCATCTCTCTCTCTTACTCTCTCTCACTCCATCTCTCTCTCTTACTCTCTCTCTCTCTCTCTCTTTTACTCTCTCTCACGCCATCTCTCTCTTACTCTCTCTTTCTCTCTCACACTCCATCTCTCTCTCTCTTACTCTCTTTCTCTTTCTCTCTCCATCTCTGTCTGTCTCTCTCCCACCCCATCTCTCTCTCTCTCTCTCTCTCTCTCTCTTACACGGACAACACGAGGGCATATGTAGGTTATCATAACATTTTTTATCAGAACAGATTTGGTAAAATGACGTGATATCATAAAATATTATTGTGGCCCAACAAATATATAATGGGTTTACAATTCTCAGACCAGTTCGGTAGAACAGATTGACGGGAAATAAATTAAATTTTAAATTATTCCTAAAAAAAAATCCAAAGTCAACTAGGATATACTGCAGAAATCTTGGGCTAGTCGAAGGATCGGAAATCCATTCAAATCAGGCTCGGACACGATCTAGTTTTCAGGTGATGAATCTCACAAAGATTTTATCTCACATACATCATGAACTCAGATGCAAAAATAGAGCGCATGAGATGAACTTTCTGAATATTATTCACAAAAAAAGGGGAAAATGAATACTTGGCACAATCCCCGTTCTCGAATTATTTCACAAAAAAAATGACAAATAATACTCGGCTCTCTTCTCTCTTCTCTATCTTAAGTGGGCAGAGTCTCATGGGAAGGAGGCAGCAACTGGATGAAAAAGGAAACGAGGGCAGCAAGCGACAGCAAGAACTGGATGAAACAGCAGATGGAAACCTTACAGACTCTGTTCCTCAGTGTCAACGCCTTCTTAGATCCCAGCAGTCGCTGGCAGGTCAAATCCAGCTCCTCCAGCTGAGTCATAAGCATGACGATGGCCTGCTCTTCATCACCTTCCAGCTTACTCTGCTCCCCTCCAAAGCCAGCGTTCTTCTGCTCATGAAGAGCTGATGGGTCCCCTTTAACGATGACCACCTGTTGTTGCACCGTACTCATTAGCATCAGATATCCGATTTCTGCCTCTATATTTCTTCTGATGAGGATATAACGTTCCAGTTCCATTTCCCTGAGCTTGAGACCCCCTCCCTTCCTTGACCTCCACAGCCGAGCCTACCTTCCTCAGGTCAGTCCTTCCCTCTATATTTCTGATGATTGGAGTGACAAGATGAGTGACTTGATGGCATCGCCTCCTCTGTCCCAACTCCACCGAGTTTCTCGACCTCTGAAACAATGGGGCATAAGAAAATAAGAACCATGGCTGTGGTTTTTATCAATGAATTTCTACCTTATCGATGGCTTCCACTTCTTGGATTGCTCAATGTGAGGTCACAAATCAAAATATATGGTTAATCATTATTATACAATAAAATAAAGTAAGCGGCAATAACTAGATCCTTTCAGTGACACCCCAACAAGAACGACAATCCAGTTTCCCAACATCAGTATGAATGCCAGAAATCAGTCTCCCATGGGCTAAAGAAATAATGTATAAATCTGTCAGATCCACACCGATCAAGGTCTAGCCTTATGTGAAGCTAGTCCCCCTGCAACATGACCACCATATGATGGGATTCAGGGGGATTGATCAGGATGGCAAAGTCGAATGCTTCTCCAATGAGATAGAGAGCTCAAAACTTTTGTATACAGTAAATCTGCAAGCACAGGGATTTCCTTCCTTCTGCTTTTATTCAAAGTTCATACAGCATGCATACTGGTCTGAGCCATGCAGACGTGCCCAGAAAACTTTTGGTGATCCTCCGGTGGGCCAGAAAACCAAAATGCGCTGAAGTATGCGGTTCAATAAATTGTTGACAACACGCACAGGGGATATGAAATAGTCATTTGGCATCTATGTACGATCAAATAACCGCCTTCTTTTACAAGCTTGGATGATGTCTCATTTCATTGTTTTATTACAAGGTCAAGTAAAGGATCGAGCATGCATATTTTGAACCATAAAATTATAACAGAGGTACCAAAAGGGCAGGAAAAAGATGAGCAAAGGGGCGTAGAGGGGGAACCTTTGTCAAGGGCTTCCTGTGCTCTCTGGAGAAAAACGATTGATTCAGCAAGGGGTCTTCCTCTTCGTAGTGTGAATTATCCTCACAAACGTTCCTTTTATCGTTTCCCGAAATGTTAGCGTGAGCATCCTCTTCTGATGCGACTTCGACGCTTCCTCCTCCCTCCTTGTGCATGCTTGGTTGGGCTTCCTCGATCATCTCTGTGTTGCCACTGTTCTCCCCGTCAAAATTCATTGAAGTTTCACTAGGACTGCCATTAGCACCGGTACCGTGCCACTGTGCAACGACTGTGCTGGAACTTCTCAAGTCGGACTCAACACTCGAATGGGAATTCTCTTCCTCATGCACAGTCTGAATATCACTTTCCTTCTTCTCGGCGTCGTTCCCACAACCCTTCCATCCCTGTCCACGAGACAGCACAGCTTGACGAGAAGCTTTTCCCCCTGGTATCCTTACTCGGTTCCTCTCCTTCATATATCCCAATCCTTCCCTCTTATGCTTCAAGGCAGTCACTGTCGAGGAAGACTTGCTGCTCCTATCGTCGCTGTTCTCAGAATCTGTGCCGAGAGAGAAATCAGTCCTTGCCACCAGCAGCTCGAGCTCCGGATCCATGGATCCAAAGCTAGACATATCATTTAGAACACCCTGCATATGCCCCAATTCCAACGATCCAATCGAGATATCGGCCTTGCAGTCATTCTCCAGTTTGTCGTCGTTCCGGTTCCTGGAAGGCTCCGCGATGGAAAGCACGCGCTTGAGAACCCTGCTGGCATCAGGCTCTCTGCATCCGTCCTTACTCGTATCCCGCATTATCCTCCTCCATTTCTTAAGCCCAAAACCTTTGGTCGTCGATGACGAGGCCGATACTGGGGAAGCCAAATTGTTGGAAACGACAGCCAAATGAGGAGACTCACTCAGCAGTGGAGATGGCTGTGAATTCACCATTCTCACAGCTGATTCGACAGAGTCCCCGAACAGATCACCCCCTTTCCCAACTCCGATTTCATCGCCCTCGGGTTTCCCCATCTTCGATTGCCTACTCATCTCGCCATTGGTCTCCTCAACCGTAACTAGAACTTGATAAATTCGAACCCTACTCTGCCTCCCCCTTGTCCGCCTGCGATCCAGGTTTCCCCTCCCCGCGGATCGCTTCCATAGCTTCTCGAGAAGCGAAAGAACTAAGAACCAGCCGATCTCGGAAATGACGATGTATAATCTCAAAGAAAACGTTCAGTGATCGAGCTATTCGATCCTCAGGCCCACTCAAATTCTCATATCCCGTAGCTCACTGTCGATAAAGCAGCGACAACGGAACTGCCTCGAAGAAAGAACAAGAACTCAGAGAATTACCGTCATGTTCGGCTTCCCAAGGGAAGATGGGAGCCGCAGCCCATCCGCCATCACCTCCACTTCAAGTTCGAGCATCCTTGGAGGGGAGAACGGCTGCTTCCTCCCTTCCGAACCATAATGGAGGTACCCACCCATCACTCCCTCCCCCCAGCAAGACCTCCCCACTACTACACGCTGAAAATCCTCTCGCGCCACAGCATGGGAAGAAAATGGAGTTGAGGGGGTATTTTCGTCTACCTGTATATTTTACGACGCAACTTTGACCCGGCCCGGGCCCGGTTCGACCCGTGTTTGAAATCGACTCTGTTGAATTAACTTCGTTGAAATCACAATCAAACATTTATGCCCAGGTTCAAAATCCGATTCTCATGCACACCCAAGAAATCAGGAATCGATCTGTGACCTTAAGCCGACAAAGTCTTCCTCTCCGTCTTCCTCCTGGAATCCCCCGGGGAAACTCTCCAAAATCTTCTCCTCCTCCGCGCTCAGCACCGCCATGGCTTCTTCCAACTCCGTCACCAGCTGCTGGTCGAACCAGTCCCCCTCAGCGGCGGCGGCGCCTCCGCCTCCGCCGCCGCGTGCGGTGCAATTCCCGAACCTGGGGGTGGCGTAGGACCCCGGGGAGAAAACCACGCCGCCGCCTTTCAGCCACTCTCCGAGATCTCCGGAGCGGGAAAACTCAAATCCGCTGGGGATTCTCAGAGCCGGAGGCTCCCCCGCCACCCCCTTCCTTCTCGGACCCTTCCAGCCGCCGCCGGCGCCGCCGTCCTCCGCAGCGCGAAAGCTTTCTCCATTTTCCTGTAAATCCGCCATCAACTCCTGGGCGTCGATAGTTTCAGGGATTGTGGGCTCTCCGGCGAGTGCGTCGGAGGGCTTGCTCGTATCCGGGGCAGCGTTCTTCGCCGCCGTGAGCTTCCGTGGGGCGGCGGAGAGAAGGGCCACGAGGTTGCCATCGCCGCCGCTCATGGCGGCAAGAAGGCTTCCAAGGGTCGGCACCACGCCGCTGGTTCTGCGGAAGCTGTGGCCGCTTTCTTCCCGGAAGCTCCTCGACCTCGTTACCGCCTTCGAAGAAGCGCAGCCCATCTCTGCAGGAGAGGAGCTTCTGAGAGCCTGAAGATCAGAGAAGGGAAGCAGGAGAAAAAGAGAACATCCGAGGAGAAGTTGGAAGCCTTCCTCGTTCGTGAGTCAAAACACTGGTCAACCTGCCGCTCGCCGGGAAGATATTGACCGGCAAGAGGCATCCCAGTAAATCCTGTCGTGGTGGTCAACATCCGGGGGCGGAGGCGGCGCTCTTTCCATAGACACGTTGCTATCTTTCACTTGGTAGAGAGAACCTGGGTCGTTGAACAGTACCTTGAGGGGGCCTTTTCTACGGTCATTAGCTTTTAAAGAAGAATATTACACCGCCAGAAGGCTGACACGTGGTTTGAACCTCGTTGACTTCTGGATTGATGCGTGGCACTTAGAGTCCGTCAATGACAAGGGAATATTCCATCTTATTTTATTAAAATAATCCTGCTACTTTGTGACTATTATTCGAGTAATTTTTTCCATCGTGTTGTCTAAGAAAGTCCGTCAATGTATTAAGTTCCAGAATATCCATCACTATTTAATCAATTATTCGTTGATATTTTCTCATTATGGGATTTAAAAATGCATCACTTAAAATAAAATTTTTTTGGGCTGATTTTTTTTTTAATTATAAATACTTTATTTTGATAAAACGATGATGTAAGAGTATGAGAATGACATATAATTTACTAGTAGTTGACCAAGGGGATCTTTTGATCACATATGGGCAGATTCTTTATAAAAAAGCATATATATACAAGAAGTAAATTAAAAACGTATTATTTGAAATTTTTTAATATAAAATGATGATTTACGAGTATGAGAATGATAAATAATTTGCTAGGAGTTGACCAAAGAATTTTTATTTTAATTGCATATAAGCATATATTTTATGAAAAAATATATCTACAATAATTTGAATTAAAAACGTATTACTTGAATTTTTATTTTTTATAAACTGATGATGCACGAGTTTGAGAATGATAAATAAGTTACCAGTAGTTGACCTAGATTTTTTTTATCACATATAAACATATTTTTAATGAAAAAATCAAATATCTACAATGATTTGCATTAAAAACGTATTTTTTGAATTTTTTATTTTTTATAAAATGATAGTGCATGACATGGAGAGGCGGTAAAAAAAAATCAGTGTTGCACGGGAAAGGTAGGCTAGAGGGTATAAAATATATAAATGTTTATAAGGACTGATTTACAAATAATTTATACATCGACACTGTGCCGCTGAGATACTCGGCAGTGGGCTCAGGGGCCGCTGGTCGCGGCGGACCTCTGGTAGCTGCGATTGTCGTCGGCGGGCAAGGAACGGGCGGCGGTAGAGGTGAGGATCGTACTTTTTGCCCTAAAACTTTCGGTCGTAGTCCGCTCCTCGTCGTTCCTCACGGAGGAGGAAATATGTTAATGAGGTTGTAGATATGGCTCATTGTGGAGCTTGTAACACCGTTGTTCCTTCTCTCCTGGTTTATCTTCAGCCTGCAGAGGCAGTTACCACGGTCTAGGTTTATTCAGTGGTTAATTTTCTGCAGTCAATCCGTGATAATATGTTAAGCAATTTCTGTACGTTTGGGAAATTGTTGTGTTTCGTCATTCTGGTGGTAGGAAAAGGGATTATGGATCCTATTAGGAACCACGCGGGTGTCGGCCCATTGATGAAGGGTATTGCGAGTAAGAATTCCTTAAAACTGTATATCATCGGCTAGCTGCGGCATACGAGGCATAGATAACATTCTATCCTGCCATGTGCTAAAGATTACCTAAACATTTTCCTTTCTGCCCTTGCATTTTATACGTTATTAATTTTTTGGAGCGTTATTCGTCAATTCAGTGGCTTTTCTGGTGCTATTGACCAACATATTCTATGATAGACGTGTTGCTGGGACAAAACCCGCGTGATTTCAACGTGACTTTCACCGTTTGTTTGATCTGAATAATTTTCTGATCAGTGAATTTTGAGGATCTGAATGTTTTCATTTCTGCAGCTGGAGTGGTCAACGTCATCAAAAATTCATTATGAGAAGAGCTGGTTCATTTATGGTGAAGATCAGTGATCAGGTTTCTTTTCTTTTTTTCTTCATCCGCAAAAATGTTGTTTCTTATGCTTTTGTTAGGAGTTGAAGATATGTTTACAGGTCTCATGTACTTTCAGGTCTGTTTAATGGTTGGCTTTGAGTTCTGATGTTAAGGTGTTTTGGACGCCAGTCTCATACTCTCACCTTGCCACTGTAACCTCTGCAATGTCACTACGGTATGGAGCTTTACATCAAGTTTCTTTACCATTGTGGTCCACATTGCTGAGTCAGATGCAATTTCCATGATGGATTCTTTTTATCATTGCGTTTCTGTATGCATAATTCTTTGCATACTTCGTTTATTGATTACATTATTCATTTCACTTTACATTATTTTCTATCACTATAAATTTAAATATTCCCTATTTGGACCTGGGCCTGATGACTTGTGGCTTTTTCAAATTTCTTCTATGCTGTGCCTGAAATGTTCACTTTCATGTGTAAGATATATTATGGTGAATGGAATGATATCAATGTCCGAAACTGGTCACGAGTAGCCTTCCGCTTTTTTGAGATTTATGATAACATGTACGAATTTACGAGCTCAAATGGAACTTTCTCGCGCAATCTCCCTTTATTCAGCTGTTATTTTCATCGTTTTGTCTCTTGGGATAATATTGCGAATAAAAATTGAGAGAGGGAAATCAGTCATCTGAACAACCTAATGAAGGACCTTTCATGCAGGGCTTCATGGATAAGATTCCGGAAAATTCGTCTGGCAATACAAAATTTCTCAGCGGCTGTAAACTTCTCATTATTTTCCCATTTTTCTACCCATCTGTCTCCGCAAAAGACCAGATACGTGGCTTTTTCATCTTGGGATTCTGCCCCATTTTGTTTCTCTCCGGTAAAACAGCTAGTTGATTCCTTCCCATCCGCGCAGAGAAAAATCATGCATTTCAGGTTGCTGAATCGGCAACAAAAATTGAGATTTTCCAGCAGTGCTTTAGTGACTTTGAAGTCAGACGACTGCATGGCAAGATTTTCCTTCGACGAGCGACCTGAGGCGAATAATGGAAATCGGATAAAAGTAAAGGAGCGGACAAAACGGGTGAAGAAGTCCAGGAGAGCAAAGTTGAAAGAACTTCGATTTTTCCGCTTGAAGGCCAAAAAGAAGATGAAATCTCCAAATCCAGAAGTTAGAATTAGATACAAGCTTGAAAAGGTATTAAAAAGACTAAGCTGATTGTTTACTTCCCTACTTGTATTTCCTCATAGCTTTTGTTTTTTTTATTTTATATTCATTGATTCCATGCAGAAATTAGAATAATAGCCTCACATATCAGACAAAATTTTGCGAAGCAAACAATGCTTCTCCTTACCAACTGTTGGTCATCCAGGCCAAAAGAAAGGAAGAGTGGCTGATAGAGAAGCTGAGGAAATACGATATCCCCAAAGGTCTTGATCCCATATGCGACCCTGAAATTATGACTGAAGAGGAGCGGTTTTATCTCAAGCGCACTGGTGAGAAGAAGAAGAATTACGTGAATGTGGGAAGACGTGGAGTTTTCGGTGGTGTGGTGCTGAATATGCATCTTCACTGGAAGAAGCATGAAACAGTAAAAGTAGTCTGCAAGCCTTGTAGACCAGGGCAAGTCCATGAGTACGCTGAGGAACTAGCAAGGCTTAGTAAAGGCATAATTATTGACATAAAGCCTAACAATACCATTTTATTCTATCGCGGTAAGAACTATGTGCAGCCCGAGGTCATGTCCCCTCCTGGTACACTGTCAAAGCAGAAGGTAATTCACTTTTAACATGCTTCTTTTTCTATATATAAATATAGCATGTGTCTCCTATTGCATTTTGATACGGGTCTTTCAAATCAAACACCAAAAAATAAACCACTACCCATTTTCCTTTACCCCTGTATACACACACACACACACACACACACATATATATATATATATATATCGAGAGAGAGAGAGAGTTTCTTGTTGGTTGCTGAAATGGATTTCCAAAAGAAACTAAGCCCCCCTCCCCCCCAGTTTGCTTTTCCGTGATTTCAATCAGAACTGAAACTTGCTCTCTGCTCGTCACCATCGATCTTGCTTCATCTCTTCTTCAGGCTTTGGAGAAGTACAAGTTTGAACAGTCCCTCGAGCACACAGGCCGGTACATCGAGAAACTGGAGTTGGAGCTGGAAGAGTACCATAAATACGTTGCTTCATACAAGACCAGAGACAACCCCACAAGCCCAGTTTAAGTTTGACATCAAACGGTAGCTAATGCTGATTTGACTTTATTATCATATCATTTCCACCTTCCGGCAGGGGCACCTTCTGGCCTTCTTTCCATTTCCATGATGAGAAGAAGAGGGAAGGAAGAGGTCGAGTGGGGGTACTCTTCTCCGTCGTCGTTCAAGAGAAGGGGTCCTACCCCGTGAGTATCAGAGGCTTGCTCTCTTCCTGCTCTTCAGCATCTGTCGGCTTCCACGGGCTCCCCGCCATGCACGGGGGGGGGGGGGGCGGAGCACGCACTGCAGCTGTCTTCTCAGAGGAACGACCGCCGCCACTTCCATGGTGAGATTCCGGCTGGTTTTCTTTCTCACATGATCGACCATTGAATGTGGCTGAGCTGTGCGCAGGTGGATACCCCGCTGATCCAATCAGCGGCCGCCTCCTCTCTCTCTCTCTATATATATATATATCCGACGGGGGAGCCCGCAGGTAACACTTGAAGTACCTGGCGGTCGCTGCTTGAAATGTGTGCTTTTTTTTAAAAGCGTTTACGGTCCCGTCGGGACTCATTTACCTTTATTGGCTTTCCGGTCTTGTCCTTTGACCACCCCTCTCTCTCTCTCTCTCTCCTCTTTCGTTTTCAAATGAATGAAAAAATAAAAAATGATATTTTGATGCGTGGGGTTAGGCATCCACTGACGTTCTCTTCTTATGAAGCTTGAAGGGACGACTGGTTGACTGCAGTTGGCAGTAATATAATGAGGTAGATTTTGGTGACTAACCCGGGTGAGATTTCCTAAACCCCATGTTGGAAAAAGTTGATTTCTAGTGAAAGCTCGAATCCTTTTGGCGAATCCTGAAGAACAAAACCTTTTTTGTACATAACCCACGTAGATTCTGAGCCATATTTGGCAAACTATGCAATCCTGCTTAGGGTTTATCCACCCATCAATGACCAGGAGATCTCCTTGTCGTAGCAGCAACTCCTCTCCTCCCATGAGGGCAGAGATCAGTCAGCTCATGTGTTTCAGCACCGCCTTGTATTTTTCTGAGTTCCCGTTTCTTCCACCTCTGTATCGATCTTGCAGTTGGACTGGTCTCCGGCTCGGATGCCGGCGCAGGGCCCGACCCTGTTGAGGAAGAGATAAAAATGGAGATGCTCAGGTCACGGAGCAGCGCGACCAGTCAAACCCTAGTTCATCCCCCTCCCCCTGTTTTTAAAACGATTATTTCAAATGATGCCGCCATATTTAATCTCACCAGCGGATCAAACCCATGCATTTAGATTCCCCCTTCTCGAGATTTGGAGCTCTCTCCGTCTGTTAACGTAGTCCTCTTCGGCCTCTTCCTTGTCCTCCTGCTTCTCTCGCTCATGCTTTTTGCCTGGAAATGCATGCTTCTTTCTGTCCCTGTGGCTCTGATGATTTTGGTGTTCTCCTCTCATGGCGGCCACTTGATTTGATCCGTCGTCCTTCGGGAGGTGTGCCCGAGGTTCCCGTCTTCTCTCCGCCTGCCATTGACGACCTCTCCTTTGTTAGGAATCGGGCGGCGAGTTTCTCCTTCCCTGCCCAGTCGTCTTCTTACTCCCGCCGCCGGAGTTTCTCGTCCCTCTGCAACTCGCCATTGCCGCGGGGATGAAGGTCCCCCCTGATGAAACACAGTGAGTATTTCCTTCTGTCTTCCCCATCTTCCTCACCACTGGTTCCGAGGTGATGGCGGGCGCCAGAGAAGACGGAGACGACGATCAGTTCTTCTCCATGGAAGCTAAGCCGCTCACCATTAGAATCTCCGGCGGCGCTCGCGGGGACTCCGGCGAGAAGTCCGTCCCCATCTCGCCGGCCATCTCCATCTCCATCTCCCCCCACCTGAACTCCCCTTCTCTCATCTCGCCGCCCTCCTCCGCCTTCGTCTCTGCCCTCCAGTCGCCCTACATTTCTCCGAGGGCCTTCATCCCGCCGCCGCCGTCGTCCACCGCCGCCACCAGCACCAACACCACCTCCCTCCCGTCGCCCACCTCCTTCTCCGACGACCTCCCCAGCACCTCCCACACCCCTCCGTCGGAGAGCTTCGACTACCCAAAACCCGAAGCGGCGGCGCCGCCGCCGCGGATCTCCTTTTCCTTCCCCGTCCCCAGAGTTTCCTTCACCAAGGCCTCCATCTCCCCCTCCTCCAACGCGAAGCTCCGCAGCTGCGACGTCTTCATCGGCTTCCATGGCCAGAACCCTAATCTCGCCCGCTTCTGCAAGTGGCTGAAGTCGGAGCTGGAGCTTCAGGGCATCGCCGCCTTCGTCGCCGACAGGGCGAAGTACTCAGACACTCAGAGCCACGAGATCGCCGACCGGATAATCTGCTCGGCCACGTTCGGCGTGGTGATCGCCACCAGTTGCAGCTTCCTGAACCCCTTCACCATCGAGGAGATCAGATTCTTCTCCCAGAAGAAGAACCTCGTCCCTCTCTGGTTCGACACCGAGCTCTGCGAGATCGCGAGGCTGCTCGAAAGCAACCCAGAAGACAAGGAATGGAGGGACGCTTTCGATGGCCTGAGCAGATTCAGCGAGCTCAAGCTCGAAGCAGATGAGAGCAACTGGAGGGCCTGCATTTCCAGAGCGGTCGCCATCCTGAGATCAAAGCTCGGGAGGAAGAGCCTCGCGGAGGAGCTCTTGCAGGAGCTCCCGTTTCTCCGGAACAGATCGTTCGTCGGGAGGGAGAAAGAGCTCGCAGAGATCGAATCTGCCTTCTTCGGATGCGGGTTTTCTCACGACAACGAGTTCTCCAAGCCCCCAGGCATCAATGGCGGCTCCGGCGGTCTCTCCGACGGATTCGCCGACGAGGAAACCGACGCCATTAAGAGCAACGGGAGATTCATCAACCTGGAGATGAGGAATTCCAAGGAACCCACTGCGGAGGCCTGGATCGACCCGCCGCCGATTGAAATTGCCAGCAGAGGAAGGAACCCACTCCAGAAGCAGAGATCGAAGCAGAAGAGATCGAAGCTCGTCGGTGGGAAGAGCCATGGCACTGCCAGCGTCGTCTGCATTAGCGGCCTTTCCGGCATTGGGAAGACGGACCTCGCTCTGGAGTTCGCCCACCGCTACTCCCAGAGGTACAAGATGGTCCTCTGGGTCGGCGGCGAGGCCAAGTTCTTCCGGCAGAACATTCTGAACCTGTCGATGAACCTGAAGATGGATGTCAGCGCAGAGACGGAGAAGGAGCGGGGAAGGATCAGGAGCTTCGAGGAGCAGGAGATGGAGGCCTTCCAGAGGGTGAAGAGGGAGCTGTTCAGAGATATTCCTTACCTGCTGGTGATCGATAATCTAGAAACAGAGAAGGAATGGTGGGAAGGGAAGGACCTCCATGATTTGATCCCCAGGAACACCGGAGCGACCCATGTGATAGTGACGACGAGGCTGCACAAGGTGATGAGCTTCGAGCCGATCCACCTCCAGCCGCTGTCCATGGCGGACGCGTTGACTTTGATGGGTGGGAGGAGGAGGAAGGAGTATTCCGCCGGGGAGATGGAGGTTCTGCGGAAGTTTGACGACAGGCTGGGGAGGTTGACCTTTGGTTTGTCGGCGGTGGGGTCTCTGTTGACCGAGCTGGAGGAGATCTCTCCGGCGCAGCTGTTCGAGGCCGTTGACGGCGTCTCCCTCTGCGATGACTTCTGCTCTGCCAGAGAAGAAGATCCCCTCTGGCAGAGCAACCCCTTCCTCATGAAGATCTTGATCTTCTGCATGGCGATTCTCGACCAGGCCGCCGGAGCGAAGAGCCTCTCCTCGAGGATGGTTCTCGCCGGCGCCTGGTTCGCTCCGGCGCCGGTCTCCGCCGTCCTCTTGGCGGCGGCGGCCAGCGACATTCCGGAGAAGGGGAGCCACCGGCGGCGATGGAGGACCTCTCTCTGCTGCTACTCATCCCCCTGTTTGCAGGTCCCTCGAGCTCGGAGGAGCGAGGTGGAGTCCGCTCTAATGGCGGTGAAGCTGGGTCTTGCCAGGAGAGCCACCAAGCGACCTGGCTTCTGGGTCCAGCTCCACCCCATCACTCAATCCTTCGCCAGGAGAAGATCCGGACTGCAGCCGGCGAAGGCGGCGGTCAACGGGATGAAAAAGATCGGCGACCCAGCGGCGAACTGGGACCATCTCTGGGCCGCCACCTTCCTCGTCTTCGGCTTCAAGTCGGATCCCCCTCTGGTTCAGCTGCAGGCGGCGGAGATGGTCGTCTTCATCAAGAGGATCGCCATCCCCCTGGCGATCCGCGCCTTTGCGACCTTCTCGAGGTGCAGCTCTGCGCTGGAGCTTCTGAAGGTCTGCACGGGGGTGATGGAGGAGGCGGAGAAGACGTTCGTGTCGCAGGTGCAGGGATGGCGGCGAGGTTCTTCTTGCTGGAAGGCGAAGTTGCAGGCGGGGGGGCAGAAGGTGGACGAGCTCGTGTGGCAGGAGGTAACGCTGTTGAAGGCGACCCTGCTGGAGACGAGGGCCAAGCTGCTGCTCCGAGGAGGGCACTTCGACAGTGGGGAGGAGCTCTGCAGGACCTGCATCAGCATCAGGACGGTGATGCTCGGCCACGGCCATGGCGAGACCTTGGCCGCTCAAGAGACGCTGGCCAAGCTCGTCAGGTTCCGCAGCAAGGTTTGACGCCCCTTCCTTTCAACTGATTTTAGAGAGAAAGAGAGAGAGGGAGAGACTCTTTCTTTCTCCTCGGCACATTTTTGCACCATGTACACGATGAAGATCTCTTTCATCCCTCTGAAGATGAGTCTCCGAGATCTCTCTCTCTCTCTCTCTCTCTCTAGCTTGTAGGATTAGTCTTGTAGATCTCTTCCTGTACATAGTAACCCTAGAGGGCGTCATCTTGTCTGGCCGGAGCGGCGGTCGACACAGCAGAGCACTGCGGCGGTAGCTTTTCTCTCTCTCTCAGGTCTGGTTTCCACACTAGATTGATCGAAAGATTCCATTAAGGCCTTGGGGAAACAACAGTGAAGTTTTCTCCGAGATCTTGGGAAGAACTCGGTGGAGAAATGAGGAAAGGGGTCAGCTCCGATGGGGTTATTCACGTAGTACCTGAACATTCTCAGAGCAAACGCAAAAACCGGCGTCTTCTTCAGGGAGGCTAGGGTTTCCCTGGGTTCCCCATCACAGCTAGGGTTTTATCAAGAGAGCCCGCCAAGCTTCTTCCTCGAGCTCCGGATCCTGAAACCTGAAACCTTCTTATCTGCGTGGCTTCTCGGCTATCGAGGAGTCCAGTGGACGCTGGGGAGGTAGCGGAAACTCGGAGCCAGAAGATCCGCCGGAAGAGACGGGAACACAGAAGTTCTCTGTGGAGGAGGGCCGGAATAAGCTTCAAGGCTCCCTCCCCACCTCGAGGAGATGCCAGCCATAGCCGCGCCGTGCCCCGGCCCCCTCCATGGGAGCCATCTCTGAGATGGAAAGAAGGGAGGAGGGGGAGGTAGAGGAGGTGGCACTCGCCTGAAATCCGAGCCGTAGTAATGGCCGGCCATGGCGCCAGCCGAGCTCACCCTTCCTCCGCCTGGTTCATGGGGAGAATCATCGATCACAATCACCTGCCTCTCTGGAATCAGACCTCGAGGAAGGAGACCAGTTCTTGCCCTAATTCCGCTCTGCAACATCGGTCCACCGAAGCCGGCCCCCATCGTCTCCGCAGGGAGCCAAGATGGATGGCGCCCGGGGAAGATGGAGCCCTCCATGCGCCGATGATGGTGGAACCAGAAGTCTTCTCCCTGGTTTGGGAAGCTGCATGCCGGAGGAGGAACTCCCAGGAGGGACGCCTCTCCTGAGGACGATGAAGATGCCATATTGTGCTGGTGCACTGGCTTCTCTTCTCTGTTCATCACCATCAGATTCTTCCCCATCAACCTCAGAACGGGACTGGAAGCAGTTCTCGACATCGCAGAGACTGAACCAGTGGAGAAATCTGAGATGGGGATGGGCATGGCTTCCTGGTCTAGAACTGAGCAAGCTCCCCATGCCCGTCTGTGTGACAGGCTCGGTCGAGAACATCGACATGGCTGATCCTCCCAGAGCTTCTCATGTTCTTGAGCAGGAGGAATCGCCTTCAATCTCGGAGCTTTCTTCTCCAGATTCGCCCTCCCCGGCCCTCTCACACCATCATCATCATTACCCATCAACAATGCCGATTCCCTGAAGTCAGACTTGAAATTTTCTAGCTCTGTGAGGTGCCCCTCCGACGATTCTCTCTCTTCCACTGAGAGGTTCGAGATGGTGGAGCTGCTCGAAACTGGTGACCCAGGTAGTTCCCCATCAGATGCCACCGTTGACTTCTTGACGATATCGAGCCTCCTGAAGCATTGGTTAACTCCCTGATCACCCAAAAGCTCTGGGAGGACTTCTTCTTCGTCAATGGTGGCTTTAGCTGTGCCAGTAGATGATGCTCCGAGATTATCAAGAGATCGAGCTGCAAGGTCCTCGGAAGCAACAGCTTCTTCGTTATCACCAGAGCTGCCCATGACCTTCACTAATGAAGATCTGATCTGCAACGTGGAATTGGGAGCCACCTCAGTTTCTGCATCAGATTCATCTGCTTCAGCGAGCCAGGTATTGTCCGAAACAAGAAATTTCCTTCCCTCAGACGAACGGAGGTTGACTTTGTCCTGAAGATCAACTGCCGATCTCAGATTCTCCTCGGCTCGCTCCACCGCCAGCTCTTCTGCCAGCTCATGGGGGTTCTCTGCGGACTTCCCCTTCCGCAGCTTTTTGGAGACCACTCTCTGCAGAATCTCCTCTTCTGTGGTGGGGCTTCGTCGTCCATCCATTGACGGCGATCTGCTCGAGCACCTTCCAGATTTGGGTACCTCACCATGATGATTCTCAGATGATCTTGCGAAGTTGCCAGACTTGGCAGGTTTTTGTCCTGAAGATGGAGATACGCCGCAGTCTATCTCAGAAGAGTCAGGATTCCTCTCCAACCTGTCGGCGCCCTTGGATAGAGACAACTGCACCTCGCCGCCACTGGAAGCTGGGGAAAAGTCCCCCGTTGACCTATAAATCTTCACAGGTGGTGGACTTGACGAGCTACTTTCGGGAGTATCGGTCAAACCCACCTTCTTTGACAGCACGCCGATGCTTCTGGTTTTAGGAGCCGGAAGGCTTCCATCTGATGGTCCAGAAGAATCACGAACACATACTGAGAACTCGCGAGAAGCATATGAAATGGACTGATCGTCCTCCGTTGACCTGGAATCTGTGGGGGGTAATGCATTCCTGCGCTTCCTGCGGCTTATTTTGCCGTTGAAACCTTTACTCAGGCCGAGATTTCCAGGGTTGACCCTTTCTGCCTGTTCTTGATCATTCCTTTCATCTCCACGGTGGATGCCCGCGTCAACCTTGCCCTCCGAGACCCTGTGAATCTGCGAAAAATATGGAGAACGCGTTGACTAAACAATCCGAGATAATAAGCTGCACATTGAAGGATTTATTCATTTATGTAGGCAATAATTCGTCACAACATCATGCATGAACAAGGAAATTTACTATTTTTTGAAAATTTTGAATTGCATGTTGGATCTTATGCCCCATTTAAACAAGCAACGCAGCGAAAATCATCGAAGCAAACATTGGTTGGTCAACCACAATGACGGAAAAACTATGAAGATATTTCTCTGCAACTAGGTTACCAGAACTTTTGATCGCTTGAAGTAGTTCGTATTCTTTCTCAAACCCTTGGCTTTCAAATACTTCCCACATTTTGGGGGGAAGCTCTTGCGTCTGCCGGGGGGAGCTCCCCTTCCGTCTCTCAACTCCGAGAATCCCTTCAGCTTAGAACGGCCGGCGCCCAAAGGCGGCGGCGGCAGCCCATCGTTGAGCTTCGACAGAATCAGCAGCTTCGTCCCTTTCGAGTCTACATAAACTGATCCCTCCCTCTCATCATGACCGGAGTTCAGAGGAGAAATCCTCGGCCTCTTGCTCTCGGCGGCGCGTGAAGCCGCGCTGATGTGCGCCGCGGAAGTCAACTCCGAGGCCCAGTTGGTTCCGTTCCTCCGGTCAAGGTCCTCGAGGGTGCAGCGGGGTGCGGTAGCGCAGATCTCCTCCATGGACCTCTTCTTCCTCGGCTTCACCCTGTGTTTGGAAGGGACGGCCATCCCTCTCCCGGCGAGGGACTCCGAAGAGAGGCACTGGTCGATGTGGGCGTTCAGAGTCGTGTTCGAGGAGGAGCTGAAGGTCCTGCAGACTGGGCAAACCTTGGAAACCATGGCGTCTGATCCAGAGCTAAAACCAGGGAGTTTTTCTCCGCTCCGGCTAGAGTCAGAGGCCCCAGATTTCACCACCAATCTAGTCTTCTTCTCGGCCTGGCCGGACGCAGAAACCTCGCTTCTGGTACGATCATGTCCGGCGGGCGGCGCCGCCGATTTGCCCGCCGAAGAAACTGCAGATTTCTCTTCCGATGATGAATCCCGAGGTGGATCAGGAGCTGGGTCTAAACGAGGATCGGCGACAGGGGGATCAGGTTCGGAGTCCGACGGGTTGGTAGAGGAGATGGCGGCGACATTGGCTGCTGCTGGAGCTCCTTCCACAGCCGGGGATGAAACCAGACGATGATGAGCTTCTACAGTGTCTGCTATTTGCTGGGTTCTCGTAGAATCAGGAGGTTCAAATGGCGGCAACGGGTCTCTGACACCATGCTTCAAGCAAAGCTGCAAGAACTGCTGAGGAAAGGGCCAGTTGACGCTGAGGTCTTTGCTCCGAGATGCGAAGACGTAATTTCTGCACAAAGAGGCATGCGACAGTGATCATTAAGCCGGCCTTCAAGGCTCCACGTTCCGGAGGGAAGAAATCATGACGATGAAGGCCTTCGCTTGGTTCGATCGCATGTGACTATGAGAGTTCTAATTCAAGAAGCCCGTTTCGGTGTTTTGAGAAAAGGTCAGAAGCTCGTCAGGAAGGCCGAATAATCAGGAAGAGGAAAACCCAGTTGCCCGCTTTCATCGTCGATCGGATTAACCGGAATCAGATGAAACCGGGCAAAAGAGGGATCTTTTTTAGGAAAAGTTTCCAGATGTGGGAGCAAACCGAGTGGGAAGGAAAAGGTGCAGGTCCCAGAATATAGACATGAAATCACGCGAACGGGAGAAGAAAAGAAGAAGGGGGGAGGGAAGGAGAAGACGGGGTTCTTCACCTTAAACAAAAGTTTGGATGTTGTTCTTCATCATCTTCAAGGTCGGAACCCAGATTTGGAGTCTCAAGGGAGGGCGAGGATGATGTCTCCAGGGAATATGCCCTATCATCACTTTCCAGAGCTAGAACCTTGCGTGAACTCGAGGGTTCTGGTGGGTTTTCGACGGAGAACATCTGAAGAAGTCCTCCTCCCTTCTCCCGGCGATGATGGCAGCTCCGACGAGAGCTGCGGTAAGCCTCCTTCCCACCCTCTTGGCTTTCAGCATAACCAGAGGCTTTCTAACGAGGCAGCCAGGCAGTCCCTCAAACAGAGAAAATGGAAGGGCAAGAAGCAACCTACAGAGGCTTCTTCTTGGACCCGACTGGATTGATGTCTGCATCGCACAAAAGCACAGTGAAAAATGCAAAAAATATCACGAATCCAAGTCAAGAAAAAGAAACACAGAACATGAGAAAAAATAAGGCTGGATGATAACAGTAAGTGAGGAGCTGTCGGGGTTTCTAGAGCAATATTCTACGGAGACCGGAGGGGGGTGTTGATGATCTGGGAAATCTAGTGACTCACGATTTCATATTGAGTTCCCCAAATATCAAGAGATCCTGGGCTCAAACAGCGAGACAAAGAAGCCATGGAAAGATTGGGGCTTTGAAGGTTGTTATTTCATGCGGCCAGAAGCACGGAAGAACCCAAATGAAGTTTTGAGAGCTTATGGAACCCCGGGAAAAGATCTGGTTGAAGAAACCCTCCTTTGGGATTGTCGATTAGGCTCAATCTGATCAACCAGAGGAAAGGTGGGGGTGGGGGGGGGAGATGGATCACAGACTCCGGAAAGAAATCTTCACATGAAATACCGAGCAAACGGAAGAATGAACGCTGGATTGCCGGAGATGAATAGGAAAGGCACAACACCAGCTTGGAAGCTCCATCAGAGAACTTGAAAGGACTCCAAAAGGAGGAGGAGATCCTACCGAATCATGCGGTGAACAGGAAAGGGAGATGCGAATCAGAAGAGACGGGGAACGGGAGAAAGCACGAAGGCGGGGTCTGAAATCTCCGGCGGGGTATGCTCCTGTGAGGAGCCATTGTGATGTTCCAAGATGGAGGAACTGAACCGATGATCACTGACACTGATTGCGAGCTTTTCAGTTGAAGACGCAAACCCCAGATTCATCAAAGAGGGGACGAAAACCAGGCAGAGGGATCCGAACATCCGAGGTGAGGAAACGGAGAGAGTGTAGATGGAGAGAGAGGGACGAACGCGCTCGAGAAACAGGAATCGGAACACATCGGAGAGAGAAACAGATTAAACAGTGGAGGATAGGGCGAGAGCTGATGAGCCCAGAAAACGGACCGGACGCCACAGAAGGGTTTGTCGAGAGATGAACTCGGATCCCTGAAATGCAGAAACGAGAACGAATCCTGGACAAGAGACTACCCGGGCAAAGAGCAGAGAAGAAATCGATCTAGGCCCTTCGGAATCCACGAAAACCGAACCAGGGGGGATTACAGAATGACCGAAATCTTTTGCTTGCTCCTTCTTCCTCTCTCTCTTTCTATACCTTGAAGCTTCACTGTCGACGAGAGAAAACGAAGATCAGAACAGATGAGACTCTCCCCAGAGTTCCTCGCTAAGCAACCGAGTGAGACTAGAATAATGGCGGCCGGCCAACATGGTAAAGAGAGAGAGAAGAGAGAGAGAGAGAGACACGCAGCTAAAAAAGCAGAACCACCCACTCACACATCAAAGAGCATCGTGTTCTCACCCGCAGGGGAGGCGCACCATTAGCAGTTCTAGCGGGGCACCAGATAATGTGCGCAGGGCGTACCGTCTCATTGAATAAAAAGACGCCACGACCCCCAGGGTCAACTTCCGTAACCACGGAGGAAAGTAGTCGGCCAAAGAGCTCCAATTCTCTATTTTCCTATTTTTTTAATATTTATTTTGTCCTCTAGTCCTATCCATCCACCTCCCTCTCTCCCTAGATAAGCACCGGGGTCAAAGAATTGACCTCAATACCCCTCTCAGAAGTCCTCTATTACGAGGATTGTCCTTGTCTGGTCGTGAGGTGGAAAATTACTTATAACCCCTTTTACTTTTTATCACTTTCTCATTGCACCTTGGAGAAAAAAAGAGAGTTTTCGCTCTGCCCAAATGAACTCTCCTTGACCCCTTTAACGGAAGAATCGGAAAACGAAGGGGTAGACCGGGGGGGTATTAAAAAACTTAACGAGGACTAAACTGTAAAATGCAGTGAATCTACTGATACTTTGCGAAATTACCTTTTGGAAAAAGGCAACTGGAGATTTATCCCCAGCCACTGACGTCCACGGCACCAAGATTGTTTGCCTTTTTTTCCTCCAACGTGGAAGGAGCCAATGGGCTGATAATTGGCGGCGGCCCACTGGACCCGGACGGTTGGGAGGCAAGCCCATTCCGGGCCCACCATTATTTTTACTTTGAAAAAGAGCCAATAAATAAGAGCTAATTTTCAGCACATGAAAAGGTTGCGTTTTTTATTTTTATTTTTTGAAGGAACATATCTGGATGACGTAATAAATCGCATCTGGGTGGGGACCACGCCTTCGCAATGGTTGTTGGCCCGATTGCAATGACATGGGCCCCACTCCAGGCCCACAGTTTTGGTCACCGCTGATGCTGACGTGGCAGGCACGGGGGTGCTGTGAGCGCCGCCCGAAGGTCACCGTTAATGGGCTGGACCAAGTGGGCCAGCTGGAATTCTTTTATTATTTTCCAGTACTGTCAAGGCCCACTTTATGTCGGTGGTTCCGACGCAACCATATACGGATTGCCTTTTTATATTCGCCGCCTCTCGTAGCGGCGCGCTTGTTGGGCCGAGTTAATGGGCCAGATGAGGGTGACAAATGGGCTCCGTTTCTTTTGATGCTTGTTCACGTGGGCAAAATGTCGAACATCTGACGGAGGAGAATGCCGGAGATCTTCACCAGCGATGATTCCGGGTAGCTTCGTCTTGAGCAGCCGATATCAGCAGTTTTTCTCCATGATCGGAAGGCTCGGAGGTTTTTTAATGGTGGCGGCGGCGGCGGCGGCGGAGACGGCGTAAGTCTGAGGAGAAGCGGCTCTGGGTAGAGCTTCAGCTCTACTGTCACGCTCTCATGGCGGATTCCGATCGCCTTCTTCCGTTCTTCTGCTCAACATGCAGTGCGGTTCTTCTCCCCGCCGGAAGAGAATCAGCGTTGAGAGTTCGCCGTGGAGAAGTTTATGTACCATCTTTGCAATTATGGAAGGCGAATTTCGAAGTTTATATCGATCAGCTGTATCCAAGCTGTAATAATAGCAATGACGGTCCTTCTTGCTTTGCGATAGAGAGAGAGAGAGAGAGAGAGAGAGAGAGAGAGAGAGAGAGAGAGAGTTGTCGTCTGGGTGTGGATGAGATTCTGGATCTTTGGCAGCGGCCAGCCCTGCCATGCCCATGCAGGAGATATCGCCGCCTCTTAGAAGCGGCCGGAGGGTTGTTCGGCGATCAGCTGCACCCGCCGGCGGCGAACCCAATCCTCGACCGGGTCACGTCGTAGACGACCTTGAAGGTCTGGTGCTGGCGGTTCCCGATGATGGCGACGTTGCTGGTAGGAGCGAAGGCCAAGCAGGTCGTAGTAGATGAGACGTCGTACATCACGTTCCCCGCCGCCAGCTTGAGCTGCGCCCCGCCGGCGAAGGTGATCGTCACCTCCGGCACCGGCAGCGTCCTGAAGCTCCCCTTGAAGCAGGTCTCGAGGATGGAGTACGCCGGCGCGCGGGGATACCTCGCCAGCGCCGCCACCACCGCCTTGCTCAGCGCCTCGTGCACCGCCGTCGGCAGCCGCGTGATCACCGTGCCGGAGTCAATGATCGTCGGCAGGCGCTTGTACTCGCTCGCCGCCACCGCCAGTTGACCTCTGCCGACGCTCACGCCGGCGAGGCTCAGGAAGTACAGGCTACCATCGAGCCTGTTGGGCACCAGCGGCGTGAACGAGAACTGCGCCGGGTTGTAGGAGCCGATGGAGAGGAACCCGGTGGCGGACTTTGTTGGGAGGCAGTAGGAGAAGGCGTAGCCGTACTTCGCCCCCAACTGGTACAGCATGGAGAGCCTGTTGCGGGCGAGTCCGATGAGCCCCGCCGTGTTGCCGAAGAGGCCCTCGTTGTCCTGCCCGCAGCCGTAGACGAAGCCGGGGACGGCGCCGCCGCCGCCGCCGAGGGAGAGGGTGTCCTTGCTGAGGTACCCAACGGAGAAGGAGCCATCGCCGTAGGAGGCCTGGTAGATGCAGATTTTGGATCGGGAGCAAGATGGTGGGTTCAGCGTGGCCGACTGGAGCTCGTTGCACTCGGGGCTGGAGCAGGGGACGGTGCGATAACTGCTTGAAGCTGCAGGGTCGAAGATGGGGCCGACTTGCTTGTGGCAGGAGATGCTGCAGGGCTTGCACTGGAGCCAGTTGAGGGAGCTGCCGGTGTCGAAGACGACGATGTAGTCCCTCGCTGGCGTGCCCAGCGAGATCTTGGCGACGTAGTTGCCGACGCCGACGGAGACGCCTGCGCTCAGGGGGACGTTGAGGGCCTTGGGGGTGATAATCGCCGCCTCGCCGCCGGCGAGGCGGGTGGCGAGGTCCGCCACCCGCCGCTGGTCGCGGCGGAGGATCTCGCCGGCGGCGATCTCCGGCAGCGCCGCCGGAGAGCAGGGGCTGCGGATGTCGTGTAGGGTCAGGTGCAGCCCGGAGCTGTTGAGCTCCTGTCGATGCTGGGCTCCTGTAAGAAAAACAAAAAAGTCAAGGTGAGGGTACATTAGGTTGGACCGCCGCAGACGACAAACTGGGCTTTCAATTCTGTCGGGTGGGCCGCGGTGGAAAGCACCTCCACCGGCCCACTAATCACACGACAGCTGCTTCACAACCACCATTTCTAGGCCTGCACTAGACAGGCCAACGGAAAGGTCCACTCAGCCTGTTTTCTTCTGGAGGAGAGAGTTTTGTGACAGCGATACCGTGTGGGACCCAGTTGAAATGGAAGATGACCCAACCGGAACGGTCAGCGATTCCCGCCCCCGTTGGCCCTGGACCGACATGGGTTTACCGACCAGCCAGGTGACTCTCAGCAGCCAACAGCTTCCCCCCCCCCCACTCTCCTGGTTCATCTCATCTTCTTTTACCTTTAAATCTTCTTTCACTGCTCACGAGCCCATCAAACAGGGAAGCTCGGAAAGCAGCTAGCTGCACCGCAGCATCTCCTTCAAGAAGAGGTCGGTGGGGAGTAATGGGTTGGGAGGTGGGACGAGGAGAGATCGCTGCCCGGCAAGGGTTTCTCGAGAACTCCATCTCTTCACCTCCTCCGGGGGGTCGGAATTCAGTGAGAACGTGAGAAATCAGCGGCAAGGAGACGACGTGAGTCTCAACCTCACGCTCGTTCTATATAATTTGAATCATATAAGAGATCGATAATCTAGCTTTACGCAGGTGAGAGCATTGCAGTCGCCGCCACTGACAACGGCGAGGGAGAGAAGAAGGAAGATTGGAGACGAGGCACGGGAGCGAGAGATTACCCAGCAATTGGGAAGCGCAGGCGGCGGCGGCGGCGTCGTGTGGAGCCCCGATAATAGGGGACACAGCCAGCAGCAGGAGGCAGAAGACAAGGAGAGAAGAAGCCGACTCCATCTTCTGACTCGTGCGGACAGCCCCCCGTTGCAGCAGGCAGAGAAGGGGGATCGCCTGTGCCTTCGTGCACGTCTTGTCATCAATATATAGAAACCTCAGCTGAGAATGGTGGACTACTTTCCCGGAATTAAATGATTGGAGATATTTCAAAGCATTGTGATAAATAGGGCTGGGACGTTGACGTATTATTGGAGCAAGTGACTCTCCTAGTCGTGGAGGTTCAAAGGCATAGATTAGTTGGGTTGTTAATTCATGAAAAAGTGAAGAGAAGAGGAGACTGATGGGATCTAGATCGAACCAGGTTTAAAGTAATCGATCGTCAACTCAGGGATTCACCGTCATCAAGATTTGAATAATTCTGGACGACATAAATGCACCCACCACCTAGAATTCATATGCATGGAGTATTTAAAGGGATCCCTGCCCCGGCTTTCTCCCCCCCCCCCCATTTCACGGGCTTACTCACTCTTCACCGCGAAGGAGTACCCTTTTTCTATGGTTTGCCGTCCCCCGAACAGCCGGAACCCGCACTCGCATGAAGCATCTGGGGAGAGAGAGAGAGAGAGAGAGAGAGGGAGAGAGAGAGAGAGAGAGAGAGAGAGAGAGAGAGAGAGAGAGAGCTACAATGCCGGCCAAATAAGAAGCTTCTGATCGGAGAGAGATGATCGCCGGAGACAGATGACATTAAGAAAATTCCGCGCCCACAGATCGTGCCATCTGTTTGTCCCGTTGCAGAGGTGAGCGAGTGCCGACGAGAATCTGAACTGTGGGAGAAGTCCGAATTCGCACGCCTCGTCGTCTCCATTTTTATAATTGGTGGGGGTGGCGGCGACATCACCGTCTGCTCTTCCCCAGAGCTCGGCTGGGGACCCTAAGCTATTTCTAGTGATTATCAGTACGCACCGGCAGACGAGTACCCGCTGAAGACGCGGTACGGGGAGAGAACTCTCTCCGACGACACCGGACATGTTTCTTCAACGCCCGGATACGGCGAACTCATTTCCACTGGCCGTGAAGACAACCGGTTTCAGAGAGATAGCTGCGGTAAATACAAATAAATGAATAGAGAGAGAGATAGAAATAGATAGATAGAGCGAGAGAGAGAGAAAGAGAGAGAGGACGGTGATGTAAAGCGAGGCACCACCTACCACGTGAGTGACCTGTCTGGATACCGATGTGGGCGGGATGTGGGACCTTGAGAAGGATGGGAAGACGATGAGGAAACCCCTAGGCAGCGGATTCAGACGCCTACGCCCACGTGAACGACCGGAGGAGAAGAGATGAAGGCGAGGATTGGTATGGCAGTCTCCTATTTGAAGTGAAGATTGTCAATAACACTACCAGCACGCCGCCGCACGAAGCAAGAACACGTACGTTCATTATTATAATGACGGGGGCAGCTGCGCCGTTCAACAATGCTATCAACCGTAGGACACATTTTCATTTTAAATTGTTAATCGGCTAAGCGCTGTCCCACTTTAGATATCATAGATAAAACCAAGTGATTAGATGGATGGTATTGAAAACGAGGATTGGTCGTCGGTTTTGGTCAGACTCATCTATATTTGATCAGGTGTCAACGCCGATTGGTCTTGTTCAAGTTATTGAGTTGGATGACGGAGCGTCATGGTAGGTATTGTCTCCACGAAATATGCGTTGTAGTTATCGTTTTGTTCCTAATCATTGTGATAACTACCGACTGAGGAGATGTTTATTAGCCCTGAAGAACTTTAGGAGTGACTAGTTTACATGTACTACAAAGATGGAGGTTTTACATTTGTCAATGTTCGTGTGAATAATGTTCTAATATTATGAATATTTTTTATTACGGATAATGAAACCTGTGCAATCCAAAATTATTGAAAAGCTAGAATGATGAAAAACTTCCCTAGGTAAGTACCATTATTGATGGCTATTAATTTCTTCCAATAAAAATTAAAAAAAAATGAGCTTACATTTCATTGACCATTTTTATGTGAAAATCCTTTTTGGTAGTGCCAACTTCTATCCCTTAAAGTGAGTAGATGGTGAGATGAGATAAGATAATCTTGAACTAAAATTCATTAAAAATTAGTTATTATAGGACCTTTTGGGGACCTTACAATCAAGACCATCAACTCAACCATAAAGGCCATGACTTGTATTGAAGAAAATTACATGAATTCTAGAATTTTAAAGTAATTTACACTCTACATTTAAAGTCACAATCACGATTGGCTCCTTCTAACATTCAATGTAAGATAAGAAAGTAGTTGTGAAGTCAACTTGGTCTATGAGTTGGTTATTATTCATTATTATAATCTCTTTTGTCCATGTGATTTTTCTAATGTTATATTCTAATATTACAAGAGGGTGTACTACCTATTTTGACTGTATGAACTAGTGAATGTTAGCTAAGGTCAAATCCAATATCGTGTGCATCCCTTGGGGGTGAATCAATCCTTCTCAAATTTTCTTTTGATCGGCCATTATAATTAACAACAGATAAATGACAAATGAGATCAACTTTGGCACTAAATTCTCATATAAAAAATATAAGTCAAAGTAATTAAAGTATACCACTATCTTATTGCTTTACAATTTTTCCTTTCTTTGAAGGTAGAAGAGATTAATGCTATGAAGGGCATGCCATAATACAATGCTAGTCATCAAGATAGATGACCCACTCATCTATGAAAATATGTGATATTTGTGAAGACAAATGAAACAATTATTGTGTGTTGCTTGCTTAAAAAGAATAATTTCTTTAATCATCTCATTTAGTATGTGATGAGATTGTACCCATACTAATAGAGAAGTATCAAGCTTTATTAGGTTATAATGCTGAAGAACATTTCACAATGACATTTGACTAGAAAAGATAATTGTCTACAATGTAGAGTTTTAAAATATTTGTCAAGATATGTAATGGTATAATGTATGTCTAGCAGAATAGAAGTTGACAAATCTTGTCAATTTGAACATTTTGGTTACCATCAATAATTTTGTTATCTACATAAATTATAAGAATGATATACTTACTAACATCACATGTAATAAATAAGAACATGGTCTAAGATATTAAAAGCCAAAATAAGTCACAAAGATTTGAGTTGACTCACCTACATAAGTTGCTTGACCATAAATAACATTAAATCAAGTAAATATGATGCAATTTATCAAGATAAAGAGAGACCAATAGATGTCACACAAAAACGTCTATATAAAGTGTGCCATGTCAAACTGGATTGTTGATGTCAAATTATTAGATTTGATATTTTTACAGATATTTACATATGTTCATTGATTTTGGTAATTTCTTCATCCTTAACTCAAAATTTCGGATTTAATGCATCAATAATGAGATAGCCTTTAGCCATCCATGATATCATTGAATTAGCATTTAATGGGGTACATGGTTTGCTAGCATGTCCCACGTGAAATAACATAATTTGTTGCTCCATAATTTTTAGATAAATTGATTACATAATTTTTAGATAAATTGATCACCTAATGGCTTCTCTTGGAGTGAGACATTAATCATAATACATTTCATTAAATCATGTGCACCTATGGCATGTATGGTATGTATATTCTTGAATACCCACGTCATGTTAACAATTCATGCTCGTTATTATTCAAAGATTCAACACTCTCAATGAAGATTGTCAAGTTATGTAAATTCAACAATGAATGAATCAATTGATGCTCTTTATTAGCTTGATTTAATCATCAAATAAATTAAGGACTACAATCAATACTTTTCGTCAAGTCTTAAGGTAACTAAGTGGTGTAGGAGAGTAGATTTTGTAACTTGTTTAACTTGAGAGCAACTAAGTTTTTGCAAAGATGAACTTGTGAAGTTTATATCACTTATCTCTTTAAAATCAATTTGTATTCTTGAAGAGACTAATTAATATTGAAGGATAATTTCTTCTAAGACTGAAGTAGCTTACTGAAGGAAAAATCAGTATAAAAGTTTTATGTTATTAGATGAGAAGTCTTTTTTCTATGAATATTATGTGTGTGTCGACACATTCATCACGTTACGTCAACACCAAATATGTTCGAGTAACTTAAGAATTGAAAATTTTCAATTTTTTTAGAGACCTCAATTAATCCCCCCACCCCCCCACCCCCCCCCCCTTCTTAGTGTTGCAAATAATTCTACCATTCCAACATCCACAAATTAAGAAGGGTCAATAGACTTAGGAGATTGTATTATCTACTTCTATAACCAATGGAATAGAACTACATAAAACTATTAGTGGTTGGTATTTTTAATTTCATTGAAAAGAAAAAAAAAGAGGAATTTAGTATTTTTTATGGCAATTTAAGCAAGATAAATCATCCACAAAGATAACATGTTAAGGATGTATCTCAAATGACTAATTAAAATATGGAATAAATAGATTAATGATGTCTACCCAACAAATAAATAACAAGGTAAGAAGAGACTCACAAGGAAAGCATATTATGTAGCTTTGCCATTGTTGACTATGAAGACAAAAAAGGTTATCATTCTCATGATGTCAATCTATATTTTATTTTATGTAGTTATCTTGCAAAATACTATATGAAATGTTGGAATTACTCGTTTATAGAATTGTAAAATTACTTGTAGCTAAAAGATTGACATGAACTTTGGAAGGATAGAAAATGAAAATGAGAGACAAGACAAAATCAGCTTTCATGTTGCTCTCAAAGGTATAACATATTAGGTGTTTGTATGATAATAACATAATAGTAAATAAATTTTTATCAATGATGATGTGGCACAAAAATCTATAACTAATAAATCATTGGTGCACTAGTTCTCAATAGTGGGCAACTAGGAGCTCATATTCAATTTCATGGAGGGAATGAGTCATTATTTTGAGAGCAAAACTACTAATAATGGGTATCACAACATTATTTGCATAAACCAATATGTTTTTCCCCCTTCTTAATAATACATGTACATGCACACACCCTTATTGAGTACCATGATTAAGATAATTACAATCATTATTTGGCACCTGCCCATGATCATGACTTTAGTAATCACCCTAAGCATATTCTGTTTACAAGATGTAGTGGGGGACAATTTAATTATTTGGAAGTATCTGAAAATATTTTTTTAATTACAATGCTAACCATTGTGAGACAGATGTTAAACATGAGAAAAACTAAGGCTCAGGCAAGAATTTTTTTTTTGTAGTTGAAACTCTTCCCCATTATGCGTTGCTTTTGAGTATTCTAAGTTGATGGTCAATAGAGGTTGACATCATAATAGATAGTTTTGTGTGTTAAGACTGGTTCCCTTAGTAAAGGAAGAAAATTTGTTATACAACTCATAAATTTGAGAGAGACTCATCTGGTGTGAATATATTTCTCATAACGGGTCATAAATCCCCAAAGAAGTTGCCATAAACATTATTTTTGCATTCACTTAGGGCTTCATACTATTTTAGAGTAACAGTGCAGCATAATTATGATCTTTTAGCTTCACAAAGTACTTGTCATCTTAAGAATCAATCATCTCACCAATGATGTGATTGAGGCCATGAAAGATACTTCATATTTAGCCTAGTACATGTTCCACTTAGGGATTCAACATCTGCACCTGATAAAAAGAGCCATAATAGTGCCATAGAAACTATGATGCAAACTTTATTCGATGGGTCCATACTATGAAGACAAAAGTTGCATTAGTTGCGATTGTTAGGGTTTGCACATATGTAGCCATATATATAACATGCTCAAGAGAGCATTAGGCTAACTTCACATCCTCACATTAAGTCCTCCAGTCCTGGCCTTGACCCTGGAAAGGGGCAAATGATCCGATACGACCTTATCCTGCTCCACATTGACTCAAACCTCTCCACAGGCAATACCATCAAGCTCATGGGGATAGGCTGGGAAAACCATCCCATGGCCTACCCCATACGTTGATTCGCCGACTGGGGTGATGCTTATCTGCAGCTAGCCGAAGGCACCGCAAGCAGCCGCCGGTACAAGACCTCATCAACACAAACGAGCAGCGCAAGAAGAAAACAAAACAAGCATCAATTAAGATCACGTCATTGATCTCCATTTATTGGGCACACAACCTCCGCTCAAAGGCAGATCCAGGTCATGGACTTGCTGTTGATAATGGTGATCTCTGGTTTAAATACCACTCTTGCCAATGGCAGTGGGAGATAGGCTAGAGCAAGCTGTCACGTATGGTCTGCTTGGGGTGTCCAATCCTCTGCATGATCTGGGTGAGGCTTTCCCACGCTATCACTCATAAAGAGGGACGAGTTAAGTTTTGCCAGAACTCTTGTTCTTGTTCTTCGCGCACATGTTGGAAGCATAAATGATGCTGGCGTCGCAACCGCCGCGGCCCGTGGTGATGGGCGGCGGCTGATAGGTACCAGCCAGCGGCATTGCACTATTTTATTTCCTGTCTTCCAGGCACTCCGACCTGTGCCGTTTGGCTGGGGCCGCAGCGGCGGCGGTGGCGGAGGCGATAGAGGGCGGCGATTCCTTGGGTAACACCCATGAGTGAAAAGGTCATGAGCTTCTTCTACAGGAAAGCTCCTGCCGTAGATTGTCCATTCAGCCCATAGCTTGACCTTCTTCGGTGGGGTCCCTCTTATAGAGCTCAACAAATGGTCGAGTGTAGCGATCAAGAGCCCCCCGAGGTCTCAATAACTCGTACACAGGTAGCGAGTACAACAGGAGAGTTGGCGGCCGCCGTCTCACCCACATTGTTGGACGTGCATCCACGGAACCGACCCGTTTCGTCCACGGCACAGCCACGCCGGGCCCGGGAGGGCGACGGAGCAGCCCGCGAGTGATCGAAGGCTGACGACGACAGTAGCCGGCCCGGCCGATGATGACGTCGACGGTCATCACACGTTGACTTAGTAGGACCCAGAAGAGGAAGAAAGGGCCGTCGTCTCTCTCTCTCTCTCTCTATCTCTCTATAATTCAAGGACAACGGATCACCGGCCTGGAACCCACCTGTTGCTACCCCCCCAACCCCATCCATAGCTGCTGCAGATGTGGACATCCTCAACAGTAATCTCCCCAAGCTGTAATCCACTTCAAGGGGTCAATTCAAAAGAAGAAACTTTTCTTTAATGGATTTCTCGACGCCGACTGGGTTCAACCTTTATATTCCCCAGAGAATGACCAGTTTCCACGCTGCCTGCTTTCCACAGATCAAGCTCAGCAACTGACGAGCACTCCGTCTATGAATCCAAGCACTCTTCTTTGAAACTCCTGCTACTCAACCCAAGGAAACCGATGAATCCATGAAGATCGAAAGGAAGAAGCAGATCAGAAAAAGCAGGGAAGAAACAAATATGATCAATTACCTTCCCCCAGATTATTATCAGCGAAGAACAGATTAAAGCCAGAAATGGGTTTTCTTTAAACCATACTAACTAAAAATTTATCGAACCATGAACATGGAAATCACGGGCCACCATCAGACAGGAGACTGCCTCGTTCTGAAGGCCAGGGTTTACTCTCCAGTGTCTTCAAGATCACCATAGTCATAGCGAAAATTGTCATCTCCGTAAGTATGATAGGATCCATATAAAAGCCATATTATAATCCATTACATGAGAAGGAAATGAAAGCAACGTATGGACCATCGAGTTCCATAATTAGCAATAGGTCGAGTTAGAAATGTTAGACGGCACAATCAGGCTGCAGTGTGAAGGGTGCACTGGACCTGAGATTGTTCAGAAAAACTTCTCGTACTCTGAAGGAGGCTGATCCCAAACGTCCATGAAATCTAAGAGGAGGTCCAGTGAAAATGCATTAATTAGAAAAAAAAAAAACAAAACAAGTCCTAGGAAAATAAAGAGAGATAAATTTCGAAGCCACACGGCCAGTTCTGCAGCTTTAGTTCCTTAAGACTCTTAAGATTATCAAAGAAAGATAAACATTGCATGAGTTTTCGAGTGGATTCCGCCAAAATGGGCAAGAAAATATAAAATAACTGAAACCAAATGCAGCAAAAGAAATCAATCATACTTATTGGAATACCTCCGAGAGCCACAAAGAGTGAATCCTCATTGCCAGAGATACCCTGATAGAAAAGACGGAAAAACCTCAGCCATTGAAGAGCCAATCAGGCGCCATGTCTTAGTTCAGATAGAAGATAACGCTACGGTGAAGTGCTCTAAGATCGTTACTAAAACTTGGCACATGTTCTTTAGTACCTCTGCGTCATGAAAAGGCCCCAGATTGCTGATGTCCCCTTGTGCGGTTGGGCAACCCTGAATATCATTTCCAAGAAACTCGGAAATGGCAAGACCATACCCATTTTGGATTCCATGAAGATCAACTGGGTTCCCTTGTTGATTCATAAAATTTTCCAAATTTGGACATACCGGTTCACTCCTGTGAAAAGAGTAACAACAACTGGAACTTTATTGTGTAATAGGAGACAGAAGGAAACTCGAGATTATTTTTTTTGGTCATTGCAGAAAAACGATTGCCACTATGATGAGAGAAGAGTGCTCAGATCGAAGTACGAACAGAAACAAGAGAACCCCCGTGGCTGATAAAGTTCATGATGGAAGGAATCAAGTGTGGCTGATCTCTTACTTGGACTTTGAAGCATCAGCGGCGCTGCATTCTTCAACGGAATCATCCTCCAGATCGATTATGACTCTGCCAGCTTTGCTGTCATTTGAACGGCGACCATACGAAACAGAGACATCGCACTTCTGACCAAAACCCACACTGAAGTCATTTTCTCTTACAAGGGAAGCTGCAGAAGCAGAAGTAGATTCATGCTTTATAAGACGATTTTCGACAGTTATTTCAGGAGCCTCAATGTCGTTAAGGTCACATATTTTGAAGGAACTGGGTGGCAGATGGTTTTGCTCTTCAAAATCATCATCGAACTTGGGGACAGCGTACTTCTCTGCAGGTATGTCCAAGCGCTTCAAGTATTCGTCAGTCTTTGGTATCGAGGGCAGGGACCACTCTTGAGGCTGCTTCATTCCCGCCCTCTGCACAGTCTCAGCTGAATCTTCATCTGTTCTAGCTTCAGTTGACTTTGTGGAAATGTCAAACCCTGCTGGATCCTGAATTGACTCTTTCCCCGTTTGCTGAAAGGAATTCTCTAGGAACGATAATGTCCTGCCATAGCTGCTTCTCCCTGTACCTGACGCCGAACCCTGTTCTGCAGGCTCCGCTGGCTGTGCAGACTGAGATCTGGGAACTTCAGACGCCAGACCTGTTGAGCTGAGCGAAGGGGCTTCAAATGTCGGGCCTCTGGAGGTCGGAGCTTGCCCTGAAACTGCACCATTCGAAGGGGTGAGAGTAGGAACCTCTTCCGCAGCGTTCTTCAATCCCTTTTCGCCGGGAGCAATATCAGAATTCTCCCTCATTTCCCCCGCGTCTGGTTTCAGTTCGGTCTCTGTGCTTCTTTTGCCTTCTGAAGAACGAGTCTGAGCGGGCATCTTCTCAGAGCTAGGAAGCTGACTAGTGCGACTACTTTTCAATTGGATTTCCTTTTCGCCTGAGTATCTCTGAACAGTTATACCCTCGTCTTCCTCCTCCGGCTGCAACCCTTTTTCGCGAACTGTGTCGCCACCGATAGCATTCTCGAGGTTGCCCTTATCTTTTTCTGCCTCTTCCATCTCATCCGGTTCTCTGCTCGAGTTCATTTCAGATTCGGGAATGGGATGGGGATGCGCCTTCCCTTCGGAGGATTCCATGGCCTTTGACCCAGATTCATCGACAGAGTTGTGATTTCTCTCGTCTGAGTCTGATTCACCGGTTAATTCGTCCTTGGACGGCGGGTGCTGATCATAATCCGCGGCAGATTTCAGGGGTGGTTTCCTGGTAGCAGAGCTGCCATTGCCGCGATCACTTTCCTCGGATAGACTTCGTCGATCCGACTCCCCCTCTTCCACGGGGTCAAGGAATCTCCACTCGCTCCCTGACCACCGCCAAGACCTCTCCAAATCCTCAGCATCCATGGCATCCGAATAATCTCTGGCCCTGTCGGCCCATGGGGGGCCGCCAGCATCCTCCCTTCCCCACTCCGGGCCAGGCCGACGGTAAGACTCGCTCCGATGTCGCCGCCGCCGAACTCTCTTTTTGGTTCGGAACCCGCCGTCGTCGCCGTCGAGTCTCCGCCGGCCGAGGCGGGAGAACGCCGAGGCCCTGTCCACCTCGTCGTCTCCTCCGTTCGGCCACAACCTCTCCACCCCCGCTGCGGATGAGGGAACAGGATTAGCAGGAAGCAGCCCCTTGGCCGCGAGGTACTCCGCTGCGAGTCTCCCCGCCTCCCTCAGCACGTCGGTACGGCGGCGCGGCGGCGGCGGCGGCGGCGGCGGCGGAGGCAGATGCGTCGGCGGAGGCGGAGAATTGCGCGGGCCTCTACGCCGGGGACCGCCGCCGCGGCCGAATTTCCGGTACTCAGGCTGAGCCGCCCCGATTCCGGCCGGACCGAAGCGGTCGGCGAAGCTGCGCCGCCTACTCTGCATCTCTATCTACCCAATCCCTTTTCCTCCCGGCTCAAGCTGCTTCCTACGGCAGAATCGAAGGATCTCCTTCACAAAAATGGCGATAGCCCTGCAGTCCCGTTCTAATCCGGGTGTGAAGGATCAATCAGCTGAGATATCTCAGATCCAAAGTCCTCAGAGGCCACACAGGGAGATCAAGCCCTCCCGCAACGGGGCTGGCTAGGGTTAGGGTTAGCCATTCCCCTGATCCTCTTGGGGAGGAAGAAGGGAAGGTTGTACCTCTGTTTTCTCGATCGACGAAGGTGGCCTGCCTTTTCGTCTCCCCCCTCCTTCCATTTGGCGACATATCTTCCAGGTGAACCCATCTAACACAATCTACGCCATCCGTCCTGGAGCCAACGGTTAATATTGGCCAGATGCTCCCGACTCTAAAATCAGACAAAGGCCAGAAGTGCCACGTGGCCTGTCGGGCCAGCTTTAAAGAACAGGGAAACTACGCAGAGAGGTGGTCGGTTTCCCCTGGCCGGAGGTTTGGCGGCGTTGGCGAAGGGGAGAGGCAGGGGATCGCTCCGTTCTCTGCAGAATCGCGTGGAATCAGGCGAGGAGTCCAGGAAGAGGAGGGGGAAATTCTATAAGATGTCTGATCCTTCCGATTGTTCGAGCCGAAGTTTCGGGATCTGAAAGGCCTGCCGTCTCTCAGATCGGATCTGTAGGGTCCTGGGGGAAGGTGGGGGGGCTCGGATGATCTGAAGATGTCAGGGGGCGAGTTCGAGTTGGAAGACCACAGGTCTTTGCTCCGTTCTAACCCGTCAGCTTCTGTGCCCGATTTGGAAGGTCAGGGGTCGGCGACACCGAGGAAGAAGGGAATTGGAGAACTACTACGCCAACTGGATCGGGGGCTCTCCGGCCGACGGCTGACTAGGAGGTACTCGGATACCCGGGCGGACTCTACGCCGCTGTCGCCGAGTCGTCTTGGCCCGGCGCTGCATGCAACAGGATCTGTGCCGGATGAGCTTGGGGATGGGGCACCTCCGGAGTGGGCGCTGTTGCTCATTGGTTGCCTTCTTGGGGTTGCTACAGGCGTTTGCGTGGCTGCCTTTAATCGTGGGGTGAGGTTTTTTTGAAGACGGTACCAGTCTGTTTTTGATTTTTTTTCTCTTTTATTTGTGCATGTATAATTATCTTTCTACGGTAATTTCGTATCTCTTCCTGGTGCTCACACTAAATGACAGCTTTCCCAAAAAAATTAGAAAAGGATACTCTTATGATATCACTTCACGAATGATGATCAGCTCATTTTATTGCCTTTCGTCCATTTCGTCATGGCCGGTCATCTTTGAAATTTCTTCTTAATGACATTGATTTTATACCAGGTCCACATAATACATGAGTGGGCGTGGGCAGGTACTCCAAATGAAGGTGCTGCATGGCTGCGTATGCAGAGGCTGGCTGATACATGGCACAGAATTCTGTTAATACCAGTAACAGGAGGTGTAGTTGTTGGCATGATGCATGGACTTCTTGAAATTTTTGACCAAATTAGGCAGTCCAGATCTTCCCAAGGAACCGGTGTCGATCTTTTATCTGGAATTTTCCCCACAGTAAAGGCTATCCAGGCAGCTGTGACCCTTGGTACTGGATGTTCTTTGGGTCCTGAAGGCCCGAGTGTTGATATTGGCAAGTCATGTGCATATGGTTGTTCAGAAATGATGGAGAATAACAGAGAGAGAAGAATTGCACTCGTTGCTGCTGGAGCTGCAGCTGGAATTGCTTCTGGTATGGGATCTTGCCATTCATTTTAGTTTTGGTGAATAAGTATTGATATTGATTCGATTTATATTCTTTACTATTGAGAGAAGTGTAACTGTGGCTAGACTACCTCCCTCTACTCCATCTTCGTATTTATGTTTTATTCTCATATACTGTAATTGAGCAGGCCATTTCTTATGTATTTTAAAGTGGGACTCCCACGGTGCTCTATCTTCCGATTGTTGTTTTGTATTGAATCATTAAGGATTAACTTTCCTTTTCACTTTTCGTTATTTTCTGTGATTTTGCGCCATATCAATTTGTAGTTATTAAATTAACAACTTTTAGCATTCAGATGCTTTCTAGATCTCCTGTATCCAGACTCCATTTTCAAATTCTGAATAGACACAATGGTTTGAGTGAGTAGATGAGCGCATATTATCTCACAAAAGGGAACCAGAGTAGGATGACACAGCAAGTTGGAAATTGACTTGTTTTTTTGTGTTTCATGGATGGACGTTAAACCATATTGTAAATTCCTTGTTTTCTGTCTCTTGAGAAGTGAGAGAGATGTTCTACTGGGGAACACCCCTAGAGTAGGGATATCAATCCTTGTATCGTGTGACTCTATTCTGAAGTTCCACCTTGTTTTCTGAAATTTTGGAGAGACATGCATACTGTATTCAGAGGACCTACAAGTATCACAGGTAGTGTCACAGGTTCATTATAAATACAAAAAAGTGGACCTACAAGGTATCTCCAGTGCTCTATTGAAAACACTCTACTGTATCAGGGGTCTATGGTACAATGATGAAGACTTGTCATTCCTCTCAATTTGTAGGTTCCATAAGGATTGACTTTGTTGGAGTGAATTTACATTAATAGAAAATATATGTATTGGTTAAGATTATATTTCTTGCATGTCTGCCATGCCTTTTCATGCTGTTGGTGTTGGAGAGAGAGGGTTTTTGAATATTGGGGATTGTGCCTTCAACTTGTAGTATGTGATAGGAGTTGAAAGCTGTTATCAAATTTAGTGGTTGCCGGATAATGCTTCTTGACCAGATAATGGGAAAACATGTGGGGACAATGTAATGATGGAACATGGGATGAATTTTAGTAGTGGTAAAGGATAGATGGCGAAATATTTTGAGAGCTAAATTGTGTTCATTGGCGGTAAGAGCTGATTAATTGGGTTCAAGTAAGACTGGGTGAAGAAGCGGCCACATGTGATACTAGATTTTTGACATAAATTCAGATTCAGAGTAATTTTAGGGCATGAATTTAATTGTGAATCACAACTCTTGGGAAAGCTGAGAAGAAGAAGCCTATAGTTGCAGTTGGTTTTTTTTCTTATCAGATTTGACTCGGATTATGGATTACAGTGGTGGCAATAACAGATGATGTGCAGATAGCACCAGGGTGGTTGTAACATCGAAGGATTAATAAAGAGAGTGCTCGACGGCCCTATTCAGTGTTAGGATCGTAGAGGGTTAGTTTTCCAATCATTGTGCCCAATGGGTAGGCAGTAGTGGAAAGTTGATCTTTTTTGGTTAAGATTCGAGGTTACCATAATTGTTACTAATGTGGGGGAGCGATTTTATGGCGGATGCTTTGAGAAGAAGGTGGTATGTGATGAATCTGTTGCTATTGCTTTTATAAATTGACTGTATTGAATGTACGGGGCAATGGGACTTATTCAGTCATGTCACCCAGAACTGGAAGTGGTAGAGGTTATTGAAAAGTAGTGGGTATAATGAAGCAGCTGGTACAAAGGGAGCATAACTAGATGCAGTTAGCAAAAGAGTTTTTGATGATTGAAATAAATCCTGGGCAGAAAATCATCTGAAAAACTTTTGATATTTTCCTACATTGATCAGCCTCTTGTTGTTCTCATGGTCCATCCTTCAGGTTCAGTTGAGTCTTTAGTGGAATCAAGAATCAGCAGTATCGAATCTTAAATCAGCCTGAGTTGGGAAGATCCGCTATATTTGAATTGAACGAGGATAGGCTGGTACCAGTAAAACATTGAGCAATTGTCAAGAATATGGTCAAATACGATATGAATTGCTTGAATTGAGCCTTTCTTCTTTTTTTTTAAATAATGCGTTTGTGGAATGTTAAGATCTTTAGTTTTGGGCTGATGTGAAACAGTTGTTGATTGCAATCTTCCATCATCATCTAGTTAGCTGACGAGATTAAATCAGTGGTCACTTTTGGAGATCTGCTCCCAATTTAAAAAATGGAAAAAGGCTCCATTCAGGACTGGTTTGTCTTTTTTGTGCTATGGAAGGTGGGTCAGTATACTTTTGTTTTAGACGTTGTACTAGCTTTGTGCAATATGTATTGTGATGGAAACTACTTAAACTTTTTGTGGATATTATTTTTATTTTCCTAATGTGTCTGATATTTTTGGTATGATTTCAGCTCATCAGTCATTTATCAACCCATTATTAGCACATTGAGATTAGGATCTAAACCTAACTTGTTCATTATGTTATCTTCTATTATTTTTCTTCTGACATTTATTACTTCTATCCTTTGCAAGAGTAATTATTGTCCCCCTGCTTGAATTTCAGGCTTCAATGCTGCAGTTGCTGGCTGCTTCTTCGCTATAGAAACCGTTTTAAGGCCTCTTAGAGCTGAAAACTCGCCTCCATTTACTACTGCAATGATTATATTGGCGTCTGTTGTATCATCCACAGTGTCTAATGTTCTACTTGGAGAAAGGCCAGCTTTTACTGTGCCCACGTATGATCTGAAATCTGCTGCTGGTATTTTATCTTATTCTGACCCAACTGTGTATTGTTGGAATTGGATATATATGTATATCTATATATTGTAATTATGTTGATGACCATTGTTTTAGGTTATTGTGCAAGTTTGGTTGCAGTCATTCTCTTTAGACATTTTCCTAATCAAGATGCTTAAGTTATCTGGCCTCTCTTGTTCTGAGCACATGTGCTCTCTATAATGCCTAAATTATTTTCTGAAAAAAAAGGTTTATTGTGAAAATGCTACACCTGTGTTGCTGAGTGATGCTATGGCTACCGAACTGTTTTAGAACTTTTTTTTCTCTCACATTTGTGGGTGTCATTGGTTGGTCAATTGCCTGCTGCTGTCAGACTAGCCTGTACGCTGCTGTTTTGGCTAATACTCCATTTTAATTTTTCCTCATCGATGCTTGTCTAATTTTGTCTAATTTCTGCGCATGTAGTTTACTTTGATTCGCGGCAGTCTTACCTCAGCATCATGCAGTTCATTTAAGGCTTTGATCTTTGTTCTATGCTTTTATTACTATTCGAGTTTTGATGGTCCTTTTATATAATTTTTGTAAATCGTGCTTGGTATAAAGATACTTATTATTATTTTTTGGGAGAGTGCGAGCTTCTTAGACAGTATGAATTTTTTTTTTGCACTTTTTAAGCTTGATTTTCTTCTTCCCATTCATAAGTAAGATTTCTGTTTTTCCACCTTGCAGAGTTGCCCTTATATCTCATCCTTGGTATGCTCTGTGGGGCTGTAAGTGTGGCATTCACTCGATTGGTTGCTTGGTTTACAAGGTTTTTTGACTACTTAAAGGAAAGATTTGCACTTCCTGCGGTTGTTTGCCCTGCTTTAGGGGGTCTAGGTGCTGGTATAATAGCTCTGAGGTACCCTGGGATACTGTATTGGGGATTTACAAACGTGGATGAAATTCTACATACGGGCAAAAGTGCTTCTGCACCTGGCATATGGCTTTTAACTCAGCTAGCTGCGGCAAAAGTGGTAGCAACTGCTCTGTGTAGAGGTTCTGGGCTAGTAGGCGGCCTGTATGCCCCAAGTTTGATGATTGGTGCTGCTGTTGGGGCTGTCTTTGGTGGTTCTGCTGCAGAATTAATAAACTCTGCTATCCCGGGAAATGCTGCTGTTGCTCAGCCTCAAGCCTATGCCCTGGTATTTTCAGTTGAATTTTCCCCTGTTAAAAGTGAAATTTGGTTCACGAAAGATAACATGTCTTTCCCAAATGTCCAGGTTGGAATGGCGGCCACATTAGCTTCTGTTTGTTCTGTTCCCCTGACATCAGTTCTACTTCTGTTTGAACTGACAAAGGACTACAGGATTCTTCTTCCTCTTATGGTATTCTTGGCCTTTCCTTATGCTGTTTTCCTGGCTTGTGCAATGTTTTCCATTTATTACATAGAACTTTCCCAGTCTTTTGTTCGACTGGATTACAGGACTCTTCCTCCGATCATGGTATTTTTGGCCTTTGTCCTCTGCCTTCTGGAATTGTTTTCTACTTTATACATCGAGCTTTCTTTTTTCTTGTTAATCTTTTCTTTTAATATCCATTGTGTTCATGAACTGGTAGGAGGGTTGGTTTTAGTATTTCCGTGCACAATATTTTTCTGATGTCTCATTTGTACGTATGGGCACGTTTTTCGCTTTGTAGTTGGCTCATTGTTATCTTTTTTTATTTTTGGATGAAAATATTGCAATAATATTTTTAACTTTGTCATTTCATCCCTGCTGCACATTAGAAAATAAGCAGTCTTTACAGTAGATTCTATGGGGATCTGACATAAAATAATTGTGGCAGGGTGCTGTTGGTTTAGCAATATGGGTACCCTCCGTAACAAATCAGCCCAAGGAAAGAGAGGCATATTCCCGTGGTCATGGTTATTCTACTGTTTCCCCGGTTGAAGAGAAAAATGAGGCTGTTTTGAGATCAGATGGAGGTGATGATTTAGAACTCTCAATTGTAGGTGGCAATACAAGCCTAGAGATAGATGAAGATGCCATTCTTGATGAACTGAAGGTTTGCCCTTGACCTTTGTTCTTTTACATACTAATGCTCTTCGCCATTGCTGATATTTGCATAAGATGCCGGAATTTAGTAGAGTTATGTTAACTGACCATTCTGTCAACAAAAGGCTTAGAGAATGTGTTTGTGCGCAGGTCTATCAAGCAATGTCAAAAAACTATTTGAAGGTTTCAGGACTGATTACTGTAATGGAAGCAATGACGCTAATGCATGATAACCAGAAGACTTGTCTATTAGTCGTTGACGCTGAAGATATGCTCGAGGGAATTCTTACTCTTGGTGATGTTCGCAGAGGAGTATCTAGACAATCTGCAGAAACGTCCAGTTCTCCGGAGTGTGATTCAGTAGTTTCTGATGTATGTGGATTCTTTCAACTATATTCACGTAGCGTTTTGCTTGTTTCAGAACTGTTCTTGGTGCAATTGCTGAAAAAGTTTTGCTCAATGTCGTCATGATTTGATATCACTGTATAGATGGCTATTTAAAAAGGCTGAGAAATCAAATATACTGTTAATTTTTTCACAATATCACTATGGACTATATTCTTTTTACTTCATTTGGTTTTTGATAGAAATTTTCTAGTAGCTCTCCCAGTTCTCTAGAGTATCTCTCTTAATTTGACCAGCTGGTGCTACATATTTCTGGAAGTGTCTGCATATTTCTTATCTTGATGAATGGTTTTGACACTCTTCATGCATTATTTTTCATATTCTGGAAGAAAAGATTGAGCCAGATACGTCCCCCAGATACATCGCTCATAAGGGAACCCAATTGCCTCATCTCAACCGCAGGATTATTGTTTGCTCCCATACGATAGCCATGATTTTATGAATCATTCCAACTGGTTCTTTATTGCATCCCCGAAGCTTCCTTCTTTCCTTTTTTGTTATTCTATTAGCTCCCTTGGGCTACTAATCATAACCCCCCAAAGGAAGACTCAACCTGTTCGTTGTTCATGATTTCACTGATTTCATCAAAGGAACGACGTCGTATAAGAACTGGATTTCCCTGGCCTTTGGTTGGCTTTTGTTCTGAAGAACTTGTTCTTACTGCGCATCTCACCCTCGTCAGGTGAGCGACTGCCTCGTATCTTCCATCTGCACACGGAGCACAAGCTATAACGGAAGCGTCCGAGGGCTCTTAACATGCTTCCCAGACACCGAGTTGACGACCGCAAGGCAACTAATGGAAGCGAAGAACGTGAAGCATCTACCAGTCGTCGGACGCGGTGGTGACTCGAGAAAGGATCGAAAGCGCAAGCTTCTGGGACTTATTCGCTATGACTCAATCGCTCGCTGTCTACGGTCAGTGATTCTCTTTTATCTTCCTAGAACTGCTCATGCCCATCACATGCCGTTGCCTCTGCCTTCTCCCCTCCCTGATGCTTCTCGGACATGATTCTCTTCTAGTATCATTGACTCTGATGATTTGCAGAGAGGAAGTCGATCGCCGGAGAGCTTCCCACCGCCAGAAAGCAGATCATCTGGAGCTGATCACGAATGGTCACTGAACATCATCGAGACGGTGGTGCTACTTTCTCAAGTGCAGCCGCAGAGAGAGAGAGAGAGAGTCCTGGTGCTGGGACGTCTCCGACACTGAGGGTGTCTGAGATTTCCAGTCCACGGAGCTAGTCTGAGATTTGCTTCGATGGAGGAACGGAAGGTGCTCCTCGTTTATTTTTTTGCTAAATATGTATTATTATTGTGGTGAACAGGTGTTAGGAGGGTTATACACATGAATGTTGCTGTAGCCATTGAGGGGGGGGGGGAAGGGGGAGGACGGACGCCCTTGTATATAGAGAGAGAAACAATGTGCTGTTGCTGTGGTTCCTCTTGATTGGATGTCATGTACGGGAAATCTTGCTCCCTGTAAGCTTTTTCTTTTTGGCTGTTTCAGTGTTCTACGATTCCAGAGAGCTCGGTTTATCTGTTTATGTGCAGCTTTGATCCCTTACATGGTCCAATCCAACGTATGAAGTGTGTTCCCTTCTACCATGTATCTGGGCCAATATCATCTGTATTGCTCTCTCTCTCTCTCTCTCTCTCCTGAAATTGGTCCAAAAATATGACCCAAAGATGCGTACCTTCACTCTAGCTAATCTGCATGGTAGAACTGCTATCAGTTTATATGTCTTCACCTTCCATGCTCGACGTTGATGGGACTGCTACAGAAAAATGTGTGCTGTCGAGCATTCTTTTAGCTGTGAAACATGAAAAATAAGGTGCGATAAGTCAAGTACTTTGCCACAATAAGTGTGGGAATTAGTTCTAGTCTAGAAATTTGTGAGGCTACCATGCACACCTCTCTCTCTCTCTCCCTCTCTCTCTCGCTAGCCATAATCGATCCAAGGTTTTATATGGATGCGCAATTTTGTGCTAAGGTTGGCAAGAGAAGGCTCTCGCCCGACGTTGACTTGAATGTATATGGAACAGATTATGTAGCCTTGAGCGCAAATACAGCGACTGTGCGACCAAGAAGCCAGAACGGAGATCCAATGGTGAGGGCCCGACGCTGTGGAATCCACCTCTCGTTTGGCCGCCAAGCCCTCTTCTTTCCGATGTAAACGACGACGACGGCAACATGCATCTGCTCCCACGATATCTGCGCCGGTGGCCGCCGAGCGATCGCCGTCCCGCCTCGCTTCATGGGACCGGGAGAAGGTACTGCAGTGGCGGCGGCGGCGGCGGCGGCGCCACTACTGTCTTCAGCTTCGGAGACAACAGCATGGGAGCGCTGGGCCTCCCCGGTCACCTCTGCGATGCGTACGAGCCCACCCGGATCCCCTTCCTCCCCGCCCACGGCGTCATCTCCAGTATCGCCGCCGGTCACTACCACTCTCTTGCCGTGACCTCTTCGGGAGAGGTCTGGTCGTGGGGCCGGAACGACGAGGGCCAGCTCGGCCGAGGTCTCGCTACTACAAGGTCTCCTCTTTTTCTCTCACACCCTGGCTCTGCGGGCAATACATTTCCTATCGTCCTGGCATCCGCTCGGCTCTCTCGTCCCGTTGTCCCTCGTTTCGGCTCGTCCTCCTCCGAGGGTTTCTCTCACTTTCATACAGATTTTCACTCGATACCAATCATTTCCTTCACATGGAATTTCCTAGCCGCTCCGAGGGGCCTAGCTTGAGCCTTCGTGTTCGATGGAAATTATGTGGGTGATGCTGCCGGACTGTGGAAGTTCCCTCGATGTTTTCTATTTTTGAGGCTGCTTGACGTCTAGCTTGCAACCCAGACGCCATTGCTTGAGGTCAACTGGTCACACAAAAAAGGGGCCATTTTTGGAGATGATTAGATCGGCAGTTGCAGCAGCAGCAGCAGCAGGGATTGAAAAGAACTCGACCCAGTAGATGTGAAACAGATCCCTCCGATTAAGGAATTCTTCGGATGTCCTCGGAGATAGTTCCACAAAACTGCGTTTTTTTTGTCCCCATGTTTTGAGCTCATGTTTCTAAATTTGGTCCCTGACAGAGACACTTGGCATGAACCAAGGAAGGTGGAGGGCCTAGAACACATTAGAGCCCGGGCTGCATTTGCTTCTGGTGTTGTCTCTGCGGTCGTCGGGGATGATGGGTCTCTCTGGGTGTGGGGGAGATCCAAGCGTGGCCAACTAGGTCTCGGCAGCGGAGTCACAGAAGCTATTAAGCCTACCAAAGTCAACGCACTCGAAGGGGAGGATATTGTCAAGGTGCCCAGTAATGATCGTTTGGATTTTTATTTTTTTTAAGTTCATAAGCTTCAATCTTCTTCATCCATTCTTTAACCGGCGTTGACCCACCTTCACCTTGCAGTAGAAAGATACTTACAGCAGATCTTCTGTGCAGGCGTCATTTGGATGGGGGCATGTTTTGGCTCAGACTTCAGATGGGAAATTGTTTGGATGGGGTAATTCGGGGGACGGAGGATTGGGGATATTGAGTGGAAACTCAGATGCATCGTCCACCCCGCTGCCTGATTCAGATCCGTCAAGAACACCCAGAGCTTCTTCCGCCGCCATAATGGAAGCTGTCAAGAGAATGGTCTTGGATAAGATGGAGAAGGAGAAGAGCATGCCGATAGTATGGGAGCCTTGTAAGCTTGAAGAACTCGACGGCCGTATGGTCTCTGATGTGGCATGTGGGCTCGATCATTCCCTAGTGCTCTGCTGTAAGAATGTTTTTTTTTTCTATATTTAGCGTGAGAAAAATACTATTTTTGTATCTGGTTAGCTTAGTTGCTCTTGTATTTTTCAGCTGACGGCTCGCTGCTCAGCTGTGGAAGAAACACGTACGGCCAGCTCGGGAGGCCCTGTGATGGGTTCAGGATGCTGCCGGTGGCGCTACCATTTCCACCTGTGTCTCTTGCAGCAGGTCTTGGTCACTGTCTTGTGCTGTGTAGAGTTCCCCAAGAGGAAGAGTCCACTGGGATCGTCTCCTGGGGATGGAATCAGAGCTCCCAACTGGGCCGGCAAGGGGAGGGCGATCGGCCGGAGATGGTCAACGGCATGGCAGGGGAGAAGCCCGTGGTCATCTCAGGTGGCCGAGTGCACTCCATTGCCATCACCTCTGGAGGCAATGCGTGGGCATGGGGGAGCGGCAGGAATGGCAGGCTCGGCATGGGAAGCTCGGTGGATGAGCCGGAGCCGGCATGGCTGGAGAGCTTGGAGGGCCTGCAAGTCCTGCAAGCTGCGTGTGGGTTTGACCACAGTCTCCTCCTTGTGGCTGTGTGATGAGGGTTTTCGATTTATCTCCACTTTGGGAACCAAGGGAGCATTCAGCAGTTACTGGGTACGTTGACTCCCAAGGAAGAATATAAAGGATGTGGGATTATATAGTTTATTGTGTTTTTATATGAGTGATATTTTCATAGAAATGAAAGTTGACTATATTTTCTTTGTGGCATCCATTTTTATGGTTCTGAACCTGCTGGATGCATGCAATACGTCAGTGTTGATCATGTATTTCTGATTCCATGCAGAGCTTAGAAATGGCATCTCAAGCGTTGACATTTTGGGGTATAGAATTACTAAATTATAGCCAGCTGGTGCCTCTGTGCTGGAACAGGGTGGATTGTGGTTGACTTTTCTGAAGAAAAGTTACTATCTTCATGCTAACATTTGTGAAAAAAACACCAATAAAGTTGGTGGGATCATAGTGAATTAGTGAGGTCTTGGCATCCTTATTCTGAGACGTTTCTCTTCCTCTAGCTTGAGCATCGAACTGCATTTCCTCAAGCTTTCACCAGGCTTGGATTCCCCTGGAAGAGATTCAAAGACAAAGCGAAAGAGGGAGGAGGAGCTTCCCTCTGATGAAAGCAGAAGGGCTTCGTCTGCAATTTGTTGTTGTTCTTCTTCTTCATCTTCTTTTCAAGAACAAATGATGTCCCCTGCGTGTGGTTATTTACAGGAAGCAGTGAACCAGTTTCACGGGACGTTCTCCGTAGATTCGCTAATGGCGGAGCTGCCCAGAGAGAGCCCGTCGAGCGTGTCGCAGTCGCTGTCCACCAGGTGCTCCTTGAACATTGCCATGACCTGGATCATCGTCGGTCGCCGGAGCGGCCGGTCGTCGAGGCACTGGCAGGCGATCTTCAGGCACTGGCGCAGCTCGTCCTCGCCGGCCTTGTTCCTCCCTCTTCTCAGCTCCGGGTCGAAGATCTCGCCGCTACGACTCTCCCTGATCTTCTGCTTCGCCCATCCGACGAGGTTGCTGTCCCCGAACTCTGCCTGGTCCGTCGGCCTCTTCCCGGAGAGCAGCTCCAGCAGCAGCACCCCGTAGCTGTAGACGTCTCCCTTGGTGGTGCACCGGAAGCTCTGGTAATACTCCGGCGGGACGTAGCCGGGCGTTCCGGCGAGCGTGCTCACGCTCAGGTGAGTGTCCAGGGCGTTCATCAGCCTCGCCATGCCGAAGTCTGAGACACGGGCCTCCAGGTTCTCGTCCAGAAGGACATTGCTGGATTTCATGTCCCTGTGGATGATGTGGGGGATGCAGCTATGGTGGAGGAAGGCGAGGCCCCTTGCAGACCCCACAGCGATCTTCTTCCTCGCCGGCCAGTCGAGCTTGCCGGCGCCGTCGTGGAGCACCGCCTCTAAGCTCCCGTTCTTCATGTACTCGTAGACGAGGAGCCTCTCGTCGCCGATCTTGCAGTAGCCCAGTAATGGGACGAGGTTCCGGTGCTTGATCTTGCCGATGGTCTCCATCTCGGCGGTGAACTCCCTGTCGCCCTGCTCCGTCACGCGGAGGAGCTTCTTGATGGCGACGACGCCGCCGTCGTTCAGCTTGGCTCTGTAGACCTCGCCGAAGCCGCCGGCGCCGATGAGGCTCTCGGCGCCGAACCCGTTGGTGGCCTCGAGGAGATGGGCGAAGGTCAGCTTCCGCAGGGGCTTCTCGAAGGTGGCGACATTGATGCTCAGCGGCTCCATGATGCCGGCCAACTTCCAGCTCGAGTTCCCGGAGATCGGGAAGCTTTCGACGTACTTGGCCCTCTGGTTCTCCGCCGCCGCCGCCGCTGCCGCCTTATCTCTCTTCCTCAACCTCTGAAGGGTCACCACCAGCGCGAGGACGACAAGCAGGGAGGCGGCGATCCCGATGAGCATGGAGGCGGCGAAGACCCGCCGCCGCCGCCGCCGCCGCTGCTGCCCCTCTCCGGAGAGATGGTCACCGGAGTTTTGCCCGGCGGCGCACGGCGGCAAGGGAACGCCGCAAAGGCCGGAGTTGTTCTCGAACCGCGACGGCGAGAAAGTCATCAGCTGTCCCGCCGGCGGGATGGCGCCGGCGAGGTTGTTGTTGGAGACGTCCAAGTCTACCAGGAAGGTGAGGCTCCCCAGGGCCGCTGGTATTGCTCCGGTGAGCTGGTTGTGAGAGAGGTCGAGGACGCCGATGGTTTTCAGCTCCCCGAAGGTCTCTGGTATGGATCCTCCCAGCTGGTTGTGCCCCAGATTCAGAACCTGCAAGTAGCTCATCTCCCCGATTTTCTCCGGGATTGCTCCAGTTAAAGAGTTGTAGGAGAGGTCGAGGTAGATCATGCTGCCGCCGCCGGCGAAGGTGTAGACCGCCGTCCCAGTGTAGATCCTCGTCGTGGGGCAGGCGTGCACCAGGGGAAAGCTCGCGAGCCGCTCCGGCCGGATTCCGGCGAACTCGAAGATGACTCCCGCGCCGGCGCAGGAGGAGCCGCCTTCGTTCCTGAGGAAGGCGAAGTGTTTTCCGGTGACGGCCCCGGGGAAGACGAGCCCTGCTTCGGAGGCCAGGGATGGCGGGATAGCGCCGGTGAGGTTGTTCAGGGAAAGGTCCACCCAGACGAGGTTCCTGCTGCTGCCGAGGGAGGAGGGGATCTCGCCGGAGAGGGAGTTGTTCCCCAGTTGCAGAATCGCCAAGCTCTGAAGCTCGCCGACGCCGTCGGGAATGTCGCCGGAGAGACGGTTACCGGATAGGGAGACCCAGATCAGCCGCCTGCAATTGCCGATGGACGGGGGTATCGTCCCCGTGAACTCGTTGTGGTTCAGGATCAGCGTCTCCAAGCTCGCGCCATTGGAGCAGAGCTCGTTGGGTATCTCGCCGGAGAGCTTGTTGGCCCACATGGCCAGGTCCACCAGCTCCGGGAGCGACCAAATCGCCGCCGGCACCGGCCCGCTGAGCTCGTTGAAGCTCAAGTCGAGAGCTCTGAGATTTCTGCAGGTGCCCAGCTCCGCCGGCAACGTCCCGGAGAGGAAATTATTCGGCAGCATGAGCTTCCGGAGGGAAGGGAAGGACGAGCAAACTCTGGCGGGGATCTCGCCGTTGAAATCGTTGGACGAGAGATCGATCTCTTCCAACAGGGTGCTGTTCTTCAGCAACAGGATCGGCAGAGCGCCGCTGATGTTGTTGAAAGGAAGGCGGAGAATTCTCAGGTTGGGTAGCGCCACCAGAACGCCGCCGATGAAGTCGCCGGAGAGCTGGTTGTCGCCAATATCCAGACTTTGGAGGGAGGTACAGGACGAGAAGGCTGCCGGCAAGCCCCCCGTGAGCTTGTTGTCCGACAGGTCGAGCTCCACGAGCGTCCCGCATATTCCGGCCAATTCCGGCGGGATTTCGCCGGAGAACCTGTTGAAGGACAGGTCGAGCCGATGAAGCCGCCGGCAGTTCCCCAAGCTCCTCGGAACTCCTCCGGCGAGGCCATTGTGAGACAAATCCAGAGCGGTGAGGTTCCCGCAGGTCCCGAACTGGAACTCCGAGAAGTCGCCGGAGAAGTTGTTGTGGGCGAGGTGGATCTCCGTCAGCGACGCCGGCGGCAACTGCATGAAATCCATGGGGAGCTCCCCCGACAGGAGGTTGAAGGAGAGGTCGACCACAGAGAGATTCTTGCAGGAGGGCGACACAGCATTTAGCCTTCCCTGCAGCTTGTTGTCCGAGATGTTAAGATAATTCAAGCTCCGGCAGCCGGCGGACAGGGAGAAGAGAAGAAGGTCCTCGTCGGAGATCTCATTGCGGGACATGTCCAGAGTCTGGAGCGACGGCGAGAAGGGGAAGACCCCGCCGGAGATGGAATTCCGCGAGATGTTGAGCGAAACCAGTCGATTACAGGGGCGAAGAAAGCTTCCGGCGACCCTGCCGGTAAAGTTGTTGCCGGAGAGATCAACGGACTCGAACGCGCAGGCGGCGGCCATAGAGTGGGAGAGGTTGCCGTAGAAGGAATTCCCCCGGAGGTTGACCACCCGGAGTCCGGGAAGGGAGATAATGTCGTCGAGCCTCAGGCGGCCGATCAGGCCCAGATTGCTCAAATTCAGCCCCGAGACTCGCCCGCCGGCGCCGGAGCAGGTGACGCCTACCCATGAACACGGGTCAGCGCCGCCGCCGCTGCTCCAACTCTGAAGGGATTTTTTTGGGTCGGCTTCTACAGAGGATCGCTTGAACGAGAGCAGCGCCGCTGCCTCGTCGGAACCCGCCTCGAGATGACAAGCCAAGAACACCACCACTATCGAACCAAGGAGGAAACCCGCACAGCCGCTGAACCCCGCCATTACGCATAACACTGCTCCAAGGTACCGAGATTCAGATTTTCCGGCGGGACGAGACCAGGGAGGAAACCAGAGGACGAGAGATCTGCGCCAATTCTACCGGCGTTCTTCGTTTCCTCGTCAGAGAAATAGGGAGAAGACATGAATCCCTCACATATCTCCACCTGGAAGCTCCCCTCTCAGGCACGCCAGAACCTGCAAACGGAACCCAAGAAAAAGCCCTCATTTCCCCTTCTTCCATTCAACATCGGTACAGTTGCAGCGAAGACAGCAACCCGGAGGAACCCGGCGATTACAGAGAGAGAGAGAGATTGAAGAGCAGCAGCGACGCTCACCTGACAGCCATTGTCGTCTTCCTGGCTGGTGAGGGCTGAAGCGGGAGGTTCCAAACCCGGAATTCGTCGGAAAAATTGATCTTTATAGCGACAGGCTTGAAGGGCGTAAACAAAGGCAAAGAGAGAAGGGGAGACGGGAGGGAGGAAGAAGAGCTAAAGGAGGGATTTTTATTTTTTTAAGCCGAGTATCAGCTAGTAAATTAAATGCCGAACGAATTATTTAGATTTTTTTTCAAAGTCCGGGTCCGGTCAAAGTGAGACTCGATTCCCTCCCCGCCCCCCCCGCCTGGGCCACCGCCTTTTTCCAACACCCTTTCCCTTTCCCGAAGCTCCTCTCTCCGCCACCACCGCCACATTCCTTCACCGCCGGGGTAGGGCGATCAATCACGAGAAGACGGAGAAGGCCATTCATGGAGGCCACAAACCCGCCCATAAATCGGAAACACGTTGAAAAAACAGGTAGCACGCCATAAACGATTCCCCCGCCGATCACTCCATCGGCGGCGATGAGCTGTCCGCCGCCGTCGTGAGGCGACGGCGGCAACTCGCCGCTTTGTCCTGTCCGGCGATGGTTGTTTCCTGCGCTCTAACAGTCTCCATCGTCGTCTCAGCGCAAGCTCTGCCTCTGCTTCCTGTCGGCCTTAAAATAATCGCACCGGGAACCGGCCATCTCCGGCCGTTCGCCACCCCCACAACTACAGCCGCACGTGTACCTCTCTCTCTCTCTAGCTCTAGAACCCCTTCTCTCGCTCCAGAAGAAGTCAAAATCATTGATGACATCACATCTATGGGGAGTAGGGAATGATGAGCTTCGTAGCTCCGCCGTACTAGGCCATTCGCACGCGCGGGCATTGGGTCCCGCCGCTCTCCGGCAGCCGTCGCCGGCGCTGCCGCCGGCATTAAGAAATGCGCCACCCGCTTCACTGCCGCCGATGGGCTCGTAGTTCCCCGGGGGAGAAGGGGGAGGACCTCTCCGCTCGACCCGCAATTAGAATACTTGCGGAGCGCTCCGGGAGGAGGAGAAGGAACCCAGAAGAATCCTCCGGGCACGGCGCCGCCGCGTGCATTATTTTGACTAGGGAAGTCCTTTTGGTCTCCGGCAATCGTGCAGCGGCCGTGTCGGGGTTTGGTCTCCGCTGTCTCCTCCCTTGTTCCGAGTAGAGAGAGAGATTCCTGAAGCGGCTGTCGTCATCGGCAAGTCTGGGGAGACTACTAGTCCCCAACAACAGTGGGCAAGCAGAGAAGATAAGCTTAAAGAACAGATGTTTCAGCTGAACGATCTCTCTCTCTCTCTCTCTTGATCTCTCCCGATTCTTTTGAGATGGTCCACGGGTGGCATCTTGTCGGTGGCTGGGGGTTCGGTCGCCATCTTCTTTCCACGTGGAGGAACTCAACGGCTCCCAGTGGATAGATTTTGAAGCAACAACAGCGTCGCGTGCCAAGCGGATAGTTCCGAGGAGACGCGTGCGGAAGTCGCGCACCTTTCCTTACTGCTCAACGCTGAACGTCCATGTCTATCTCCTGTCCACCAGTTCCCTCTCTCTCTCTGACTCTCTCTCCTCTCTCACACGCATCCGTCCACGGATATGTTAGTTTCTCGGTGGGTTCCTCGGACTCCAGCATGCGTCGCCATGCCCTGGTTCTCTCTCTCTCTCTCTCTCTCTCTCTCTCTCTCTTCCGTCCTCTCTCCCTCCCTGACTGCCTGTCTTTGACTCCATTTCTTTCACCATATTTGGCGTGCATGGAGTTGGCGAGGGAGTGTCCAGGTCAAGCTTTAGCGTGCCAAAGTCTGATATGTCGGCCCCAGGCTATGGACACCATTGACTCAGAGGTATCTAGTTACCTACTATTTAATGCATAACTTACCCTAAATAGCTTCAGCTTCTCGGAAATATGCGACGCAGTTATTTTTACATTGGGCTGATTTATGCCCTATTTTAATGGAACGACCTACTAACATCACATAACGATGCTCTTATACCATGGGTTACTCCGAGTCTGCTCTACCTTCATCCGGTGCCAACTGTCACGGAGGTCAACGAGATAGATTGACCACACAACCCTGCGTTGACAAGGTCTAAGGGAAGCTGTTGGGCAGTCTCCGTCAGCGTGAACTTACTGGGGGCAAAAGGTGTGGTCTCACCGCTCCTCTTGACGGTTGACCTTGTTTGTGTGTGTTTGTTGTAATTTTCTTTAATTTTCTCTTCCTACTAGGTTGGGTGATTCCCAGCTCCATATTAGAACAACAAATCAAGTAAAATCTGAGGTTAATAAATTTATCATTATTTTCTTTTCTAAAAGAAGAAACACATCTTGAGCTCATTAGGGTTTGGGAAAGTTCCATCATAAAAAGGAATCGTAAAATCTCAAGTATTATCGTGAGATTTAGAACATGTAGGTACCCTTGAAAAATAACAAAAAGCGCATGTTATCTTAACATTGGAGAGATCACCTCACTTTGCATTTACTTCTCAGGTTGACTTTTATTAAAACTTAATATCGATTAAATTTGCTAAAAACAGCTCATTACTGTGGGAGAAATAAACCATGAGTCACATGTCCAAGGGAGAGGGAAATCAATACTAATCCTTAATCAAGTAAGTCAAGCGAGTGGTTCCCTCGTGAACCCTATGAAGAGATGATCGCCAGGTAGTATAGCTGAATAGAAAAATAATAAAAATATAAATAACCCAAGAGGAGGGTTTTTCCCAATTATACTTCAGATTAATTTTTTTCATATGCTTGAGAATTGATTGCATTATAATTTCTATCTTTATATTCGTATGTCTCTAAAATCTTGCTACTTTCCTTCCAAAACCTCCCCCCGTCTTATGCTCGTCGACTTCAATTCCGTCGGCGTCGGCGGAGCTGAATACCTGAGAGATGAAGGGGGCAGCCACGGCGGCGGCGGGTATTCCGGTGGATCCTGTGACGCCGCTTTTGTTCCTTCCGCCGCCCCAGACGCCGTTTTCTGCCCGCCATCCCATCCACCGCAGCCACCTTCGTCATCCCATCCTGTGGAGGAAGGAAGGTAGGGCGTAGATTCCTACCCTATCTAGACCACCAGCGCCCATATAAAGTCTCTGGAGAACCCCAAAAAATCGGCCGGACCTCGTCTTGTCCTCCGCTCGTGATCTTCTCGGTAAGCTTCCAACCTGCTTTTTGTTCCGCATCGTAGCTGTTCGACGTTTTGCGTACTACAAACCCCAACTCCATTCTGTCGTCCTCTCGCGACTGTTCCTCCCGTCATGCCGCTTGTCTCAACCGATGGCGTTTTCTCTGGATAATTGCACAGAATTTGAGTTCGGAGATGCTTTGGTGGGCCCTTGAACTCACTTTCATTCCATGTTTATGGAGATGATGTTGCTATTCGTCTGGTTTTTAGAGTTCATAAGAAGAATTAGCGCTCCTGGTTTTCCAGTTCTCGCCTGATGGGTGCTGAAAAAGAAGTTGATTTCAGAGGCGAAGGCGGCGACCGTTGCGGCGGCGGGGCGGGAGCTCTCCGCCTCTCCTTTCAAAGGAAGGGAGGGGATGGCGGTGCCGGCGACGGCGGAGCTGTGCGACGCCCACGCGGCCCTGCTGGCGAGCGGGGAGCTGCGGGTGCTGCAGCCGATGTTCAAGGCGTACGGACGACGGGGGGCGTTCGCCGGCGCCGTCGTCACCCTGAAGCTCTTCGAAGACAACGTCTTGGTGAGGGAGATACTGACGGTTCCTGGTGCTGGGAAGGTCCTCGTTGTTGACGGCGGGGGGAGCATGCGGTGCGCTCTGATGGGGGGGAACTTGGCGCAGCTGGCGCAGAACCAGGGCTGGGCCGGCGTAGTAGTCAACGGCTGCATCAGAGACGTTGACGAGATAGACGCCTGCGACTTGGGGGTGAGGGCACTGGGGTCGCACCCCGTCAAGTCCGGGAAGAAGGGGACCGGCGAGAAGCACGCAGCGGTCCACATCGGCGGCGCCGCCATCCGCGACGGCGAGTGGCTGTACGCTGACAGCGACGGCATCTTGGTCTCCTCGTCGGAGCTGTCCCTGTGAAAGAAGAAAGCTCGCGTCTTGGGGGGTTTCTGGGCGGGTACCCCACACCGTCTCTCTCTTCTTAGAGAGAGAAAATGAAGATTTAAAATATGGGCATTTAGATTATGTTCGAAAGTTTGAATGGGAACGTTTCGCATGGAAATTTAGGCTGACATTCGATGTATAACTCGAACAAGGCAAAGAATTCCCTTTCTTTCTTCCTCCACCACCGCCACCACCACCTCCGGCGGCCACAGAAGACGAAAGGCGGTGGCCACACTCAGCTTCTGCTCTCTGCGTTCGTGGATCCTAGATGAAGGCGGTCCGGCCTCCTCTCCTGGTATGCCGGTCGTACGTCGTGTTGAACTTGTCGACCAGCTCGTTCATGGTGCTGAAAAAATTCAGAAAGATTCAGACCCCGCCCCCCCCCTCCATAATGGGTTGACTCAGAAACACGACGATATTCTACACGAGAGATTTACTAAGTCAACGATGAGTCTCATCCATTGCCAGGCGATGTTATACGAAACGGGTCTCTGTTCCAGGTGGTCTCTTCACTGATAGGAGAAAACTGATAAAGAAATGATCCATAACTTGTTCTAATTTAGTGGGTCAACTAGTTAATCAATGGATCAGCTTTTGGGGGGAGCTCTGAGGTGCAACACCAAAGAAAGGATTAAGACTGCTGCCAACTAAGTGCAAATATTTGTTCCGATTTCCTATTTGAGTAAAATAATTTATCATTTCATAATGATCATTAAGATGCAATTTGATCATTTCCTGAATATTCATCCCGTACACTACTTTGCAGGTAAATTCACAAGCTAGAGAGGAAGTTGCATACCTTGAACAGTTCGTGAACATGGCCAGGTAAGTGATGAGAAGCGTATCATTAAACTCCTGCAAAAAAAAAAAGAAGTAGAGTGATGCTGGATGAGAGATTATCTTAATCAGCTCACATTGGAAAATGGCTGATTAAACATGGGAGAAAAGAAAGAACCAAGATCACCACTCACCATGAGAAAATCATCCTGAAACTTTTCTGATTCGATTGCTGGCAATCTTCTCATGAGGCTGGACACCTGCCTGAGCAATGAGTTGTCGAGAGGTAAGTCACCTGTATGTGAAAATTGGTCCAGTGAGCATCATCCAATTTCCCACTAAACGATCAGAAAGAGAGAGAGAGAGAGCGAGAGAGAGAGAGAGAGCAAATCCCTGCCATTCGAGGCAACGCGGAATAAATAAATTTACCATTTTCTTGATTAAAGATGAATTGCAATCAATGATCATTTTCGTACAATCCAATATCGGTTTCACAGCTAACTAAACAAGAAGTAACTAATTTCTGACTTCTGAAGAACAAACAAGCCGCAGGGTCACCGTTCACAAGTCTAAAAAGGAAAAGAAAACACACTAAGCAAGATGGATCCGTTGAGAGTGTGAAGTAAACCAGAGAGGTTGAGCAGACCAACCTCTTTGCATCGCAAGAAGATACTGTTGAACTATCTTGATTCTGCCATTAAGCATTTTTATGGCACTGTAGATACCCGTCAGATGAGCAGCCACTGCCCAGAGGAAAACAACATTTAGAGAAATTGAATAATTAAAAAAAAATCAAACACGATAAAAAATAGAGGGTATGAAATTATTTCTCACGTTGAGTTGCAGCAGATCCTCCATCCGATGGCTTGAGATGGGCCACGTGATCAATTGAAATTCTCTCTGCTTCTACAGTCTTCAATAATAAAAACCCAAAGACATCATCAGCTTCTAGTATCACAATGAGTGTCCCCATGATAACTATGAAATTGTTGGAACACACCTCAATCGTGTAGGTTGATCTAACAAAAATTAACTGTGGGATCCCGTCAATGACATGCAACTCTTTAGTACAGCAGCGATAAACATCCCAGGTTCCAAAATAAGAGCATGCTCGTCAGTGTGGAGTGAGATAATAGAGATAATCGCATCCGAGAATCTTACTGAAAAACGTCAACCTCGACAGTGCGTTTGTCAGATAAACTTATCAAGAATTGCTACCAAACACTATGAAAAAGTGATTTCAACGCCCGATGCTAAAAGTACATCATAACCATACCACTTTCAAATATTGTTATCGGAAGATCCTTCTGTGCATGGTTGATCGCGGGATTCAGAAGAAGATAAACTGGACTTTCGTTTATATCCATTAACTATACAGGAAAAGAAATACCTTGGGGGTCAGTAAAAATACCACCTTTGGAATATAACAGGATATTTACATGAGAAGGTTAAAATAAAATTTCTATGAATAATTTTCCAAAAAAAAAAACATGTTTTATAGATTTATTGTCATTACGCCTGTACGGTCCCTTTCCTACATTCAAGGGAGGATTGGTACCAGCATCCTCTGGTCCCTTCACATTATACGATCATGTGCATAGCCCGCATTATATTTGCATACAGAGCCCTCTTAAATGGAAAATTCCACGTGGGACATTTCTAAACGTTAATTGTTTACAGATCTTCGCCATGTGAATCAAACTGCAGTTTTCCCATAAATTAATTCCACCATAAGCAAGTTGGAAACGCCAACTATACTGATATGTCATTTGATTTCTAATCAAGATACTCCTAAGGAAAGCAATGCTCCAGAGAGGGAAGCCATGAGCACTTTTGATGATTTTCATCACATTTATGGCGACCACACCAAGCAACATGTAGGTTACAAGAGTAAAGTGCCGTTAACACAGGAGTCCAACACAGGGATAAAGGTTTTGCTTTAGTAATGAATGCAGTCCAATATATTCTTAAAAGCTCAAATACACTATGTTTCAAATGAGTAACGTATCTGCAGAACCCTTCACTCCACCAATGGTTCATGCAAGGAAAAATATGGCAAATCGGCTTCTTCCACAAGCTAACAAATAACAACGGTAGATAGGTAGGGATACAAGAAATTTTAAGATTATATGGTAAATATATATATATACACGTATGCCAAAATTATTACATGCTGAGAATGAATACCCATAGATTCTTTTAAAATAAATATATATAAATGCAAATGCATTCTACTGCCCGTTACTGTCCACAACATGAATCGTAGGCAACTCAAAAGCCACTATTGCGCCGTTCACTACTATGTAAATGTGATTATTACATCCTAGTAACACGTTCCGCATTAGAGACCCTGCCACTATTGTACAATGATCATGAGCCACCACTCTTATTGCCGACAACCACCTATGAAGATTCGAACCTTTTCACCTGTGGAACTCCATACTACCATCATCTATCACCCCAAGACCACAACATATCACCACCACCGCTGCTGCCATTTATCAAAATTCCTATCTATTGCCATCACCATATACCACATACTGTCATATTAAAATCCCACTACAACTACTATTACTTGCGAACACATATTTCCTCTTAACATTATAACCATCACCACTCCACTTCTGTCACTTACTGACACCATCTACTAGTGCACCCATTGTCCATCACCACTCTCATCGACCATCATCCACCATCACTACTACTACTCAGCAACAGAATTGCCTCCCATCTAACATCAGTAATAGACAATTACCATAAAGAATACCAGGTGCCATCAAAATATACTGATACCACAGCCTTTCACTGCAACTAAAACTTGTCCTATCAGCATTCGTCACCACAACTGACTAACAGCATTATCAGTCACCTTCGTCACTAATTGCTACGTCCCTATCACAGTTTAACTGTGCCCACATTGTGTTCATTATCCATTGTCTCAATTGCTGCACACTACCGAATAATGCAAGAAAAGAATTCAGCTTACTTAATACCATTAAACAAAATTTTCCGTGAAAAATCTAGCATTTGATTCTAGTCTCCTTAATGGACTATAGCAACTCTATATTTCCATGGAATCTCTAATTGCCTTTACGATCGTTACAAGTGGATGCATACATTCCTCTAATTCCAATTATACTTTGCTCATAATATAATCGGACAAATACATCAAAAAACGTTGTGTGTGAGAGAGAAAATAATCTCATGAGATAGTTTGGCATAGACAAACAACAACAAAAATCAGAAAAGTAATTCAGTTCGCCAAACCTGAACTAGTTGATGATTATTACAATGTTAATCCCCATCGGAATCACGAATTAGTTCCTAATCAAATAAGGTTTCTTAAAACATGAACTTGTGGATCGCCCTGGTCAAGGAGAAGTATTCATAGATAGAATATAAATGTCACTCCTTAAAAGAGAAGAATTATCCTCTGTAAGAGGAATATCTGAGGTGTAAACCAGTTGCTACCATGACCCTTTCAACCAAGATGAAATAAGTATAAGACAAAAGGAAAGTTGGCATTTGGTTAAGGTGATAAAGAGAAGACATTCGCTGTAATCAGGATACGCCTGCAATCAAATCCTTGGCCTTTAAGCACAAAGTGGAGTATCGAAAAGTTGTTATTGGATACGGAGAACAGATATTGGAAAATCAATTTCCCTCTAGCTACTACAAGGGATCGGACAATTAAAATCATTTGCCTCTAGCACATTACGTACAAGAAATGTGTTGATACATTTGAAAATAAAATGATATTTAAGAGATGCAATAAAAGAAAGAAGACAGCAGATAAGAAATTCTACGAAGTTTTTTCTCCATCCAGGATAAAATGCAACAAAGGAAAAGAATGAATTTCCATCTTTGGAAACAAATGGGATTGAAAAAAAAATTCGATTTTCGTTCTTTTTTTTCCTTTGGGTAAAGGATTACTGAGAAAATTATCCTCGTACACTTTAAATAACTAAGGTTAAAAATGTAACAGCAAAAAAGTTCAGGTTAAGAACAAGTATCAAAGCCGTAACTATTATTAATAAAATTAGTGGTTGTGCAAACCTTCTTTACATATAATGGTGATACCCACCGAAAAAAATCAGATAACCTTTCCCTTTCTCTTCATTTTTTTTCTTTTTAAAAATGTAATGTAAATATTTTCCTGTTATCGTCGTGGAACAACAGTAGTTGATATGCTTTTAATTAGATAATGGTTCCATCTAGTGGATCCACCTCTTAATTGTAGGGTTTCACATCCATATTTCGTACATCACTAATAAGAGCCGCAGACACTGAGACTGGAAATGGCAGTGAAAAACTGAATGAAAAAATGCCAACACATTAATCAGTTATTTCATTCGACTAGCCAATACAAGCTAAAAAAAGGCAGAAAAACTGACATCAAAGCTCAATATTGCAAAAGAAAGAAGGACACCAAAATTTCAGAGGCCAGCACAGAACTAATGTGGAGTTCAATTCTTACAGCTTTATGTATCTGCATATCTGATTCCTGGGCATCAATTCCAGTGGAATACCAACCCAAGATGTAGAAATCAGGAAACACTTTCTTATCTGGATCAAAAATATTTAAGTGAGAAAAGAGAGAATCAGAGAAACTTGGAATACACAAGAATGGCATAATATCCGAACATGCAGCAAATATGAACTACCTCAAGGAACGGACCGTGAAAACACAGGCTTAAGCCTAGCAATGTTGATGTCATTAAATCAGAATTGCGTTCGCAAAAGCCTACCAAAACCCTAGACGAAGGACAACGGCGGCCCACAAAACAGAGACGGAGTGAGATGACGCCTTACATAGTTCCTGCTTCTTCTCAAGATAGGTGCGGTCGATGCTCTGGGCGACTGGGTCGTACACGAGCTCGAAGCTATTGAAGATCTCGACCGTCCGACCCCGCTGGACGCCGATCACGCACCCGAACACCCTTGGTGGCGGCACCGACGAGAAAGAAGACAGCGATGAAGACTCACCACCGTTGGAGCAGGCCTGGTCGCCCGCCGCCTGCTGGTGCTGGGCTTGGGACTTGATCCTCGTGTAATGGTCTGATATGTTCACGATCACCAGCGGATGAAGCTTAAACGTCAACCCACTGCCCGACGACGACGCCATGACGCCAGACAGATCGACGAGAAGATAAACAGGAGGAGAGGAGAGGAGAGGAGAGGAAAGGGAGAGAATTCCTCTCTCTGCTCGTTGCTCCGCAGTGCCGAGAGGCCTTCGCAGAGGAAGGCGAGGGCGATAGGAGACGACAGGGAGGGTTCTTTCAGGCCACCTGCCGCCATGTCCAAGTAACCTCTTCCGGATCTCCAGATCGGATCCCGCATCACGTCACACTATTAATCCACAACCGATAAGGATCCAATAACATCCGAGGGCCCAAACGCATCCCAAGCCCAAAAAAAAACTTTAGACCAAGCCCGGGCCCAAATGCACTCTAAAAGGGCCGTAAATGGGCCTTCAAGTTCGCGATTTTACTTATATTTAAATAATTATTTTTCCACAAAAAAAAACCCGAGCTATCACGCTTCGATTCTATCAAAACCAAAATTTCCATTTTTAAAAAATTATAAGTGCAAAATAAAATTTAAAAATAATTCCCGAGCTTTCGCGCTTCCATTCTATCGAAATCCATTTTAAATTTTCTATGTTTTTAATTATAATGAATGAGCTATTTATTTATGAAGGCCTCATTATCTGCAAAAAACCTAGGATTATCTCTCTAGAGTAGTCAATATCATTATCATTAAATCAAACCCATAATTACTTCTCGAGAGTAAGCCACACCCAGTCCGTATCCGGTAGTCTAGAAACTCGGAAATTATTTTTCTTGACGTGACTCTCTCTCCCTCTCTCTCTAATATCTGCTGCGCACGGACGGTGGAGAGAGAGAGAGAGAGAGAGAGAGAGAGAGAGGGAGAGAGTCTCTCTGTGTGTCCGCCTGACATACCACCTAGGTGTCCTTCCTCTCCGCCGCCTCACAGAGGTGGAAGGGAGAGCGTCTGTCATACCACCCGCCTAGCCGTCCTTCCTCTCCGCCGCCTCAGAGAGAGAGGAGCGAGAGAGAGAGAAGAGAGAGAGAGAGAGAGGGAGTCTGCCTGTCATACTGCCTAGGCCTGCTTCCTCTCAACCGCCACTACACAGTCGTCGCCCGGCAACGCCTTTCCACTGTCTTGGCACTTGTAGGCCCCAGGGAGGGCTGTTCAGCTGATGGCGTGTATGTTGGTCACATCCCCTTCAACACCACCACGACGTCACGTAAATAAATAAAAAAAGTAAAATAAACCAATTTATTTGGCTTGCGGAGCGGTAATAACTCCTTCTTGCAGGAAAAAATAATACTCTAATATATTAGAGAAAAATTAGTAGCATTTTTCGGCTAAAATGCATCCAAAGATCATCACTTAAGTTCTGGGTTTTCTGTGAATCTTACGTGATCGACTATTCTCCATATCATCCTCCAGCTTGACCTGCCGATTCGATTACTTTCGGAAGTGACAACTCAGTATTTGTCAAAATCAGGGCCGCCCATCTGCAAAAGAAAAGCTACCCCGTTCTCTGCAGAATCCACTGAAATATAGAGAGAGAAGAGAGAGAGAAAGAAGAGAGAGGTCCCTTGGCCACATTCGTCCCGTAGCTCTTCAGGGTTCTAGTTAAGCTGAGAAGCTTGCTTCAGAGGGCTCCCCCTGGGGAGGGAGGGGTCTCCGTCTTAAATGCCCTGCTGCCTACTTCAATAAATGGGGAAGAAGGTGACACCACAGAGCCTGCAAACCACAAGAACAAAGCACCTATACGCAACAAGGACAGAAGCCCCATCCACTGTCACGTCCCCGTTCTGCGTCTCCGCACGTGTCTCACCAGTCCCCAAAATCCTACCACGTACGAGCGTCTTAATTCCTTCCTCCGTCACTCTCTCCGGTTCCCGTCGCGGGAATAACAGTGATCTGAGGGCAGGTTATCGGAGGAGGAATGTCGGATGATGATGGATGATGCTACACTCGCCGGCTGCGGATTACTCCCTCCTCCCTGGGCGATTAATGACGTTTAGGAGACGTAGCTGAACAGTCTTTTTGGCGTCGTTTCAATAGATCGTGGAGTCGATGGTGATTACAGACTGGAATCTCTTTGCCCAGCAAGAGAGAGAGAGAGAGATGCAGTGAGAACGATGGCCATTGAGGAATTGAGGGAGCTTTGGCTGTGTTTGATGCTCCAATATCTACGCTTTGTTGAGAGGTGAAAATGGAGGAGCATCCCTGATACCAGATAGAGGAGAGACTTCAACATGAGTTTCCATGCCATTGAAGAACGATGACAGGATATGTATGAAAGTCAACCGCCGGCATGACGTGAACGCCACATGCCGAACATATCTCAGACTCCCATGCCCCTAACATCTCTCTCTCTCTCTCTCTCTCTCTCTCTCTCTACAATTATGCCAAATGATGCTCTTACATAGGGGGCTTCACCGTGTTCACTATTGACAGGCGGATGATACCTCATTTCGTCGGCTCCAAAGAAGATTCAGCTGTTATATCGGATAACGTGTGAAGCAGTTTATCATAGAGCAATCGGGCGCGTCTCCAATTTATAAACTTACTAATCATGGTCATCAACAATGATCACACATTCCCCCCCTCCTCTCCTTCTCCTTCTCCTCTGTCTCCAAATCATTTGGGTAGGGGTGTTAGTTTATAGCGAAGGTATGGTCCAGAGAAATGTCGGACAATAAATGCCGCCTCGCGTTTCTCCTTCACGGTCCATACCTCCTATCTCTCTCCTGTCTTCTTCACCTGCTTCCCTACTCCCCTGTATCGTGTAGTCTTACTCGCTGGATATCCCACGCAACGAGATCCGGCAGCTACGACTCCACTGGATTCTCATCTCCACTCCCCTACGTCTCCATAGCTTCGCCTTTCCAGGTTCAACCTGAGCGTGATTTTCTTCTATCATCTGAAACGAACCAAAGTAATCGTTCTTCTGTAAATCTCTGAGATTATTCTTTTCCTGATCTCTAAAAACTTCGAGATTCTTGAGAGATTAAGGGCTCTTATGGCTTGTTTTTGCGAAGGGTGATGAGAGCCAAGAGCTACACAGCGGTTCCTTCCTCTGGGCGCTCAAGATCAGAGTGTAGCTCTCGGACCATACGCCGCAGCGGCCGGTACCTTGGACAGCAATGGTCGGGCAAATATTCTCAAGCCATGAAAAGAATCTTCGTTAGGCCTATCGTTGTTCGCCACAACTCCCTATCATTGCAATAAATGCCAGAATAAATGGTATCGTTCCCTTACATTCGGGACGAAAACTTACCATCGTACAATTTACCGAAGCCCGATTCATCTCTCACCTCTTTCTCTCTCACACTTTCGAGGGAGGGAGGGAGAGAGAGAGAGAGAGGTAGGAAAATTGATGCGCCACATGCAGAGGCTATGGACGGAGGACGGGGCTAAAGATTCGTGTCACTTGTTAATGGATTTCCTCTGCGCAGGTTGTCTGCAGTACAGAGTAAGGAAGGGGTGGGTTCCGTGTGCCAAATCATGAGAAAGGCGAGAGATGCTCTCCTCGTGACAGCAGGGGCCAACCCACCGGCCATCGCAGTTGCACTGCCTTTCTCGTCCCTGCGGGCGTACGTAAACCAGAATGTTTCCTCCCTTCCCCTCGCAAAATAATATGCAAGCATCACGTCAAAAACTCTCTCTAAACCCTACCGTGCTAACCCATCAGATTGCCGTATGAAGCACGGGAGAACAATCATACCCCACTGGACTAACTGTTCAAGGGAATCTCCATAAATATTTCCAGAGACCTAAATCATTGAAAATCTCCTTTCTGCTGCACATGAACCCATACCTTCCATTGGATCAAACTGGTGTTTGAGATGTGCCCATGAGCCCGAATAACGATAACTATTGCTACGAGACAACAATATTGAATAATAGTGATATTTGAAGCTTGTATTTTGGACAAAAACAATACTATGGAGGGGAAAAAATCGACATATCCGCCAAAATCACCCATTTAGACAGTTTTCCGTATTTCCTCCGTAGAATTGAGAGGACAAGGCAGCGCCCGGATAAATCAAGAAAGCTTGAAATGGAAACAAGCATGTTTTTTCAAGCGACTTGGGCTCCACCTGAAGTAATAAAGCGGATGGATGCCTGCATCCCTTCCACAAATGCGGAAAGGGGGGGGGAGAGGGTGAGCGGGGGGTGAGAGGGAGAAGGGGGCAGCCTTGCAAGATCCCAAGAACACGACAGGAATGATCCGTTAGGGGGGCAAGGTGACCGCCAAAAGTTCCTGCTTTGCGAAATTTCATGATTTTGTTCAAGGGGACAAAAGGCAGGAACTATGGAGGGTCCAAGACTAAGATGCAACCCCATGAACAAACAACCATCAGACATATCCGGAACCCAGGTACAGAAAACAAGAACTAAGGCCGAGTGCAAGACAAGGGAATCTTAAACTACAGACGATATGCCCCCAATTCTTTCTCAGAGAATAGAATGGCCATATATCATGATTGCCCTCATTGAAACCCCACTGACTGCCCTTTCGCATTATTCTCTCTCTCGTCTAATGAGCCGGGGGGACAGCATGAGGATGCGGGAGGCATCCTTAGTTCGATTATTTCTTAAACAACGCCCAGTGCAAGAGGAAGGCATAACCTAAAGCAGAAAAGCTGGAGACCGTAGTAAAAAAACAACAACTACAAATCTAGTTGCCTCTTTTACTATAACTATTATATAGCCCTACTGTCGTCTCGAGCTTGCAGCGGACCAGCGTGTGTGTGTGAAGAACATGGAAAACATAACGAATGCACTGCTTGAAACAACGGTAGCTACCTCATGGAAATGCATCATAGGTTTATGGCGCTTGGGGAGATGAAATCTCACAGGGGAGCGGTGGAGAAAGAGGGCTTTTACAGTGCTCGAACGTTTCTCCAACGTGCGCCATGGGTATATACCCCAACCATGCACGAGTGCTGTCTTGCAGTCCTGCCTCGTTCACATTCCCTTCTGAGCTAGAACTGGTTAGGGTTGAGGCTTTTAGGTGGAACCCACAGATGTAACCGTATTGCCACCCTCATTCTTCCTCAGCTTGGTGGGTTTCACATTCCGAAGAAGAAGGGGGAAATCCATAGTACGAGGAGACAAGCAGAAGAAATGAGTACTGGGTTAGGGTTTCAGGGCCTCCATGATGAGACTGAGAACAGTGGCCTGCCTCTCCAGCCGAGGAAGAGTGAGTCCTTCACCATCTGGAGCTGGTATCCCTCCAGCGGGTAGTGTATCCTCAGCAGAAGCTTCGCCTGTGACAGCGAGAACGGGCTGAGCGGCAGGTTGGCGAAGCCTGCCCCCCACAGGGCCCTCTCCCAACGCTCGAACCGCTCATGTCTCTCCCTCCTCTCATCTCCCTCTGCCGCCACCACATCTGCAATCTCCCTCCCGAACCACACCTGCTCCACCGTCAGTCGCTCCTGGCTGCTCGCCGGAAGCGTGGCTTCGAGAGATTCGAACATGGCAGTGTAGTGATCGACTGCCCCCATGAACCGGTGTAGAAACACCGGCGAGTTATGGTTCGCTTCCCTCTCTGCCACGGTGACCACAGCCGGGTTCATCGCCTTGATCGCCCGCAAGAACGGCTGGATCTCCGTCGACTCGGCCCTGAGCAGCTTGTGGAGGAAGAGAACGCAGTTGACTGCCAGAGTTTCACCCGGGTGGAGCTGGAAAGCCGAGAGGTTGAAGAAACCGGAAGAACTATCAATACCAGTGTGATCGACGCCGCTCATGATGCCGGTCGAGGGGAGGAGGAGAGGGAAGAACTGGAATCTGAGCCCTAGGGACTGAGCGAAGCACTTGAGGCGCTCGCCAGTGCGGCTGAGGGTGTTGAGATCTGTTCCCGTGCCTGTGATCCGTACTGACGGGCGATTTGCAGCGTCATACCGCTCGGCTATGGCCTGGAGAAGAGGCGGCCATTGCACCCCGTGCGCCGTGTCGAAATCCAGGATGTGGATTGAGCGGCGACCATCGACTGCCTCAAGGATGGCCTGGTTTGCGGTGAGATGGCAGAACCTGATGAAAGGTGTGACCTGGTTGAGCATGAGGTACGCCGACTGTAGGGCATCCGGATCTGGCGGCGGCAGCACGGGAGAAGCAGCAGCGGCGGCGGCGAGGGCTTGCCGGTTGACTCGGAGAGAAAGAGCGCGGGAGAACAAGTGGGCGAGGCGGTCGACGGAGTCGCCACATGGGGAGGCGGCGGTGGAAAGGAGGGAGATTGCATGACGTGCGGCGGGGAGATTTCCACGACTGATCAGATCTGCGCAGGTGATCATCAGCTCGCGGATGTGGGTGGACTGGGTGATGAACCCATGATGGTGGTGGCGGTGGTGGGAACGGTGGTGGTGGTCGGAGTCGTCTTCTTCGTCATGGGAATTGAGTGAGCTGAGCATCTCAGGCTATTGAGTGGAGGAGAGCTGACGAGGGATGAGAGAGGGAAGATGCTCGTGGGGTGGTGAGGGAAGAGGGGGAGTGACTGGGGACTTCGCATTCCCTTACTTTAATAGAACATCTGAGAATGCAGCTACTTGGAAAAGACATGATCTGCCAAAAACAGGGATTGTGGAGTGGTAGGAGTGGCTGCTGCTTGTCTCTGTGGTAGCACACTGTTCACAATTCCCTTCCCTCTCCCTCTCTCTATCTTAGCACCGCCCTCCTGCCCGAGGAGAGAGCAATGGTAGGATTTTATACCTCTTCCCTTGTCTTTTTCCGCATCTTTCGCTCTTGGACAGCCAGGCCCCCGGGCTTAGACACAGGAGATAGATGAGATATATGGAGGTCTCCAAAGGATCGGATGGAACAGGAAGCTCAGTGGGGATTAGCACGCTATGCAGGGAGAGCCTGCACGAGCGGCAGAGCAAGCCAAGCAAAGGGAAAAGAGGAGAGGGGGAGTTCTTGAGAGAGAGAGAGGCAGACTTGGGTATTTGTGTAGCAATAGTAATCAGGAGAATGATAAGGCGAGGAATGTCGAAATAATTAAAAAGGATACCGAAACATCACCCGTTCCCGGTACTAATCCAGGCCGCTGAGAGGAGGCAGAGCAGCCCCAGGCTTCTCACCTGCTACAACAGTTCCAGGCTTCTCTACCCTCTCTCACTCCCTCACGAATCAGTCACACACGCAAAGCTTTTAATGGGTGAATGGAGACTACACACGCCCTCCACCCCCAACCATTCTCTGCTTTGTCTCCTTGTGGGATCTTCATTGATGGCTTTCAGATAACTTCCTTGCCCCCCTCCCCGCTCCTTCCCTCCCGGTTGTCAGTATAGGAGAAGACTGTCGGATCAAGCAACCCTCTCTTCCCCACCTCTCTGTCTCTCTCTCTAGAACCTTTTCCCTTTTACAGTGGCAGTAAAGAGGAGGGGAGAGGTGACAGCAAGAACAAGGGGGTCACCGCAAAGTCCAGCCTCCGTAATGGTTCCCCGCCCGACCACCCCCATTGTTCTCTCACATCAACGGGAAATCAGGGCATCTTCTCACAGCCCAGTATGAAGCAAACAGAATATAGCAGGCCCAGGGGAGACAAAGCCCATATGCCCGAATAGACTTTCTAATTCAGACCCACGTCCCCATATCAAAGCAATACCATAAACAGCAGTAGATCGTCATCAGCATCTCCTCCCCGCCCTCCCGGTCCCTTCAAAGCTGTCTGCTTAGTCATCCGTGACTTTGTCAAGATCCCTTGCGTTTATGCATCAGATGACGGATTTCCGCGTCAGATGGAGATCTAGTCTCATATATAAACATCAGAAGAGACCCTTCTCTCTCCACCACTGCAGAAGGAATCTCCCTCTCTCTCTTTCAAAGCGGAGAAAAGGGGACAAGAGGAGAGGGAAGATGGTAGAGAGCTGTAGGTGAGGAGGAGAAGAGGACCATGGGGAGAGACGCTGGTGCTGGATTGATCGAACTTGTGCAACAGGCAACGAAGCAGAGAACAGACGAAAGGAGAAAGGAGTGCTGGTAACGTTGGTAAATCTTACCTCCGTCACATTAATGTCACTGATTTGACGTGAACAAAAGTCCACCTCTTTGAGGAGAATCTTCTGCCATGTGCTATTTTATCTACCTCGCCGATCTAACCTCAACTCCCCCGCAACCCCGCTCTCGCTGTCCCTCCCTCTATCCAGATTTTTCCCTTCCCTTCCCTTGCAGATGCCAGGAATGGGCCTTGCTCATTTAAAGATGCCAAGCTGAGTTCGGGGGGTAGAGAGAGAGAGAGAGGGAGGGAGTGGTGCAGTCTTGAGTGGAGTTCAAGGCAGGGAAAGGAGAGACACCCGTCGATTGGGAAGGGGAACCGTTCGAGTAGACATTATAAAAACCTAGAGAACCGACCGGAAAGTTGCGAAAAAAGAGAGAAAAAAAATTAAAGCCGATCCACTGGTAAATATTTTTTCATTGTTATCTCAAATCCCAAAGTGGCCTACGGCGGAACTGCTCCCATCCCATCCCCGCTTTCGAAACCCAAACGCGTTGCTGGGTACCGGTGCTGGTGCGCCACCGTCTGTCAGGTTTGACATTTTTACAGGATGCGAGGCGGAAACGAGAAGACAGAAGGAATTTCAGACGGTCTGGAGGAACCAGAGGGTTCCTCGGAAAGGACCTTTCCGACTCCTTCAACTGGGTCTTCTTCTTCCTTCCGCTTCCCTCCCACGGGTTTTCTCTCTCCTATCTTTTCATTGCTACTCATGTCATGAAGCTATCTGCCTCCTCTCTCTTTCCCCTCATCATCATACATACCACACCAGCCGTCCACGCCGTAGATCCCGGCACCTCCTTCCCCCTTGCTCGCAACTTTTCAAAAGGGTTGAGGCGTGCAGACCTACCCATGAACTTCGATGAAGCTGTGGTTCTCTGGCGGAACATTTAGGCTTGAACCAACCCAGGGACCGCGATGTTCTCTCTCCTTGTTTTCCTGTGGAGAGCAAAAATAAAATCAGTCTTATTGTGAGTGCATGTCGGACATCCATACGATGACGACGGACACTCTCCAAAGCTATTTATTTCTTTATTTGAAAGCGCTCTCTCTCTCTCTCATCCCGTCCATTCCTCTCGATTTATATAATACAGCTGACATGAATAGAACCATCTAAAAAATATCTCGAAAACTTGACGTAGCATTCTATATCTGAGACGTTGGACATTCAAGATATAGAAATTCTTCAGACTAGTTAAGAAACATGCCCGAATATGTTAGACCCGTAAATCTGGAAGATGTAGAACACGAATCAGTCTCATATTATTTACTCTACGCACGATGTTCCGACTTTATGATACCTCTATTCCACCTACTATTCCTGTTGGAGAACATGACCTCGGCATCAAACATTTGACGTAGATGGCCTCTTATTCCTTTTCTGACTTTGCAATAACTTGAATGGACTAGTCGACTACTTGCTCCACTTGACCAGCGGGACTTCAGCCTGCAGAAGAGTGTGTGAGAGCTCGAGCTCACAAAGGAAGCAAGGAAAAAGGCTAAGCGTAGCCGGTCCGGCCTCGTTCATCAACGGGCAGACGATACTCCCGTGAGTGGACAGCAGCCCTCCCTCGTGAATAATATCCAAGATTATTACTCCCAAATTCTTCGTTAATGTACTCACGCTGCGTGTACGAGCAAATTGCTGCTTTTCACTTTATAATATTCTTGTAATTGATATTATTTTTGTAAAGCTTGAATGTACAGCAGTGAAGGAGATAGCTTCTTTCCAGATTCATGAGGGTTCGAAGTAGACCCCATCTCCTAGGTCTCTCTCCTTACCCTAAAAACGTCAAAAGCTAGAAAGGTATCATCAGGGCTCGAGCCGGATCTCGGCAACGACTTTGTTCCATCTACGTTGACTTTGGTGATCGTGCCCGAATATATTGGAGCCAATCGATCACTAGAAACTCCACCGATTAACTATTTAAATCATCATTGATTATTTACCTCCTCTGCATGGATTATATATTAAACACTTCGCAATAGCCTTTTAAGGGTCCGCGTTTAATACAATTAACCGGATATTTAATGGCGGTTTCATTTAATGTTCGTTACATGTTGCGGATTTTGATCTTTAAGGTCATATCGTAGGGTTTTTTTTTCCTGTCCAGAGTCAGCCTTATGTTGGAGAGAAAGATGATGGAACGGCGTAGACGGCTGTTTTGTTGACTTTTGGGTCACTGATGTGACTTTCTTATGCATGATCCTTCTCATACCTCTCTTTCCATCAAAATGTACTGTTTGACTTCGGCGTAGGTCGTTTACTTCAATACAAGAGGAATTTGTTCTCTAGCCAGGTAGGTTTGGAGATTCTACTTACCAATTTACGAGAATCTGTATCAATTTTCACAAGCATAATATTCTCTTTGTAAAGATTTTTAATATATATATATGACAATAAATAACACAAATTCAAAATACTTGTATTATACTAGTACGACTTTTAAAATCCCCCCTTTCATCTACAAAGCGTTCATCCTCATTGTGGACGTCATTATGAAACTCCATCCCATCAATGTGGGGTTGGTGAGACCTAGAACAGATTTTATACGACCTTCTATTTGACTTGTTTGAAAGATGTCAACCCAGATGGTTTACCACTATGCGGATGTCCTTTTTTTTCAAAAAAAAATCTACCCACTATCCAAAAAAGATTTGAATTTTCCTAAATAATCTACCCAATATACAGGAGCAAGTGCCATGGCCAAATACCAAGAACAATCATTGGCACAACTTCGTTTGGAGCATCACTATGTATCGAACAATTGAATGTTCTTGGAAGACTGGGTTCTCATTCTCAAAAGGATAATGGAACAAAGATCCCAAACTAAACCTGTCCATTTCGTAATGTCGATTTTTAATGCTCGTAATTTGGGCTGTGAGAACATCGATTCCCGCAAGAAATGTCACCTTTCACCGGAAAATGCTTGCCAGTGCGTAAACCTGGTCTGTGAACAACATGGTTTTCTGTGCGAGGTCAGTGTTCGTGAAACACGAGAGAGAGCGAGAGAGAGAGAGAGAGAGAGAGAGAGAGGGAGGGAGATGCGAGGCATACCGACATGCGTTAGACCTTCGACAGTGCAAATCGATCCAATGGGTACAATGCCGTCAGTGGGATATGACAACCGATGGATCGCTGTCCCTGAGAGGATACGATCGCCCGCCCTCTTTTGCGTTCTCTCGCCAGCGCCGTGTTCCAAGGTGCCCGCGCCTCGAAAGTCAAACCATCTCCTTTAAGATCAATTAAAATAAAACGCGAAGAAAAAGAGCCCGAGCACGTGCGGTTGTTTCCCACATGAACAGTGCTCCCAGATATGGAGAAGATTGTGAAAGACGTCCAAATAAATAAATAAATAAATCTAGACAGAGAAAATAGCCCAAAGAGAGAGAAGGCCCCGAGTGCTATAAATTGACTGGACACTTCCGTAGCATTGCACCACGCGTGTCGCTATTTTACTCAGATTCGAAGACAAAGAAGAAAACCTTAGGGGAGCAATAGCATGATGATCATCCATCTGGTCCCATCCCTTCCGTATTCGTCGGCTCGAATTCAGCTACACTCGGGACGTTTCCGTCCTGTTACAAGTCCTGTTTTCTGGGCTTCTCGTGGATTCGCCATGGCCTGAAGCCCTCGGTCCTATATCCACGCAGAGACTGGTAAATAAGAGGATATATATGCCCCAGAGAGCTGAGGGGGAGGGGGTCTCTCTTGCTGCTTTCTGCGTCGTCTTCTTCCTCTTTTTCGTCTGTTTAAATTATTCCGCTCTGGGTCCTCAAAAGGCTGATTCTCTCTCTCGGAAGATGCCGCCCTTGCATGCCTTCTTGTTCCGACTACTAACATAGGATGTGGGTATAGAAAATTGAAGGGACGGGACGATCGGCCGCTCTGATTCCCAACCTTTCCTCTTCGAGATGGCTCTGCCTTTCTGCCCCTACAAGTAAAGATGCCCTCTCCGCGGCCCCCGTCGGACGGCAGCGTTAGAGCGGGGCCGGCGGGCGGGCCTTCTTCAAAGCTGGCGTGTGGATTCTGATTCTCCACTTCTGCCGCTCCGTGCTGCAGCAACAGAGCCTTCTGCGCCCCCCCTTCCACTGACCCTTTTTCGGCCGAAGGACAGAGGCCCAAGCCCATTTTGTGAAGAATCAATGAGAGATTGCCAATGGAGATGCGATGGTTGGCCATGTTCCTCAACTGGTCGGCGTACTGTACAGGAACTTGGGGCACATCAATATCAGCTTCTTCCGAAATAGCAATATGACAGGGAAAAAGGACAGAAATTGAGCATAAAATACAGGATTCTGAAACAGTGAGGCGTGATCAATGGCGCCGGAAGGCGTTGCCCTCGTGGGCGGCGGCGCCGCCCTGAAGATAGTAGGTCCGGCGGCGGACGCTCTCTTCGATGGTGGCGCTGCCCCCTTTCTCGGTCCCGAACATGCTCTTCCGGGTGGCGTCCAGGAAGTTCTTGCCGCCGGTGTTTCCCTCCTGAGCAGCCTCTTTAGCGTCGGTCTCCGAGGCCTTCTTTATCCGCTTCCATCGCTGCTCCTCGTGGAGCTCGGCGTCCATCTGCATCTCCCTCAGCCTCGCCACCCGCTCTTCCTCCGTCAATCTTGGGGCCCTCCGAGGGGGGGGAGGAGGAAGACTCTGCCTGGATCCATGCCTCCCGGTGGAGCTCTGGTTGGTCTCCCTTGGTCGGCTCCGCCGCCCACCGTCGCCGTCAAGATCACGTTCAGGTGACTTGTGCGGCCGTTCTCCGCCGCCGACGCCGCTGCCGTCGGGGCAGGCACGGCGGCGCTCGGATGACGGGTGGGCTCTCTCTTGTTCATCGTGGCGGCGGGTGGCATGGCGATGGTCGGAGACCACCACCGCCGCCGCCCTGTCTCTCCTCCGGTCATCTTCTCGATCTGTCCCTGAACGACGATGCTTGGATCTTGATCTGTCACCGTTTCTCTCATCGTTGGATCTGCCAGAGTCCTCCGAGTCGCTGGATTCGGCCGAATGTTTGCCGTGCTTCGATTTGCCGTGGTGATGCCTCTTGTGTTCTTTCTTCTTCTTCGTCTTCTTCTCTTTCTTGTCGCCCTTCTCCTTTTGCTTTTTCTCAGCCTCCACCTGGAATAAAGAAGCTAAGTTTTTCTGATGTTTCCACAGACAATTCATAAACAGGGGCGTGGGTAAGGGGGAGGGGCACTTACAGACTTCTTAATCATGGCCATCTGGACGGGATTGTTCTTGATGCGTGCAATTGCCTCCTGTTCCCGCTGCCTGATGAGGAGTAATGGGTCAGAATGCAGTTTTCGCCATGCATCATTTGCGGATTGAGGTTTGCTCTCCTCGAATAGAGCTCCAGGGGTTGCTGCCTGAACATAAACGAAATGAATCGCACATTAGCGTCGAGATCGCTGAAGCAAGCTGTAATATGCTAAAAAATCTGCATATATAATGTGGTTGCAAGATTGTTCGTGTAAGGTACTGGCACGAATACGTTTGAAAGTATTAACAAGAAACAGGGCTACACTTTCATGGGATGATGTTTATCAGAAAAAGTTACCTAATATGTGGCCAATAATGTCATAGTAAAAAGCTGGGTCTCAACTTAATTGTAGTTCAGCACGTAGTATACCATTAAAAATAAAAAGTAAATGTTCTTCCTTTTTCAATTTGAAGAAATTGATGAGGAAAGGATCTCATCGGAAAGGAAGAAGCTAGATGACTGATTGGGCATTGAGTGTTATTAGGGATTAACAAACTCAGATGATCCAAAATGACAGTAGGCATAATCCTATGAACAGTTTTGGAAGTAAAGGTCAAAACTGAAATCTGCAAGGAGGAAAGAAAAGCACGGGATAGAGAACTTGAGAAAAATGTATGGCATCATCAGCGGAGGAAGGGCAAGATAAGCTGAATACAAATCTGAAACTGGTATAACACCAGCCCATTCTTGTTGGTCTAACTGAATCAACAGGCAAATGATACAGCAGACTAATATGGCAACCTTTTGAGGGAGGGAGGGAGGGGGAAATTTGTGGAGTAGGAGAATTGGGTAGGCTTGGCAGATCCCAAGAACTCGAAAGGGATGATTCCTTGAGGGGTTGATCAGCAACAGGTCCTGATTCGAGACATTCCATGATTATGCTAGAGTAGGAAAAAAAAGAGCCAAGAATTAAGGTGGATCAAAGATGAAAGTATAACGCCTATGAACGCCGACCATACACAACCCGGAACAGTGATGCAGAAAACAAGAGCAAAGCCCCCTTCCTCAGAGCACAATACAACGGCATTCCAAAACTACACGAGATACTCCCATCCCCTCTTCTTTCTCAGATAAGTGAAAGATCATACATGATGATCAACCGCGTTAAACCTATGGCCACACTTCTCATCACTCAGTGATTAGCCTGGGGGAATAAGACTGATCATACACTAAGCACAAATCAATTTCCCCTTTTTTGTATCGTGGGGAGGGGGGAAGGAAGGGCTTCAGTCAGAGTGAGTAGAGTCATCATGATTTCAAATTTGCTAAGGATAGAATAGGGTAAGGGAAAAAAAAATAACATTGTTTATGACACAGCGAAAGCTATAATGCAAGCCTAAAAAAAGAAAAACTATCTTAAAAGTTAAACGTCTGAACAGATTTACCAATAAGTAAAAAGAGAACCTCAAAAGAAGTAAGCCCAGAATATTTCTGCTGCACCTAATCCATACATGTGCCTATTTCTTCAACGACTGTTTGGAAATGAAACAGAAAAAAAAGAAAACAAAGGAAATAAAGGTGTGAGTGATCCGGAAATGGAATCCTAGGAAGACGCATACGTCTAACGGTCAAAGATAGGCAAAAAAACTTTGGGCGTCGGGACACTAATGGGCCAAGTTTAACCGAGGTAGATTTCGGTACACTCAGGGTGAAAAAAATCCTTGGTCTAAACCTATAAAAATGAGTCCTAGATCAAAATTGCTTCACTCATTCCCTGCCTTGAGATGGACCAGGTCAGGTAAATTTTTTCGATAATATGTTGGAGTGCAACAAAGTAGATAGAGTCATGATATTTCGCATTCTTCTGAATCCATCAAGAAACAATAGATTTCGAACTATTATGATAGTCAGAATCCATCCTGATATAAGGTCAATTACACCAAAAAAAGAAAATCAAATTCCAGAAAGACAGACTACAGTCAATTAACTACTACAGTTTTTTGTGTTGGTACTAAAGGGAAAAAAGTTTCTTCAGATGGTTTCATAGTCAAACAAACATTATTAAACTTTAATCTAATTATGAGATAGGATACCAAGAGGCCTTTTCCCCCTTCATTATTAACGATACTTGTTTACTGCTTAACTCTGTGTCAACCAAAGAAAATTCTGTTGCCTGCAAGTAGCAGAGGAAAAAAATAGATGCCCTACTCACACAATCAACAAATTTTGTGACAACAACAATAAGTCCAATCATTCTTACGAAAATTATAGTGGCTTGATAATTGATGTGCTTTATTTCCAGAAACCTGCCAGGAGTGCACTTGAAAAGAAAACCCCCCATACTTTCTTTGACACTAAGATGGGATTTGACTAAATCATGCAGCATCACTGATCACTGATACTTGAAGGGCTCATTGGATGAATCATCAACTAGAAAGGATTAATCCCCTCCCAAATAGGTGAAAATCATCTTCATAAGAGGGTAGGGTGGATTTTCAATAGAGTTGATTTTAAAATGATAAATGTCGGCTGCTACCTTCCAATAGAGAAAAAAGAAGACCAAAAAGTATAGAAACATTAAAAAAGGTTTCAGCGAATGGAAGGTGGAAAATCGACACCTCATACTCTGTCCTCAATGTCGGGTTTCGGGAAATACGCGATTGCCACACCAAAGAGGGAAATAATAATAACATAAAAAATAATAATCTAAAAAGTGTTCCACGGTTGGGAAAGGGGTGACTCAAAATACCAAGATGCAACCATCAAGCATGAGTCACAATCGCCCAGAAATACCAAGACAACTGGATATGAGCGAGATGAATACGGAAAAGACAACAGGAAGCATCACTGACAGCTGAGTCAAATGGGAATACCTTGGAAGTACTGGGTTCCGCAGTAGCGGCGGAGGACGCCTCGGCTTTAGCAGGAGCCTGGAGTGTCTTGAACCCTTCGGAACTGCCTTTCCCCACAGCCAAGCCCGACTCATAGAGAAATTCCAATCTCTCTTGCCGCCTGAGGAACAAGGAAAGACAGTTACGAAGACTCGGAGAAAGACGTACCAAAACTTCTCAAACCCTAGAAATCTAAATAGCGCGAGAAAGTGGGCAGGGTAGTCAGTATAAATACGTACGGAGCGAGGCCAGCGCGCTCCTGGAGGAGGCGGAATTCGGCTCGCTCTCGCTCTTCCTGGATCTGCTTTCGGAGCTCCTCGAGTTTCCGCTGCTCGGCCTCGTGCTTCTGCTCCGCTTTCCACACGTTCTCGATGTTCCTCAAACTTCCCGTGTGCCATCCCTTCTTGTTCAGGAACTTGAGCGCCATCTTCTACAGTTCACGCCACCCCAAAGAGGTCCCGAAAGAGCCTCTGCTCTCCTCGCCGGGGAAGAGAATGGGAGAGTCGAAGCACAACGGGGAAGAAATGGACTTCTCGTCGCACGGAGAAGCGACACCCGGAATTTGGGGACGAGCGTCGTCGACGAGAACTCTTTTTATATAGGAGCAGTAGATGGGTCGGATCAGGATTAATGGATCATTTTCCGGTCCTTTGATTATGTTTACTTGGACTAGTAAAAATATCGGCCCATTAGGCTTACAGGCTTGCTTTGATAGTTCTTGGGCCGCAAATGGGCAGTTTCCTCAAATTTCTACCCTAATGCTAAGAAGAGTCTTTGACCAGGTATACTGTTAAGTTAATCTCCACCTTAAATCATTGAATCTCATTTTCTTGATTGCTGACTCATCAGTAGACGAGACTATTGCTGCATTACGAAGGGACAAAATTTCATGTCCTTAGGCTAATAATATTCACATGCCCAGATCAAGCAAATCATTAGGACCCTAATATAAAAGTGATACATTATAATAAATGACAAATTATATAAAATTTTGTTTTATTTTTTGAAAATATTATACACTTTAGATGGATTGTGATTGACAAGATATAAGTATAGCTAACTAATGTTCCAAGAAGAGGCATGTCACCACAAACTCTAAAGAATAGGATTATAGGAGTAGAACACCATCATCATCAGACACATAGTGGTGTGTGTAGGCATGATTTGACTTGCACTTAGTGTGCAAAAGGAAAGGGGTGGCATGCACAAAGTGGCAAAGGCTTGTGAGTGGGCATGTGTGATTTGGACATATATAACAATATTGAGTCAAAGTGAGGTTCAAGAGATGTATACTTGACATTGACATGACATGACATGACATGACATATTGATATGACATGATGGATTTGGAGTGCATGAAGCTTGGATGGATGTGCAATTCCATTAGACTTTTATACTAGGATGGAGGGAGGTTAAGAGAAGTCTCATGAACTTTGAAGGCTATGGGAGTCATGTAACATAATATTGGCATCGTGTTAGTATGGTGTGACTTAGTTTGGTATGAGTAAGACTATAAAAACATGAGATTATGAAAAAAGTTAACATAGATCTATCGTAGATATTGAGATTCTACTTTTTGATTAAGATATTGGTACTCATAGTGTGTTGTTTCATTGTTAGCAAGCAACATGTATTAAACAACCTTAATTATTAATACTTCATGAGGTAAAACTAGACCAAGCCAAAATGGCCAACTTGTTAAACAACTTGAATTAAAAGTCTTGGGGTTATGAGGATGGAAATAAGATTCTTGACATAGTAAAAGGAGATGAAAATTGCTTTGGGTGTTAAGTTGAGAAACAAAACATCATGAAAGCTTATGAATAACTTAGGGTTATTGAAGAAGCTTTCTTTATCTTTCTTTGAGTTTTTCTTCCTTGATGGTTGTTCAATCTAGTTTCTACTTAGTTGCTTTGCTGTTATCTGGGTTAGTGTCATTGATATCGAAACCACAACATGGGATCTACAACCTTGAAGCTTAGTGACAACTATTTAGACCACTTAGAAGAAAAGATGAGGAATCAAAAAGAAGATGTAACAAACATGTTATATAAGATTTCACATCATTTTGATAAAATAGAAGAACATACAAAAAAAATAGAACAATGGGGGTCTCAAAATGAGATAATCAAAGAGAGATATGATATGATATCTCATGATTGTTTGGAGTCTTAGAATTGAGAACATTTGAGTCGTTATCCAAGGGTAGTAGAGGTGCTCATAGTACCTTGCTCGTTAAGTGAGTTGTTTGGTATCTCACTCACTAAATGAGTGAAATATATCTTTTATAGGGGTGATAGGACTTACAATTACATATGCTTTGATGCTTTGGAGCTAAGTCATCATATAATATATACTAACAATTCCTAAACCTAAAGTAAGAAGGGATAGTAGTACCAATAAAATTTTAAACTCTTATTGATGTTTTTAAAGTTAATTCCTAATGAGATTATGGGAAATAACTATATCAAAAGTTGGAAGAAGTAAATTCAATTTAAGTTGAGCATAAGCAAGTTCAATAGACTATGAAAAAAGATAAATTTCTCCCAATTAGCTGAAGAGATATTTCATAATCTATGAATAACTTATAATCCAAACCATTATAGGAGTGAACATTTACAACCCACCCATATACTCCCAAACTCCAAATGAGGCAAGAAAGGTGATAGACTTATTTAATGATACTTTTTAACACATACAACCATGTTAGAATCAAAAGGTTAACATTCATAATGGCTAATTTACATTAAGGATGGAGACAAAGACTATTCATCATTGAGGTTGAATTATATGTAAATAGTCAGAAAAGTCTATGTTGTCACTACAATAACAAATTTGTCTCAAGACATCATTACAATAAATTATTTTAAATCCTACTTGTACACAAAGAAAATCATGATCTTGTTGAGTACATTGAAGATAATTGATGACATCTATAGGAAATAAGATATAGTCTCACTAAGTGAATAAGTTAAGAACTTTTGAGGATGATAGATGTATCACTTAATTTTTTGGTGGGATTGTCAAAATCAAGTACCATGAAACTACTAGACTTTATTCAAGGGCACAATCACAAATTTAATTGATTGTGGAACTACTTATAATTTTGTTTGTGATGAGTGGTTGACAAATTGAATTTAAATGTATCATAGACAACCAACTATGAATTAGGCAATGAGAAAATAGTGAAGGGTTGACAAGTGTTTAAGAAGTTGTGACTCTTGATCCAAGAATTATTTAAAATATAATATTTCTAACTATTAGAGTTAGGTAGCACAAATATCATCTTAGGGATGATGTGGTTAAAAATGATGAGGGTGATTCAAACCTATTATAGATTTCTTGTTATTAAATTCTCATTAAACAGAGTAGTCAAGACATTGAAGGGAGATCTTCATTTGAGCAAATCAATGATATTTTTAAAAGTAATTATTAGGGAGTTACGAAGTTGTTGAATATTTTTGGTGGAGCTACACTAATTGAAGATAAAGAAAGAGGTTATCAAAGTCAAGGGAATCTACTCAAGTTGGGAGAAACAACTCATAGAAAAATTCTTGGATCTCCTTATATATATTCTCATATCTAAAAGACGAGATCTAAGATCTTGTGTAAGAGATGTGTCAGGCCAAGATCATTCAAGTTTCTAGAAGTTTATTTTCAAGTTCAACATTCTAGGTAAAATAAAAAGACAAAGGATGATGTTTATGTATAAATTATAAAGCCTTGAATAAGACTACGATCCTTAACACGCTCCTTATCTGAGTGGTAGAAGAATGATTAGATGAGTTGTATGAAATAATTATTTTTATTAAAATTATACCTTAAATCATAATTCAACTAAATTCAAAAGAAGAAAGAGAACATCTGCACCATGTTTTTTTGAACTCACTAAGGCCATTATGAATTCATGATAATGTCATTTGGCCTCATGAATGCACCTACCACAGTCTAGTCATTGATGAATGAGATATAATGTGATCTTTAATTTGTAAATTTGTTTTGATCTTTTTTAATAATATACCAATCTATAACAAGGACAAATAACAATACTAAATTAGTCCTTGCAGCACATAGTCATAGTTTTCTTGAAGAATACTCCATATCAATAAAGAAATATACTTGTGGAACAACAATTGAAATATCTTGAGTGGTGGATTTTGACAATTTGTGTGACAACAAACCAAGGAAAAATTAAACCATGTTAAAATGAGCCGTCACCACTAACTTATGAGAATTACAAGGAATTTTGGGTTAGATACACTATTATCATAGATTTGTGGTAGGCTATGTCATATTAATTAAATTATTGATAGAACAAATTAAAGAGATGATTTTAGCTAAAACAAGTCAACACAAAAGGCATCTGAACAATTCAAGGAGGCAATGACTTCTACACTTATTTTGTTCCCACTTAATTTCTCTATTCTTCTTGTTTTTGAGATAGATGCTTTTAACTAAAGGTTAAGAGCAGTTTAGATGAAGGGAGGGCAACTGATAACTTATTTCAATTTGATGTTTTCAGAGAAGAACTAATTGAAATCTGTTTATGAATATGAGCTCGTAACCATCGTGTTCTCGATGCTCAAATGGGGACACTATCTCTTGGACGATAAAATTTTCATTTGTATAGACTAACATGACCTTTAGTTGCTCTTGGAGCAATGTAAGGTACCTCTCCAATACAAAAAGTGGGTTTTGAAAGTAATGGGTTGTGATTTTGAGATCATGTATAAAGAAGACTGCAAAATAAAAGGGCAAACACTCTATTTATATAACTTAACCTGACTCAATGGTTGAGGACGAACTTGTCATGACCCCCACATTTTAATGTTTCCCAAGTATCAAACGAAATACAAATGAACTCTATATTAGGCCCCAAATGTCATGTGCTGCTTCAAGGAGAGAACATTAGCTCACAGTACTTCATTCACCGTGAAATTCTCTTCTATAAAAGGTGCTTAGTGGTTCTCTTTCAATCTCCTATATTAGAGAGAGAGAGAGAGAGGGAGAGAGAGAGAGAGAGAGAGAGAGAGAGAGAGAGAGAGAGAGAGAGAGGTGCACCTAGCAATAGACACTAGGAATGGACTCTCCCCACGTCTGTCCCTCCCGTTCAAAATATTAACACCTAAGTCCGTTCAAGTATTGACTACAACGCTCAAAAAATGATGCCAAAATATTCACCGAAGATATATAAGTTTGTGAAGAAGACCAGAACCACAATTTCCTCTGGTTTGATAAGATGATATTTAAAGCATGTCCAGATAACCATATCTCCTGGGCCATTGTTTCTAAGCCCTGCCCTGCCCTGCCCATGTCTTCTATAAGGTGTGGGCTTGAAACATTCACAATTATGGAGTTTGTGAGAGAATCGGATATATTCTGGAGCATATTATACAACTAAAATGGGAGTGGGAATCAGATATATCGCTTGAGATGTCAACTCAGCCTGAGGGTTGTGATTCTAAGTCCTTTATGATAACATGACACACATCAGGACCTGCTGTATGGTTTCTAAACAAGACACATGACACATTGATCTGGCAGCACAAGCCGGACCAGAATAATTCTGAGTAATAATCCTCTGTGACACCAGACAGAAGAAAGAAACAATAAAAACTTTGTTCGCCAAGTGAGATAAATATCAATAAATGTATCACGCCTAATGTGTTCTTTAGGTAGATGCGTCGGTTGCATTCCGGTCGGATGACAACTTTTCGTGAAGTCTAATCAGACTGATATGAGATCTAACCCTTGGAAGATAAGGTTAGAAGCTAAGAAATATAAAATTGAGGAGAGAGAAATGTGAGGTGAGAAACATTGTAGATGTAATGGGTAGGCGAGGACAGCAATCAATGAGCTGGGAAGCTAACAGACGGCGAACAGGAGATAGTATGTGAGCAGTAGACAAGTTGTGACTGTGAACAGAGAGATGATGGTATAATGAATAACATATGCAACTACAGGAAACTAAATAGGTTACAAACGTTCCAAACTTTCTGCCAACTAAGTCAAATGATAACTTCCATAACCGTTTTATATTATCAAAACTGCTGTTGAAGTTTAAGTCTCCATCACCGAGAGAGAGGAACAAAAATGTTTGTTATTGATAAAAATCATTCAATGCCCGGATAAATGAACAATAGGCAGATAGTTGCATCCAGGGATCTCATCTAAACTTCCTCACCAGCAGTTTGGCTTGCACCTGCCTCCATCAAGCCCTCAGCCATTGCCCGCTGCCTGTTCTGTGCTTGCCTTTCAACAGCGACCATATAGAGGCCTATGCAAGATTGGACAGATGGTAAAGAGATAAAATGTGGCAGGTATTGTGTTCTCCACTGAACACGGTGCCTGCATCTATACTAAAAATCTATACTAAATAAAGAGGGAAAACAAGTCTAGGCAATTACTCATTGCACTTCCAATCGCACATAACCACAATATTCTTTGAGACCATTTATCTCCAATAATTCCTCTGGTTCCCATGCTCTAGGTACTGCAGAGTTTAGAAAAGAATGTATTAAAACGGATCTAAATATTTTGATAAAACACAAGCGTACAGCAAGGGTGGTTCATATCCACAAGAAATATTTGACCAGTGAAATAAACATGATCCAAGAATGAAATTTTAAGTTGATTGATGAGGTTTGACAGTGAGTATCAACTTATGGACTCATTCAAAAAGAATATTTTTTTTGAAGAATCCTTCTAAAAATGAAGGATAAATTTTTAACAATTTTTTTGAGTTCCGGTTAACCTTGGGGGAGAGGTGGGGAGGAGGCAAAAGAAAAAGTGAAGAGGAACATTAAGAAGCTATGAAATTTCTTAACGAATTCCTTTCCAATTTTTTTCTTCGCTCCTCACTTTGATTTTATTTTCCATGCTACTTTTCAGGTGATACAAGACTGTCTGCTCATTTTTTTTTAAGACATTGTCGAAACAAGATGTTCTAGAGCACCTCATTGTGCGTGCTGCCTCAACAAGCAGCCTGATAAATTGGTTGCCTGTGCTCGTTCGGCCCTTTCTTCTCCTCACCTAGAAGGTGAAATGTTTGCCCAAGCCAGGCACCTTAAGGGATGGGTCTGATGCATTTTCTTTGTGAAATAAATGTGCATTATTCACTAAGATAGGAACTAAAACATATACCCTAGAATTTCATCTGAATCACACTGAAGTGAGCCTTTTTCCACCCATGTAGCAAGGCAGCGGACCATTGTCTGGCTACCTTAACAAAGCATGGGTTGGCTCACCATTACTTGGCTTATTTTTCGATCACAATCCACTTCAGATTTTTCTCAGCCACGGTCAATCCATGGAACCTAAAAAATTTAAATCCTTAAAGGGGAGTCGGAAAAATATGAAAATAAGTAAGTGTTCCACACTCATAATTTCTTTTTAGCTGATGTATCCAGAATATTAACCCACGTGACATAGTTTCCTTCACTATCCTCAATCACCATACACATCTTTCAGTTTCATGGCCGCTCACAATTACCTTAGAGTAGACGGAGTTTCTCTCGTGAATGACACAGCAATGCCAGAGTTTTTGTCACAGTAGTAAGCACAAAAATGAAAACGATAGGAACGAAGAATTGGACGACAAATCAGATATGAAAGACAACGAGAAACAGAACATTGTTCCTGTACTAACCCCAGAAAAACGAGAACAGCTCTGGTCTCAACCATGGGAGATTCGTCAACCAGGGCCCACAAACAAACAAGAAGTCCAAAACAAGCTAGTTAAAGGCAGATCAGAGACCTTCTTACTTAAGTACGGCTTTTAACCACACACAAAGGAGGGCCTGTATGAGTGGCGTCTCCTTACGGGATCAAATGGAGCATACCAATCGTACTAAGATTTCTCAGATTGCCACCAAAACAGTCACCAGAGAGAATAATCAATCGACCGGAGGAGAGGAATAGATGCACCAACCGGCGGCAAGGTGGTATCGGTCGGGACGGGGTAGAAAGTGCAGCAGCTCTCCGAGGTCCACACCGCCGTATCCCGTCGGGGGGGAGGAACCTCCGAGAAAAAGAATCGGGAGGGGGAGATAGGAGATGGATCCGATTACTCGCCGGCGCCGTTCAGAAGCTCAATTCCTTCATCCATGGGCATAGAATTTATATATAGTCCGGCCATTAGACCACGTGGAGCCTTTTTAATCTGCCACGATCCATAGGCGAAGGACGCAACCCGGCGATCCGAGAAGTGGACTCGGCGACTCGGAACGAGTTCGTCGACACGACTCGTCCGGGTCGCCGGGTTTATTGAACCCTGTGATACAATTTCCCTCCCATCAACTCTGGAGCTCCCTCCCATTCGAGAAGGCGCCGGCGGAGCTGCAGGTGGCTGCTACAGAATGGGGAAGGAGAAGGCGGGGGCGACCGCCGCCTGGAGGATCATACCGAGGCCGCTGCTTGAGTCCATCCTCAACAACCACGCTCAGCACCACCGCGTCCATCAGCCTCTCTTCCTCCACGGCCCCCGCGGGGTTGGCAAGACTTCCCTCATCCTTCACCGTCCGTCGCTCCCCCTCCCTCTCTCTATCTAATGTTCGTTATCTGCTTCCTTCATCTCTCAATCTCTTGCTCAAAGCTGTTCTTTCTCCAGGTCTTCTGGATGATTGGAACAAAGGTCCTCATGTCACCGGTTACGTCGACTTCGGCCTCGCTGACGGCCGCGATGGGCACCCGTCCAAACCCTGGGCGTCGTGGTCTACTGCGTGCCAGCCTTGCGGCCTGAGCTCGCTCCGCGCCCATCTGGAACGGACATTGGAGTCTATGGTGGAGCGAGGAGTGCGCCTCGGCACTATCGGCGGTCGGGACATATTTACTACGCTCTATAAGTGGCACGGTCTTCACTCTGCACTTCGCCGGGCAATTGGTCAACGCGGTGGGGAACGTAAGGATGAGAAACTCCCCATCTCAGTGCTCTGGTCTAGGGCCGTACTTGCGTTTTCATCTAAGATCGATAACAAGGACATCGAGGCCTCTCTGGGGGAGTCGTTGCTATCTAATTCTAGTAATACGGTGGAGGAATTGTCTTATATTCGGGAGGCGGTTGTATCACTGAGACTGGCGAAGGAGGTCATCGATATCCACCAGTTATGGCGGAGAGAGGCAGTACGCCACTTGAATCGCACAGGAAGGTTCTCAAGGTCGCTAGCCAACTCAGCCACTGACTGGCCCTGCCTCCTGCTCGAGCTGCTTTCCAATGCCGCTGAGATCGACTATTTTCAGGTGTGTAAAGCTAAATTTTAACCACTTTTGTGAAGTTCTTTTTTTTAATTTCAGGTATGGTAATTTTCTCTCATTTTCACTAACTATCACTAGGAACTATAATATTCTTAATATCATCACAACAGGAGAAAGTTTTGCTATTTTGCTGAAGCAGTGATATTTGGAATTGAAAAGCATGCTCCTGTCGATTGTTCTGTTTGACCTAGCTATCTTTGAGGTTATCCTCTAATCAAGCCGTTTCGTGAAAAAAATGGTTAGGATGAAATACATACAAGAGGTTACATCCCAGGGTTAACATAGGTCTATATCCGCAAGGAACGTGTGGCCTTTGTTGAACTGGTTGGTGGAAAGGATTATCACACTGTGTGTGTGTGTGTTTTAATTATCTCTCGTTTAATTAACGGTTTGCAGTATTGACTACTTAATGAAATTGGATTCCTCTAAAAATGATTTCTTTAAAGATGTCTCTAAGTAAAAGCAATTATCAGCTTGGCTTCGTTTCACATTTAAAGATATTGTTGGGATGTGAAATGGAATTTCCTTATGCATAGAATCTTCTTGTTGCAGCCAAAATTGGTTATAAACAACATTGAAGTATTGCGTAAGGCAGTTGCAGAGGATGATTCAACAGTTTCTGCAGCCGTGTACCATGACAATTTTCTATGGAGATTAGTAGCATTGGGCATCAATGAGAGGTCTCTGCCCATCATACTTGTAACTTCAGATAGGTAAGTTTCTAGTTTTCCTTCCTACTATTTATGTCACAGTTAACTTGGTTGCTCGTCTTAGGAAAAGGTAGAAGCCTCCCGGGCTGAAACATTCGTATTTGGGCTTTTTTAGAAGTGTACAGAGCACCGCTTTTTCTTGTCTAAAATAATACTTGATATCTATTTCTGCCTATTTTCACGTTTAGAAGATTGTGCGAAGTCCCAAAAATGTTCAATTTCCAAAATGTGCCATCTACCACTCAGGGGCTGGTCTGTTCATTCCAGTTGTCTATTTATGTAAGCTTATCTACAGATAATTAGGGAAGATCATGACTTCTAGGAAATTTCTATTTTCCGTCCTCGCTGTAGCTTTGTGTTCCTTTTTTATTTGCTTTATGGTAGAACAATGAAAAAAGCACAGATTTTTTTTGTCCCACTTGATTATTTGCATATGATTTCTCACATATACTATGGTGTACTGCAAATGTTTGTCTGGGACATGAATCACACACTGATGTTTGTAAAGGTAAATGCATACAATTGCCTCAGGATAAAGATGAATAGTTAGTTATCATTTATCACTTCATTTTAAAAGGTTAGGTGGATGATCTTATCATTTTCTCTCAATTTGATATTTGATTGTATCTTTCTTTCGTCTCCTTTTTATTTTTGTTTAGAGGTTGATATGGTTTCGATTATACATGTCCTTCTACCATCTTTGTTTGTAAATCTGATTCTTGTTCAATTGTCTTCAGTTATTATTCCTATCAAGCCTATGTTGATTTTGGTTTTCCAGACATATTCATATCCCGTGAGGTAACCGACCCACTTTATGCACATTTTCTGGTTTGTTTCTTTTGTTAGTTATTTGAATCATAATTATTGCTGAATAATATTTTTCATCTAGCTTATTTTCAAAAAGTTTTATCTATATCATTAATTTAGTTTGCTCGATGCCCAAGTATTTGTAGACATTTGGCTGGACTCTTCAAGAAGCTAAACTTCATGTGGTTCCTCAGTTTTTTAGTCAGTCTGAGGTTGGTATTTTTCTTCTGCGTTAGGGGAATTTTCTTTGTTTCTTAGGGTTTTCTTGATTATGAGTTGACAAATTTTCAAGTTATTATAGGCTCATGAATTGATTTTTCCTCATTGTGCAGTGGAAAGTGATTGATGAGGTTCTTGGCCCAAATCCACGACATCTTTCTGACTTGCATGCACTTAAGCAGCGCAGTTGTTGCCAGGAGTAAGTATAGTATCTAGACTCAGTTTCTTGTATCTGTTAATACATTCAGTTTGGTTATCTGTACATGGGCATACAATTTATCTTTCAAGTGCTGTCCTGCCCCGATGTTCAAGATGTTCTGCCCACTTTGGTGAGCATTCTAGTTAGGTGCTTGCATGTATCGCTTAGGCAGCTTTGACCTTTCTTTCGTGCTTACCCTGGTGGGCCACGGCCTGCCTTTTCTGGTTCTTTGCATCGTTATGCCATTTGCTGCCTTTTGAAATTGCTTGCATGTGAATAGCCAAGAATGGACAGCTCTTTCTTCCTTGTCAAATATTTGATGATCACTTTACTCGTTTGATCATTTTATCTATTCAAAACTAGGCTTCTCGTAAGACCTTGCGTTGCTGTATAAAGAGTCGTGCAATGGATTTTTGCCTTAGTTGCCTGGAATTATGGATACGAGAATTAGCCTCGTTTGAGTGGTTGCTTGGTTCGCTTCCATATTGACTATATGATGGCAGTAAAATAGTGGGCAATTAGTCAGCCTCGTTTCCATTGTCAACTAGTTCTGTTTATCTTTTCTTGTTTGTATTCGTCATTTGCAAAGGATCTCACCGACTAATGGACTTAAAGAAAGCCATTTGCTTACTTACTGAACGGGCACATGGCTGAATCAGAGTCCAAGATTGTTCTTTAGAACTTGCCGAAACCAGCTGGAAGCAGACCATAACTGATCTGAAACTGTCTAGCTCCTCAGCTTCTGTATGTGTTGTGTTGTACACTAGTAAGCACGAGTGGCGATTTTTTATGGGCGTAATTGGATCTTGTACAAATTTTGGATTACGAAATTGTGTTACAATGAGTCGCTAATTTGGTTTTTCCAGAATTTTTGCATGCAGATCGTGGTTGAAATGATCCAGACTATCTTCCGTGCAAACCAGTTATTCAGTTCTTCAAAATCCAGAGATTCATGTCTGTTAAAGAGCCTTGGAATCCAACTCTAATAAGGCACATATCTCCCATAATGATGGGATGATAGAAAACTTACTAGCATGTGTGAAAAGCACAAAACATAACGATATTGGTACTTCTAGAATGAGATGTAATACAAAGATCCCAATGTGATCTTATAATTTCTATCTTATGGTGAATATTTCTTGTAGTTATACTGTAGGTACGGTTACAGTTAGTGCCAATATACGTTTTCATTGCTAGAAACTTACTAGAGCAGCCCATGGATCGGTGTCTCTACTTCAATCGTCATGATACTTCAAAACTCAATGGTTGTTGAACCATGAATTTTGAACCTTCGAAGGCAGAAATCTCAGCTCTAGCTTCTTTACCAGCTGATCGTTCCTTTTCTTGCTGGGAATTTGTTATTTTAGATCTTCATATTTCCACTTTCCAAAGCCTTTCTTTCAGGAGTTATCTTATTGTAAAGTTCCATTATTTTGTGGAGTTCCTGACATCAGTCAGGGAAATGAGGAGAACTTGTCAGATCTTTTGGAGCCTTTTTGAATTTCTATGCTTGATTGATGGGTTAAAGCTTATGATAATGATCGTGCACGTATTACTTAAACCAAGGAATTAACTGTAGATATTGGATATCATGTGTATTTATTTTCCCTTGGTTTTTCCCTTCTTTGTGCCATTTTCAGCGCAGACCATTTGTATTATCAGAATGCATCAATGGTTGATGATAGAAACCAGTTCTTAATTAAAATTTACAATAATAATGATTGTTTGCTATGAAAGGAAAATTGAGTCCGGAAGATTACTTTATAGACTTAAATTTGATAGATATCAATAGCTAAAATGGACCTAATTATGAGATGTGAGAGAAAATCGGTGTGCTATTTATGAGATGTCATTTATACCATGATTGTCAGTCATTACTGGGCTTTAAATGTGTCACTTATGCTTGTCTTTTCTGTTTATGGCCAGGCTCACGGATGATGGCTGGAACAACTTTGAGGATATTGTAGATGCATACTTGGCATATTTACAAGTAGGTCATATCCCTTAAGAACTTAATATTCATTATCTTTTTGAAGTCATCCTTAAATGTAGGAGGATCGTACCTTGATGCTTCTCACACTGGTTGATCCTTCACTATTTCATCTTGCCAGTGCAGTTAGATTTTTTTTTTCCTCCGAATGCATGGATACGTTGTGAGAACCAGATGTGGCTATCAAATTCGCTGAAAAAGTGTCTTAAACGCCGCATAAAAAAGAATGGAGAAACAGAAGGACAGTATAAGGACGTCAGGCTGTCGTCTGGTGTCATGTAATACTTATGAAAGTGTCTAGGCTCTCCATTGTTTTACCTTCATCGGTTTTCTTAGCTGGGTTTTACAGATTTCCATTTTCAGGCATTATGTCTCGTTTAAATATCTTTCTGTGACGACTGGGGAAAATTTTATGCTGTGTTATCCAAATGAAGATTTCAATTACATTGTTTTAGCCAATATAAAAGTAAAAATAGTCTTTCAATGTTTTCTTTTAGTGGAATTCCAATATCTTAAATGCACTCATGATAAATATGCAAGTGAGTGATTCTAAGAGAAAAACGGTAGTCTGTATGTTTAATTTCGTATTAATGAAAAAAAGGAACATTTTCTTTGGTTCCCTTCTTACAATGACCCAACCTTGTCAAGCCCACACTCCACTGCTTGCAGTCTATCGTCACCTGTTGCCATTCACTGCCTCTCCAGCACTTCTTAATATCCTTGCCATTTATACATCCTCCCATCAATGCTAGTATCAATCAGTTGCTATCTCCACAACTGCTACTGTCTGTCATCACCCCACAAACTCAACTTTTAATTGTTATTTCGCTCAAGAAGGGTTCCAAAAGATGTTGATTGTAAATAAGAGGATGATTTACGGAGAAAAACAAATATGAATTCGCTTCTACTGCATAAGAATTATATAGGAACCTATATAGTCTTGGATTATCTTTTGAAAAACCATAACTAGATTTCTTTGGAGTAATGCAAGAGAATATGGGATTAAGCCCTCAGTGCTATCAAACTCTCCCCTTGAGTCAAGCATTAACATGCTCTTTCTTGAAAGAAGAGTTGGTTTATTGAATTTTTGGATTTGGCTTGTCTTGTAATTCCTTTGAGGGACATCCACAACTTGTGCATATCCGACCGAATGGAGGTCGAATTTACTGTAGTTTTGGACTAATTTAGAGAATTTATGATTTTTTTATGAAATAGAAAGGTGGGCGATATGGCCTAAAGTATGTTATTAGTCCGATCAAAAGAAGGAAAATACGTATTAGTCTCTTGGCTCTCATACTGAAAGGTTAACAGAGTTGATGTGGGGGAATTCAAATGTTTTTCACTTAGCTTTAACTGGTGTGGGGCGAAAATACTGAAGTTGGTGAAACAGGACTCTCTGCCTTTTTAAATGAGCGTTACAGAAGAGCGAGAATTCTCATATCCCATTTCCCTTTACAAGTGGAATCGGTTGCTATTTTGGTAGTTTCAGAGCTTATGCAAAATCCTCTCACTTAAATTTCTTTTTTTTTTCTTGGTTGAACTGGCTGACAAGTTAGATTTATCGGTGAGAAGTGATTGTAGATATTTTCCATATTTTATGTTAATCTATGAAGATGATAAACTGGTGATTAGGGTCCCTGTGATAACATAGTCCTAAACAAATACGAGTACCTAAACTATGGAATTTCCGCATACATACGGCAATAAGATGATTTCTATCGGCAGTCATTTTGAGCAAGTATGTTCTATTGTATCTCAATTTGTTTTCAGCCTTTATAAAACATGTGCTGCTATTGACGCAAATGAATGATTGCTGTAGTAAAAAGACAGAATTTGAGTCTGTCTTCCTGAGTTTACTAAGAGTATGTGGCAAAACATTGGCTCAGTGATATTCATAGCTGTAGTTATTCGGACGGATGCATTCTTTCTTTTAACTCTGCTACTTTTTGTGGTTATATTTCTTTAGGTGACTGTTGTGAACCCTGCGATGGAGTCTGCCTTAGATATTCTGAAAAAGTTTGTTGATGATGTGCGCAATGGAAAGGTCCCAGACAGGCGATTGCATTTTGGTGCTCCTTGGAGGCATCCACCTCGTTCAAACGACCCCTCCAAATCTTTGCTGTGGGCAAAAATTAATCTCATGGATTTTGTTCAGTCTCTAGTCAATGCTCAGTTTGGAGTAATGCTCTGCTACCATTTCTTGTCTGCCATATTATCAAATTATATTTCAGCTATCCATTTATCCACACTAAAACTCAGCTGTCATTATAAGTATGGGATTTCATTTATATTTGCATGTATTGAAATTATTCCTTGGTAGCCTTTTTGCTTTTTTGAACTGAAATGTGAGTGCATACAAGGTTGAGAAATCCTTGGTTTGTGTTCGGCATCATGGGCATCTGAACATGGCATTCATCTTTCTCTCATACATGGTTAGGTATCAAATGCAATAATTGTGTCTGATTTAAAATAATATGCTGGAAAGAGTCTCTAGCAGACGACAATGCCATTTTTACGGGGTCATGGCAAACATTAAGTGCACATGTAGACAAATATTGCCCTTATTAGATTAGTATTTTTCTGTTCTATGATTTGAAAGGCCTCTTCATTGGATATCTTAAGTTGTTTCTACATAGCTTGTGGATCTACACAGTATGCTATCAGTTATCATACGTTGATTTTTATGCCAGTTATCAGAACAGAAGAAATGCAACGTCCATCGGATACAATTGTGTACTTTGATACTCGAAAATAGCATAAGCAATAGTTTCCATGTGAAAAATAAAGGCGGAGATTAGTGATGGTTATTTAAGGCAAATTTATCCTAGATAGGCCATAATACATTTCATTGGTGCTTTATAATTTGAAATCTATTTTCACTAGAGATGGTGCTTTATACATTTCATGTGCAACAAGCGTGGATCAGATACAATAATTTTCTCTGATTTACAATAACATCAACTTTCCTATCTAGGTGAATTATCTAGCTGACTATAGCCTCGAGATACTGGACGATCCATCTGCAGTTGCCATGCTAGAGGTATTTGGAATTGTCTATAAATCATGCATCATGGACTCTGTCACCTACACTTTTGCCTTCTCAACCATGAAAAATGAATCACTTTGAAATGGGTTGTCTGGTCAGGTTGGTTTATTATATGCACAACGAGATCCATCATTCATCCGCCCCATTAGTCGAGGCATTCAGAGGTGCCTGGTCCGATGGTGAGCTACTCGACGCTCTAGTAATCACAGTTTGAACTTGACTTGTTCCCTTTTCCCATACGACTATGAGCTAATTGCGTTGCACACTGCAGGCTTGTTCAGGAGCAACTTCAGATGGGTTTCTCTGAGCGTATGATATTTAAGTGGCACAGGTTTATACGGGGTCGGAGCTACAGACATTTGTTGAAAGAAGTTGGCTATAAATAGACTACTGAGGTACGTGATTCTTGCCACTACCTTAGTCTTTCCTCGTTTTCAAACAAAGTCATAGATCCATGATTCCATTTCATTAGCCTGAGCTTATTAATTTCCAGTTGGAAGCATCATCCTCAGCCTCAGCTTCATTTGCGCCACCGCTATTGAAAGTTAACTTACAAAATATGTTCACTTTTCAGATATAGCAAGAGTTACATCTGTCCTTGGCTGGCTAATCTGGTCCGACTTAGACGAGCTGAGGTTCTTTGACTTGGCTTTTCAAGTGACTGGCCTCTATAAAGAGTCAAGAGTCGGTTAGTCCGAGTCAAAGGGTGCGGCGGATGTTGCGATGCCTGATACATTCCCTGTGGCCAAGAGCGGTTGACGACCCTTGTGATGGAAGCTATAGAAGGCGGGATAGAGGATTTCTATCACAGAAGAGGCTGAGGTGGTTACGAATATTTCATTGACCTTTGGCCTCCCAAGATTTGGATAATGTTCAGCGGCTCTATCGGTGGTGCCGTGTTGGAACTCCTTCACATGGATTTCGGAAAGCATCTGCCCCAGGATGATATTATTTGCTTATTTCCCGAGTATGAGGAAGTCTCCGCAAGATATTTAAGAAAAGGTTGGAGGATCCTGGCGAGGGAAGTGAGTGGTAAAATCTCAAAGTACCCCAAAGCTGTCGTCAATTTCTTCTCATCTTTTGTCTCGTTTATTTGAATTATATCCCAGTTTTTTATTTTTTAAAATTTTATTAGCCACCTTTGGGCAGCAACCCATAGCTTTCAAATAATTTCCTCATTTAGGCATATCCCAGTTCGCTTTTTTATTTCATTAAAGGGAAGAAGTATGAACAATCTTTCCCCATTCCCCATCATCCCGCGGTGCTGATTGCTGGGTTCTGAAGGATATAAGTCCTAAAGAGTCGCATGTATGGACTCGTATGGGTCAACGGCTGATTGAATTGAATTGAATGAAACTAAGGTAGAAGCAAGTATCAAGAATTTTATTAGAACGTGTAATAATCACTTTAAGTTTGAGCTAATATTTTGATGTTCTTCGCTTTATTTTCACATAGTCATTGCAGAAAAATGATCCCATAAATAGAGGAAATGGAACAAAAAAGTAGATAAAATCCATGGCAATATTAAAACATGTTGTTTGCGGATAATTATTTGATGATGTAAAACTCTCCATCATCTAGATAATTAGAAGTCGCTTCTTGATTCGATCTCTATAACATGGCACCGCAAAAAACTTAGAAAATTTAGAGATGCCAGCAATGGAAAAGCCACTTCAGGCCCCAACCGTTTATCTGATTCTTTTCTATTGCACGCCAAGAAGGAATGCCTGCCTATTTACATGACAGAGGCTTTGTTCAGTCGTTAGAGGGAAGATCTATTCGCTTCCCGATCATATTCTTGTAATGGCCTCCTGATCACTTCTGATCACTGTAAAATGTGACGAACTGAAGACCCACTGGAGCCCATTCATCAGGCAGCTTCCCCATGTCGAAGAAACAGCTATTGGCGGAATGTTTCAGTGGAATCAGTGGAGAACCCAGAAATCCAAAGGGTTCCAGTGTTATGCCCTGTGACAAAACCATTGCTTCTCGGATGTTTCTAATGTTGTTCAGGCTACTAGTAATCTCTACAAGAGGAAGATCCTCCAGAAAAATGGTGAAAAATGCCAGAATATCACATGCAAAAGACTTGCAAACATCCTTGATAATTCGGATGACTGGACCAGTAGATTGGAGGATAGCGAATGCAACAGGAAGCTTCTGACTGTCACATGAAAGACAGGGTAAATCTCCTATTCTTCTTCATTTCCATCCAGTAAGACTTCTTCTGTGGCTGGTGAACACCCTTCAGGTGTCGATTTCCAGACCGTTTGATCCAACAAGTCATATATCTCGGACGTCTTTTGATGCGACCGATCTCCCGAGACAAATTCATATATATTCCCATCCAACTCAAGTGAACTAGACCCTGGTACCTTTTTGATGCCACTCCTCCTCAGCAGCCTTCTGATCTGAGAAGCTTCAGCCCATCTGCCAGCAGCAGCATAGATATTTGAAAGTAGCACATGACAGCCAGCTTCCTGAGAGTTGAGTTCAAGAAAGTCAACTGTTAGTCTTTCTGCAACTGGAACGTTTCTGTGGATCCTGCATGCGCCCAGTAGAGCTCCCAAGATCATCACATCTGGCTTCATGGGCATGCTTCTGATGGCCTCCTCTGCCTCCTCCAGCATGCCGGCTCTCCCAAGAAGGTCCACCAGGCATCCATAGTGCTTCATCTGAGGCTCGATTCCATGAGCGTAAGACATCATTGCAAAGTACTGACGTCCCTGATCAACCAGTCCCCCATGAGCACATGCCATTAATACCCCGAGGAAGGTTATGTCATTGGGCTTCGCTCCTGAATGTTGCATCTCCTCAAACAAGTCAACGGACTCACTAGCTAAGCCATTAATTGCTAGTCCTGAGATCATCGCATTCCACGTCGAAACGTTTCTGTGACGCAAGTTTCTGAAAACTTTGACCGCTGAATCGACACACCCACATTTGGCATACATATCAACTAATGATGCTCCGAGATTATCATCACTGTCTAGCCTCATCTTGTTCCTGTCAATATACGCATGGATCCACTTCCCCTGTTCCAGTGCAGCAAGATGAGCACACGAAGAAAGCAAACTCACCATAGTCACCTCATTGGGCCTCACATTCCTGCTCAGCTGCATCTGGTTGAACAGCTCCAGGGCCTCCCTATAATGGTTGCTCTGTACATAACCTGAGATCATCGAACTCCAAGAGACGACGTCTCGCTCCGGCATTTCATCAAACAATGCCCTCGCAGAGCTCATCTTCCCGTTGAGCGCATATCCCGATATCATGGCATTCCAGGACACAATGTTCCTCTCCGGCATATCATCGAAGAACTTGCGGGCCAACGGCAACAGCCCCTGCTTAGAAAAACCAGTTATCATCGAATTCCAGGTAACTGCATTCCTTCCGACCGATGCGGGCATACGGTCGAACAATGACTGCGCCACATCCAGCTCCCCAGATCCGGCATACCCACCAATCATGGCACTCCAAGAAACCTCATTTCTGGCAGGCATTCTGTCGAACAGGTGCCGGGCGCTCGTCGTGAGCCCGGCTTTCACGTATCCATCGATGATCGTGTTCCACGAGACGACATCCAGCATTGGGGGACTCGTATCGAATAGTTTCTGTGCAGAGCCCATGTCCCCATATTCCGAGTACATTTTGAGCAGAGTGTTCACCACATAGACATCGGCATCGTGCCCGCGTCTCAGGGCCTGGCAGTGGGTCAGCTCGCCTTCTCGCCAGGAGATCTTGGTGGCGGCGACGGCGAGGAAGGGGAATGTGAAGTTATCCGGCAAGGAACCGCTTCGGAGCATCTGGGCGAAGGCGGCGATGGCCTCTGCAGGCCGCCTGCTCCTCGCGCAACCCCTGATGAGCGTGTTGAAGAGGAAGGCGGCGGAGGAAGGGACCAGGCGGAAGTAGTGGGCGGAGAGGAGGCGGGAGAGGTGCAGGGAGGATGGGCGGTCGGAGAATCGGACAAGAAAGTCGACGAGGTGGCGGAGGACGGCGGCGCCGCCGACCTGGCCGGTGAGGATGAGCCGCGCCAGGAGAGGGCGCAACTGCTCGACACTCCGGAATACGCCGAGGAGGTCCCCGAGGGGCTGCGCCAGATGGACGGCGGCGCCACCGTCGGGTTGGGCGGGCGGCGGGTGACGCAGCCCGCGCTGGAGGAGCCACCGCTGCATGCGGCTAAAACGGGGGTTGGGTCTTTGTGAGATGTCATATAGGCACCAGGCTTCACTTTAGCTAAACGAGGTCCATCACTGTCAGTAGTTCCATTCACGTCGATCAGGAAAGCGACGAGAGAGAGAGAGAGAGAGAGAGAGAGAGATTTTAAATTAATGGGTAGTTGACGACCAGAAAGAGGGCAACTACGGGCAAATAGCGCCGAGTTGTTCGGCCGGCCCGGAGCAGCGGCCGGCGGCGGACAGCCACCGCCGCCGTGCCGGGGAAGAGAAGAAGAAAAATTAGAAAGAATAGACATCTGCGCCCTCCCAACTCCACCCCAGAAAGCAATTCCCTCGCTGAATGATTCTCGCCGACGACAGGCGATGGCCCCCCTTCCGCCCAATCCCAAAACAGGCTGTCGGACTCACCTCATCAGCCGGGCGCCCTCCACGGCGGCGGCGCCGCCGAGCCCCGTTTCATGCGGCGGAGTACCTGTTTCACCTTCGAGGTAAAATTCTCCACCCGTCGGCAGATTCTCCGCAGCGCTCGGAGCGGGGCTTGAAGGAAGAAGCAGAGAGCAGTGACCGTAGAGCAGCAAGCCTTCTTTTCCTCACTGATTTCTCTTCCGGTCAAAGATTATGCGGCCTCCTCGTCCAATCCTTCCAAAGAACTGGTACGGCGGCGCAATCGACCCATTTTCGACGGGAGGCCCCGACGGCGGGACGACGCCCGCCGCGGCCAACTTTTCCGGATCCAGGGGCTTCGTAAACACAAGAACTGGCTGATGGGAATCCTGCATCATTGCAAAAAAGAAACCAACTTTACGATTAATGCCAGACAGACGAGCCAGCAAGAGAGAGAGAGAGAGAGGGGTGTTCTTCCATACGCTTTTCTGAAGCCATCCACGAGCAAGGGGTCGTCGTTTCAGCTCCCGCCTCATACGGCCCGCAGGAATCAGTAACCTGGGCGGCTGGGAGGGGAAATTCTGAGCTTTGGACGGCCGACCTCGAGGACGCCTGGTCATCATGTCATCCGAATCCATAAACTCGTCTTCGCTCGATCCAAGCTTGCAACGAGGCTGAAACCCGGAGAACGCCATCCCGTCGTCAACCAGCTGCGCCTCATGCTGGAAACAGATCAATCAAACCGATTATCATGGTTTTTATTCAGGTTCTTACACAAAAACAGTAACATTTGCTAACATTCAGCCCAGAATTCCTCACGAAAATTACTGATATTACTCAACCAGGAGAGAATAAGTAGAAAATATTAACAAGAATAAGAGATTTTTGCCTGTTCATCGCCTGACAGCAATATAAAAAAAAAACCTCGAAGAATTATCTCATTATCAGAGATTATCTCGTGGGTAAGCTAATTATTTTAAAACCTCATGAATCGGAAAAAAAACACAGTAAGGCATTGATTGGATACCTTGTACTTCATCCGGAATCGCTGAAGGGTGAGCTCGTTTTCCACAGCATCCCGTTTTTTCTCTTCTCTCTGGAGATATATAGTTGGACAACACATCAGAGGCTGATGGGTCCATGGGCAGGAAACCAATAAGGCTCGAGATGAAAAAAATGTTTCCCTTAGGAACAGACCTTAATCAGGGTTTCTAACAGCGTTTTGGCCTGTTCCAGGTTGCGCCTGACCTGAAGCACACGTAGAGATCGAACCGGTAAGCTAGATTAGGAGGAAGAAGGAAAGAAGCTGTAATGCATCACGTGCACAAAATCCTCACCGACAAACAGCAATCTTGAAAAAAGTCAACATATTTGGTCCTCTTTTAAGACATGATATATTAGACAGAATTCACGAGCCTCGAGCATGATATACCCAGCTCCAACTCATGAGATGTTACAGTTAGTTATTGGTTGACAAGGCCCGAGCACGAGAAAAACTCCACTTTCCCCGTTAGTCAACGCACGAATATATTTAGATGAAGAAAAAAAAATAAAAATTGCATTCCACATGGTTGGAGGGATGGATTCATTATTGATATTCACAGGGATACCAGACCTTCCACATAATTCTCCATTTTCTTCAGATTGCAATGAAAAGAAATATATATTTTCCGAAAAAATCAGAAGTAACTCCAAGATCGTTACCAGGCGAAGCTTCTCAAAGGACTTGGCATTGTTCTCTCGGCGTTGCATCTAAATGACAACAATAATAAGAAAAGGTCATCAAAATGTACCTGATACAAATAAAGAAAGGTGCAACTCTAACAAACAGTTTTTGACAAAAAAAAAATAAAAAAAAATATCGTCTGCAGAAAAAGAACCTTCAATAAAAAAAGGAGGTCTCACATACCCTTCTTGTGTGAAGTCGGTGAATTTTCTCCCTTGGTCTAAATACATTGTAAGGGTTTGTATCATTAACTGGAGGAGGGGCCTGCAACAGAAAAAAACCAGATAAATCATTATCCAGCCAGTAGTTTGTCAAACGAAAACGAGGTGAATACCATACATTTGGAGAACACAGAAATGACTGACCAAGTGGGAAGGCGGAAGATTATAAGTTAGGACTTTTATGGGTGCAAATGCTAAAATGGGGAGATAATAAGTGGATATGTCTGCATTCAACTAGATTTTATCACGATCTTGTTGTCATCACAGAAGAACTTGGAATGTTTTTAAGAAGGAGATCTTCTTCACCTCATATCTTAGACCCCGTGCAATTTGCAACAATTAAGTAACAGATTGACTTGAAGGCAGATAGTTGGAAGATGTAGCAACTGCTTTCTGTAATTCATGTCGTGAGTAAATGCAATAGTATGTACCTAATTACGATATGTCATTGTTCATGGGTATGAAGAAAGAGGCTGGCAGGATGTGGATATTCATGTAGGAAGTCAAACTGGATGAAGTTACCTTGAAAATACTTTAAAAGAGTTATAGATGGTGATCTGCTCACATAATTTCAAGTATCAGGCAAATGAGAATTCTCTTAAGGACTTTGTGCCCATTGATTGCCATGCAATACAAGGAAAATTTGCTGAGAATTAAATAATAGTCTGTAACGGTAGTCCGAGATACATTAAATATGGACAGAGAAGACCCACAAGAACACCTGTCAAGCGACGGTCATTTTTTTCGCGAGGATATCAAAGAGAAGGAACCAAAGAGACAGGTGGTAAAAGGAGCATAATGTTCCAGGGACTAGGGACAAATGACTTGAGAAAGAACATACGCGCTAAACATTTTTTTCATATTTTCCTAATTTCAGTTTTTCTTTTTACCTTATTTGACATGCACATCTTAATTTGTTCTACAATGCAATAAATAGTTACCAATTAATGAAGCCATAAGAGCAGAATTTCCCAAGTCTTTAGCGATGAAAGAGGGCGATTGAACATCAGAGAAACAGTCAGAAAGCCAGACCAAACCTCTCATTTGTAGACCAAATAACTGGACTATTAAAGGCATGGTATTTATTCTTGTAGACCTACAGAATTCTTTCCAAGTATGGATCAGGAACAATACATTTAAAAAGTAGGTGCAAGGAGTTATTATAATTTCCATTGAATCTTTTGGTATACGTGGATGAAAGCTTGAGCGAATTTTGTGTAGCAATAAACGAAATAATAGGATGAACTGCCAATTAAATGGTGCAGACACATGCGTCCAGTGCAAAAGACCACCGCCACAAGTTACATACTTCCAGTACAGACAAAGATACAAAAAGGCATACATCTGAAAGAACATATCAGATGTTACCAAGGAAAATTAGATGATGCAAACGTTGTTCTTTAGTTACAACTGGAAAAAAAGAAGAGATAAGAGAAGTAATGCAAGCGAAAGCAAGTGAAATTCACCTGCAACTGTCGTAGAATTGGTTTCTGCCATTGCTCTCGCTGATAAAAGATAAGATCATGAAAAACGTAAAGGTTCGTGAATAACATGCAAAAGTTCAAAGTAAAATATACTCATAATAAAACTAAATAGACTTGGAAGAAAAAAAAGGTAACACATGCTCAGAATAAGAAACAGTTTATGGGCCCAACCTGAGGAAAGAATTCGAGGAAAAGAAAAGAACTGGTTTCACCACAGGATGGAGGGGGCTACCTTCTTCTTCCAGTAGTTATATACAGACTGGAAAACAGCATATCTAATTGATTGAGGTTCCAAGGTCTGCAAAAACATAACTAAATTAGAGATAATACTTTAGAAGAAGAGAGAAAAGGTAAACACAACTTAATTAGAAATAACTCCCAATAAAAACAGCGAGAAGGTAAACATTTCTAAATTAGATATAACAACAAGTCGTTATCGACAATACCATAAATGACATGCAGAACCAACGGATGAAATGAAGCCGTAATTGGTCATATGATAATCACTTTCATCATGCAACTTACTGTTGTTCTTAAACAAAGGCAATGCTATCAATTTTCGCTAAAATCCAATACGTATAGAAAAGATTTTTTGTCAAGCGAGACCTTAATTCTCCCCATATTAGATCCTTGTTGTTTCTCATCCTTGTTTCAGCCATTTCGATATGAACAGCTACTTTTCATGCTGTATCATCACCCTATTAAGAAAAAAGTAACAGTAGCCTTCGAAATATGCTGCTAAACCTGTCTGTAGTCCATTCTCCTCAACAGGAAAGAAAATGGAGGAGACAGAAGCATAAATTCTCACAAAAAAAGAAACAAATAGCATTTTTAAAAGAAAACTCTTCTGAAGGCAGGGAGAGTATTTTCTTAACCAACTGGATGAAAAAAATAAACACAAGAAAGATGAATAAATCCAAATGTCATCAAACTGTAGATAATGCGAAAAAAGAAAGCATAGTTGCATGAAGTATCACCTCTGCAGCTGCATCTAGCTGCAAGAGAACAGGAACAGGAGACCCATGGGTTGGTGTTATCACTCCAGCCCTTTCCCGAGCTTTATGGTCTAATACCTCTAATTTAAACAGAAGACTCTCAAACCTGAAAAATAGTTGCATGCATAACATAAGAACGAAGAGGATAAATAGCGACTTACATCAGATGTGCCACTATGAAAATCGGAAGAACATGGAAAAAAATCCAGTAATTTGCAGAAAACAAGATTTGTCGTCTAAAAAGGCCTCATAAAAAAAATAGACATTAAGCTGAATATTGTCAGTGTTTACAAGCTGCCACTCCCTGACTGGAATACATACTGATTAATATTTTTGGCTACACAAAAAAGAGGATGGTAAAATAAGAATGCATTTGCAGCATTGCTTAAGGCTTCCGTCATTCAAAAGGACAGTTTGTTTAAACACGTTCTTTGTCGAAATAAAAAAATTGTAAATCAAATGATCAAGGAAGAAGAGGGAAGTGCTTACTTCTACCTTGTCATAAAGTACATAAATTCACAAGAAAAAAATAAAGTTAAAAAACCAATAGTAGATGCAAGCAAGGCCACAATAAAATCCCTTCAAATGGCAAAAAATCTCCGACAAAGTTGAATAGTTTCCAATTGATTTAATCTACAGGAATTCTTCAATAATCAAAACACCAGAAACTGGTTACACAGGTGAGGACCCAGGGTTTAAGACAATCCAATCGTAGATAAGTGGCTAAGAGTCTGCTCAAGCCCCATAGAAGTATTTGAACACTATTGCAATCGTACACCTGCATTTCCATGCATAGGCAAATTAGGGCCCACATCAAAGTCTCCCCTCTGTTAATCAATAAGTCCACTTATCCGCCAATTTTCTTTTCTGTAGCTCTAATAAAAAAAATAAAAAAGAATGCCCAACCGAATTCAACCAAGTTACTTAAGTTTCGTAGTGCACAAAAAGTGAAAGCCGATTCAAATATCAGATGCTTTGCAGAATAAAGAAAAGACTATCTCTGAAATTTCCTTTACAGGCAAACTGATGAACAAAATGATATGATTGGTGGAAATCTGTCTACCTGCACAGCGATTGAAAAATATGATCGAATGTGCAGAAACATCAGCCATAACTATTCTGTGCACTAACAGGTGCAATTTCCGTCTGTTATCGAAGATGCTTCTCTCTTTGCAGAACCTCTTCATCTTCGCATGGGAAATGAAAACGATATGCCAAATCATAGCTCAGGTTCTAAACTAGATCTTAAATTGGACAACTTTATGCATCATCACGACTTCAAGTTATTTTCGAAGCACTTCAAGCTCATCTCTATCATCCTTACCAACTCAAAAAACATTAATGCAAAATCATAATCCTTACCCTCTCTTCCCACCCCCCCCGGCGACCACCATCTTAGTTATCATTGTGACGATATATTCCATAAACAAAAAGTTGTCAAGGATTCGGAACCCAGATTCCAGGCAATCAGACCAATGAACTATCTTATTGTTACCCAAACATTCAAACTGTTATGTATGGTTCCATGAATGCAGCAATGCTGATTGGTGGCAGAACAGACTCCCTGTTAAAATGGGTCTCCCACTCCCCACTTGATTGATAGTCATCAGGTGGTTCCATAACTAGTGCCTTACGTGAAGATACTAATGCACAGAAAGAAAAAAGAAAGGGGATAATCCTTATAATTAATTGCCACAATTAATCATATAAATAATAAAAATATGAGAAGAAGGGATGAGGAACGAATAATAGTTCGTGCTGTGTATTTTTGAACTTAAATTCGCAAGTTAAAGCAACTCTACAGATATTTCCATGAATAGCTGCCTTCAATGCAATGGAGAGCTTTACAATCTTACGTTTTACGCAAGAAAAGAAAAAGACAAAATGACTTATTGAGATGAGATGATGGTATGTCACTGACAAAGATTAGCAAGTCCAGGACTCAAGAAGCTAACAAAAAACAGGGGAACGATGCAAAAATACAAGATTAATGTGCTTAGCAAAGAGAAGGATGGGAAGGTACAAATAAAAACAGGTAAAAATTCATGCGTTATGCCACAGGCAAATTTGATCTACTGCAATTTACATCCATCACTTTACTTTTCATCTGAAAGAATCTTCCTTTCGTTGTTAAACTCCTGAAGCCAATCCTCATCTTCGTTATCCAGATCGTACTCGACAAATTCCCCAAGCTCAGCTCGTGCTGCAACCAGTAACTCAATGGTTAAGATGCCGAAAATTTTCTCAGCATCTGGCATTGAAAGGGTAGAGGTCATCCTGAGAAGCAGACCTCCTCTCCCCCGTAGATATGATGTAGTTTGATTAAACGTGCGAGTGTAATCCCTTTCATAGGTATCCACAATAACAAACTGCGGCGTAGGAATATCAGACGCAAGTTTCTTGCTGGGAGTCGGAGGAACCTATGACATTAAAATCCAAGTTGTTCACGATTGTGAAGGAACACTCATGAAATGAACGTAGAATTGAAGCAAGATCACGAGAGCAAAATCAGCGAATTGCGGAAGGAAGCATAAGCATCCAGAAATTTCACCTCATTGTCAGCCTCGGCAACAAATCGCTGCAACTGGTTGCGTGTGGCAGTCGTGGTCACAACATCATCATCTTCGAAGTCCTTAATGGATTTGACAATTGGCAGCTTCTTGTGGATGTCAAGGGGGCGAGGCCTGAATGAGAGTCTACTCATGTCCACACATCTCCTGTCAAATGAAGGCGTTTATCGCTGGTCATGCCGTCTCTCCATTCATAGATATCCACACTCTCTCTCGGCCACTGACTAACCAATGCTCTGCTAGCAACGCATGAGCGCAGGCCAGCCTCAGGTCATCCTCGAAGAAGGCAGAGTAAGACAAAATTACCGACTTTCTCCGCTCAATGCAACGAATGGCTCAACAGACAACTACTTGACGACAAATTGGCGTACAAGATTCACGGACACACAAGTGAGAGAGATCTTGTACACTCGAGGAGAGTATGGGAACCCTAGAAATGCTGGAAACTGCGGAGCAGCACAATTGAGGCCGGAAGAAGCTGAACCACGCACACGGGAACCCAAATTCAGCACAAACCGGAAAGCACCCAACGGCCAACCAATGCCCTAGTTTCGAAACTGAGCCAACGCGGACGAACAGGGGACCCTTGGGCGGCGCCGCTCCTCCGCCACGGCTCCAATTTCAACCCGAAGAAAGCCTCCCCGAGGAGAGCGGGGGCCTGCGCCACCCTCGCCGATCGGACCCGCGGCCCAAGACGGCGGGGGAGGAGAGGGGGACTGGTTCTCAGAGCGACGAGTCAAACCGGCGCGAATCGGGCAAGAATCGGACGATTTAGGGCACCGGAGGGCGGAAAGAGACGACACCAGCAGATCACTCCGGCACTCCTCCCCGACGCCGGCGCGGAGGAAGGGCACCGGAAAAGTCCACGGCGGCGAAGTAGTTGCTTCCGTCTTCAAGCTCGAGCTCGCTAGGGTTTTGAAACGCTCAAAAAAGGGAGGGAAGGGAGAAGTTGGGGCTGCGGGTAGGGGAAGAGAGGAGTTCAGTTTGCTTTTCTTCCTCCCCCTTCCCTCTCTCTCTCTCTCTCTCTCTCTCTCTCTCTCTCCTCTCTCTCTCTCTCTCTCCGGGCCGAACGGGCCGCACCACGGGTTCGGCCCGGTTGAGCCGATTCGGAAGATCTGACTGTTTGCGGGGGTGGGCAGATCTGAATCTCGCACGTGGTGTTGTTGGCTTCTTCCAACTCGCTGGCCCGGCCCAGAATTTTCTATTATAGTTTGAATATCAGGGATTAAAATATCCTTTTAACCTTGTACTTAGCCAGGCTCGTGGGCCCGCGGGTCGGCCTGTTCGGGGTAGGCTCGGACTGTTAAAAATAATTTTTATATTTGTTATCCCAGTAAAAAAATAAATTGCGCCAATATGCACTTAATTGGTCTCCCTCCCAGTAAAATTAAAAATAAAAAATCAAAATGCTGGTCTAATTTTTTATCATATTACCCGAGAAAAATCCAAATAAATTTAAATTGGCAATCACATATATAAAATGGGCATTCAGAAAATGTACATGTGGGGAGAGATAGAGAGAGAGAGAGAGAGAGAGAGAGAGAGAGAGAGAGAGAGAGAGAGAGAGAGAGAGAGAGAGAGAGAGAGAGTACCTCACTGGGGCCCTGGAGCTATGCTCCAGTGTAAAGAGCTTAAGCTTGCCTCAAGAACATTGGTTGAATCCGTGCCAAGGAGTTGATGGCAGTGCCCATGGTCAAGAAGATGGCCTCAGATCGGAGTTCTCGCTCACAGACTCCACGATTTCCCCAACGTTGACCGTATGCTGAGCGCTGTGAGCCGATTCAGAGACTATTTGATTCCGAGGCCCACCAACACTTGCATCATCTTCTGTTTTTCCGGAGAGAAAGCCCTTGAAGACTGATGACAGCCCAGCTTGTGACTTCTTCCGCCCCTTTGCGCTCATAGCCCAGCCCTGAATCTTATCTTGCACTTGCTCATCAAAAATCTGTCTTTTGAAGTTGTCACCCATCTGGGCTCGCACCAAATGATATCAGCACGCAGAAAAAAAAAAAGAAAAAAAAAGAGGGATCTTGATATACTATATATAGATGGCGAGGTAGAACAGAACATGTTCTACCTGAGTGACGATCGCATAAAGGGGTAAAGTACTGTAACTGCAGAGCCCTTGGATGATCACCCTGTGATTATAGTAAGCTGTCACTCGGCAACTGGGATTATCAAATGTATGGAGAATATAATGCGCTGATTAAATATCATTACCCTATGATAAGCCTAGGAACTAAGTAGCGGACCTCTTCCATGATACAGGAATCGAAGCCATACGTTGACTAAAAGAAAAAGTCAAGTAGAGATTAAGTCCCGGGTTTGGTCAATACTAATTACCGATAATGGTGGGTAATAGTTTTCTTACCAATATCCAGAAGAAAAATGCTATTTCGAATGAATTTTGGAACAAGATGAAATGGATCAAGTAGAGAACGATCCCAGGCCTGTGGAACCAAAAATATTCATCAGATGGTTTGATCCGCATTCCCCCGGCATCGTCAGTTCTCTGCGCTGCAGCTTCCTGCGCAAGACGGGTGATTATGTGCTCGAGCTTCGCCCCCACAGCAAGCAGGAGCTGCAACCAGAGGCAGAAAAGATGGGTTTTGCCGTAGATCAGGTTGCAGAGATTGGATATGAAAGGTGATGCTAAGATTCTAGGAACTCACAATTAGAGGCAGAAGAGATAACCAGAAGTACGTGTGCCATCCTGCATCATGAATTTATAATAAAGATAAATAAATCAAAAGATCATCATCTGCAGCATTTTAGAGAAAACAAAGTAAATAAAAAGATATTTTGTTTATGTTCTAGAAAAGAAAGATAAAAAAAGGAAAACGAGAAGAAAACATTTATTATGTAAGAAATAATACTCACGACCCCGGCAAGAAATATTTATCATGGAAAAAATAATCGTCACTATGCCATCAAGTGTGCAGTAGATCATACCATCCACATTCAGCAATAGGAAGAATACAACAAACAGCCACAGATACCAGCTGCAAACAAGTTACAGAATGAGATGCTGTGGGACTGGAAGATGAATAAATAAACTAAGTGGCGGCACATATTCAAGGGTCACCACCTGACTCCCACAACTTTCTTAAAATCAGCTTCAAGCGTGCGCATCATATACTTGTGGAAGTCAAAGTTTGAGTTTGAGCGACAATGTTTCTACAATGGACAAAGAATTGAGCCAGAGATTTACTCAACCATGGAAGGATAAATATTTGATCAACAAATTCCATCAAAAGCCACATAATCGAATGGTAAGGGGGTACCATGATGAATCCTGATCGCAGGGCAATGTAGTCTGATTTAGTCACAGAAGCATGAAACTGTTTGAAAAATGACATCTAGAATTGGGACAGATGAAGCGAGCATCAGTCAACTTGGATCTTCAACTCGAGTAATAACAATAGTTAATCATATTGATGTCTATAAAATCTGCTAAAATAAGGGTGATGATAGATGACGTAGGAAGAAAATAAATCTAGTTGAAAGAGAGTCATACCCATAGAAGAACCCAGCAAAAAACTAATTACCAGAAGAAAGAAAAGAAAATGAGTTACCGTCCAGCCTATAACAGCAGTCTTCCTCCAATGTCCTTTTCCACGTTTTGCAACAAAATCAACGTGAAGATGGGCGTGCTTGTGGGTTTTATCTGGAAGAAGTTGATGTCATAAACAAAGAGGATAAGCGGATGGATAACCCACCAACAGCTTAAAAGAAATGCAGAGATCACAGCACAAATAAGTAAATCATTACTCTTTTCTTGTTTTATATTCTCATTCCTAATTGAATCCTCCCAGTGTTTCCATCTTTGTATCTACATATTACTAACACTGGGTTAATTCCACATTAGTAGAAAATATGTTCATGGGGAAGAATTATAAAATGGCTAAGTTACCTTCGCCCCGCCTAGAACCATGGTGGTGGCACAGAATATAACATGGACAACTGCCAGGACAAAGATAAATATGTGAAGCTGATGCAAGGCCTCGATAGATAACAATGGAATCTTTCCCTGGAAACATAATAAAAAAAATAATGTAAAAAAGGAAGTAAAACTGAACAAATATGAATCCTTCATTCCATTGTAGCAAAGACAAAAGTGGAACCTGACGCAGGCAATATCCAGAGCCAGAACCCTCAGACAGCAACCTCTTATGTACTTGATCAGTGGCCGAGGATTCCTCTCTCTTGCAAGGAAGCATGTGAGATGATAAACTTGCAGAGATACATATATTGCTGATCACACCTTGAAAGACGGTAAGCAGAAGGGAGATGAATCCTAGCAGCATCAGTTCTGCAACAATAGATAGCATGAGATGTAGGAACTCGAGAAACAGAAAGGGATCAACTATTTATATATATATATATATATATATATAATTTTATTTTTCGAACTGGAAAACTTGGTAAATGTCACTCATGACGCGATAATGAAACTAATTCTGGAAATTTCATTTATTTTCTGGCTGATAATTTGATAGGCCTGTTCCCTTCCACTGATTTTTGTATGACAACTAAACTTTTCAATTCCCAAGTCCCCTGGTCTGGAATTTTCGAGCCCCATCACAGGTTGACAGGAGTCTATAGGATTACTTGTGATCAGAAATTGATTATCTAACTAGAGATATCTGATGCACTAAAGCTCAAATTGATATGATACAACGAAGGGAATCAATAAAAAATGTGCCCGTTTATTCCTCCTACGAAATCAAAACGGTGTAAATAATTCGGTTATGAGCTCGAGTTTTCAGCTTTAAAATATACAGGATAACCGTACTGATCATATGACCTGCGCAGATGAGGTTGTTCACGTACAATGTAAACTAACTATAATGCGTGAGATCTATATACTTCTATGTATACAATCAACGGAGGCCAATGTGGGGTGCAAGTTTTGCAGAAAATAAAAATTAATTGAAAAGAAAGAAAGAAAGAAAGAAAGAAAGAATGGAGTGTGGGATATATATCTGACCTTCTTTTAGTTTCAGCAAGGCCTCAAAGAGCGCGGGTTGCTGATTACGCTTCAAATACTGAAAGATGATCCAGATGACAAAGGTCACAAGAGAATTCGAAGAGGCTAAGAGAAGACAACTGGCAAGAAGACCAATGAAAATCACAAGCGGCCCACAGTGATACGTGCACAGAAGAGAGAATTAGTCGTGTCACACCTTGCCGAGATAGTGGAGGAACCGTTCAGCGCAGAGAGAGATAATGACGATGATAGAACACACGAGCGCCACAACCCACGTCGGCGTGTACTCCAGGGTCGCAGCCGCATCCGGCGTAGACGAAGCCATCACCCTTCCCTCTCGAGCGAAAGAAGCAAGAAACAGAATATAACACCGCCATCCCCCAGTCTCCCCTCCGCTTTCCTATGGAATGAACAATGGCGCTTTTCTGCGGAAGAATCACTCCACTTTTTCTCACCGCATGCTCCGATTGCTGAGTATAAGATACCAAGGAACGGGGAAGAAGGAAGCGCCAGCGTGTCGGAAGGAATAGACACGCAAGCGTCAGTCTAGAGTGCCGCATGGCTGAATGAGCAGGCGAATGAAGGAGGCATGAAGAAGAAGGAACGTACAACTACCAGTAGTGCAAACCCAAGAAGGGACAAAATCCACCACCACCGGCGCCGCCTACTTGTGCCTCTGTACCAGTTCATCTTCTCCCCTCCGAATTTCGCTTCCCAGGGGAATGGGACAGTTTTTCTGTCCCGATCACAGGAGGCCATCTGCCAGAGAAACGAATCTTATCACCAAGAAGAGCTCAGGTATCAATGGCACTCGCCATTCAACGTTCCAAACACTAGAGACTGCCTTGGACATGAACAATGAAATGACCAAAGTTGCATTTAATTATTTGATTTATATGAGCTTACTGGATAAAATATGTTGTTTGATTTCAAAAACAATTTAGTATAGAATCTGTCCAAATCTCAAACTAAATTAATTAATTACAGTAAGAATAAATTTCAGGTACCCAAATCACAACGATCAATTAGCATGGCATTTCGGAGGTCAGTTTTTTGAATTGTCTAACAATGACCAATGAACTCAAACTTTTGCTGATTTTAATAATACCTTAACTATTTTCAATAACATTTTAGAAACGAAATATAGTTCCTCAATCAAGTTTAAAAGTTGAATAAATTTAATAATTCACAAGAAATAAAAAAAAATAGCCGTATAGAAGAAGCATCAAAGATGTTGATGAGATATGATACAAATTATTTTTTTGACAACTAGTGAATTATAAAAGCTTAAATTCTAATTAATTTTTTTAACTAGATCCTATTCATCCATATTTGATATTATTTTTATTTTTTAAAACAATTCAAGGACTACCAAACCAATCCAAGTACAACAACGCTGAATGAAAAGCTATGGAAATACATTAATTTCGGAAAATGATGCGAGACGTTCAAATTAGTAATCTAGACACAAATCATGGTGAGTATCATTGTATAACTTCTAAAACATTACGTGGAGCGTTTGACTGAGGTTTGAACATTCAATTAATATGTTTTATATTTGATTCGAAAAAGAAATCATAACTATGCTACCTCCTTAGTGTTAAGTCCTGAGTGAACTAGAAAGATAAGGTCAATAGGGTATATTGATCCTTTCATCAGGCCAATATATTTAGAGTTGCTTGGAGAAAGTACGCTTCACACGACAGAAAAATACATCAATTTTTTTTTTATAATTTAGAACCTTTACACATTCAGCCCTTTTTAAGGCCTCTCTATTAAGTTATGCTAACATGTTAGTCTTAACTTTGTTATTGTTGAATGCCGGCTTCGGCACCACAGAAAAAGCTAGTGGCCTGGTCTTATCTACTGCAAGCCGCTCCGCTGGGTTCTGCATCATCGTCCAGAGCTGCAACTACAATGTCGTACACGTCAGAGCTCAGTAACCCTGCCCTTCCGACGGGAACCGGGGTCGGCGAGAGGAAGCTCCACTGTTGGCAAATGTCTGCCGATCTGATAAAACAGCCTTGACACCGGTACCGCCATTGCCGGCCGGCCCTTCCTCTACGACATGGGTTCTCCCTCTCTCTGGCTCGGACGTTATCTTGCAGCTGGGACTTCGTCAAAAAGACGCAATTCTAGGGGCCTTCCAGGGTTGGGCAGCCTAGGAAAGGGGGGAGGAAGCATCCAAGAAACAGGCCCATGACGCCCAGCCCGGCCGCTGGCTTGGGGTTTGGCTACAGCGGGAGAAGTTGGAAGATCATTCAGTGTGAATCAGGGTGTTAATGGGGTTAGAGTCTGGCCACACCTGAGTTTTATAGATTTGGACTTCAAGGTAAAGCATATGGAGCAGATCATATATTGCCTATTCTAGTATTGGGGGGATAAAGGCTATGATATATGAGGCAACCTAGACGCCTACCCTATCATTTATCAGAGAAAATAGAAAAAAGAAGCGAGGCTCGAAAATTGATTCTCTCACATTGATTGGAAATGATTGACAAAATAAGATGTATGTGGGATTGGAAACAAGCGAAACCAAATTTTAACAAAATAAAAAAAATTACGTGCAACACTTCAATTGATTCTAACGAAGAGCCCCAACAGTGCAAAGTCCCGCCTTGTTAAGCAGATATTCAAAAGTATGGTGGAAACATTGCCTTGGTTAGCGAGTCCGTTGCACTAGACATGGCCTTGTGTTGAAACATAAAGCGTCTTGAATCGTCCTGCTTGAATTTCTTCTCTCGCGCCAGATGACAGTCATATCTCTATGCCCTTAGTTCTTTTGTGAAACAATGGATCTGCTGGTATATGCAGGGCAGCTCGACTATATAAGAGAAAAAAAGTTTGGTATGGATATTTAATGTGCCAGTTGCACACGGAAAGAGGACGTGACGGCAATATCGCGCCAGTTGCACTGGACAATTAGTTCAATCTTCACCATGTGCCTAAGGTCTTGACACCATGTGTTCTTTCTTGGACTTCCCATACACTAGAGAATCATCATTAAAAGCACATAAACCGCTGACAAATCTTTCGGTGTGCCGGTAAGCGGACAGAGCAGAATCTATAAAAGCTTTCAGCCCTACGAAGGAAGGACGAATAAAAGACTTGCCGAACTGTATTCTTCACATACTCGAGCATTCAATAAGCTGCTTGCAAGACATTAAACCTCCATGGAAAGGTCACCATGCAAGGATGGATTGCTGACATCAATAAAGTGCCTCAACAATTTAAATATTATTCATTTCTCCTTATCATGTGATGGTCTTAGGTTCTCCCCTTCGCCCAATACGTGCACATGGTCTAGCGTATAAAGAAAACACACCCAACGCATCCCTAGACGGGATTTGGACTTCAATAGGGCTGATTAGAAGCTTGGAGGTTAGTCTTCTTATAATGTGATTGCCCACACTATACGACGATATCTCTTTTTCCTTCTCTTTCTTGCTCCCTTAAATAGGGAGATGTGGCCAGAATTTTGTGTGGACCAAAGTCAAAGACAACATTTCTGTGCTTTCCCTAGAGCCCCCCGTCTAGGTTTACTCTAATGAAAATGTTCACGCATGCGCTGGCACTAGACAAGAGACAACAACCATGCTCACTATGTCTCTCACTTCCATCTTTAAATCGTGCAAATGATAAATGAAACTAGCTGTGAGGATCAAGACTAGAAAAAATAAGCTTGGAATTTATGAGTTTTGTGTCAAATCTATGAAATTACAAAGGAAGTGTTCATTCGGACGGTCTTATTTCTTTTGTAAGAATGATGATACAAATGTAGGTCGACTAGGATACTCTCAAATTAAATGACTGTAGATGTATAATAACTTAATAACTGTTCATCTGACGATACTATTTAATTGCCACACTTACTGTGAAATTATCCTCAGAATAGGAAGATTGATGCTGTAAGTAGTTATAAAGATGAATGCTGACCTGCAATCAGTTTTCATTTGAAGTGGAAAAAAAAAGACTTTGAGAAACTTTAGCCTTTGTGTCATGATCAACTTGAGACTTCATTCGGAGGGAAGAGTCCAATAATAACTTCGTTGCAGACTATGAGGTACAAAAGGAAATACTATCAGCAAATTTTGTGGCAGATAAACCTTGTTAACAAATAAAATCTAAAATCTGTATATTTGATTAAAATAGTAAAGTTGTGGTTAAATAAACACAACCGTAGATTTTAATTTGCAATATTATTTCGAAGTTCTTGAAGCTTAATTTTCGTAATTTAATTGCGGCGTTGGTGCGGTCGGAACGACAGGCCCACTTGATGATAGCGGGGATCAACCTGATACATGGAAATAAAATTATGTTGGGACTGTTAATAGGTTATCCAATCCACCTTTTTGTTCCTCAGTCATGTGCCTGTTCCTCGGCTCCAATCTGGTTGAGCGCTGAGCGTGAAATTATAATGAGTAGGAATCAGCTGGGTTTAGTAATCAGGGGCCAGATCGTGTCACAAATACGTCGTTGACTCTATCATTGTATAGTAATGACGTTGGCTTCGGGTTCCAAGCCATGTGTCTGCCCTCTGCGTAACACGGGAAGAGCTGACTCTGGGATGGACAGCAGCATCTGTATATGCCCTTCCGTAAGGGAATCTGGATTTGGAGGAAGCCTTCCTGATGTCTGCTTCATGAAGTATTTAAAGTGTCTAACGGGAAGGAAGTCAAGGGATCGGCGTAGAGAGAGAGAGAGAGAGAGAGAGAGAGAGAGAGAGAGAGAGAGAGAGAGAGAGAGAGAGAGAGAGAGAGAGAGTTAAACCCCACAATATGCTAGATTGCACTCTCTCGTAGTCAAGGTGAGCAGGGGGGGAGAGGGGGGATCATGGTTGAGGAATATTATTATTAAAAATGTTATCATCATTTTCAAAAATTGAGCATGAACATTGAAAAGCTGTCTAATTGCGTAGCCAATTCAGTTCTTGACGCGTAGAAACTAGCAGGAGTAAGCCATAGTTTTCCACTTCTTGATTCCGTACGTATTAAACGAACTAAGTTATCTGATTGAGCCTACGCAAAAAGCAATACCGTATTCATCGAGCGGACCTGCAACGGCCGAGAACAAATGGAGGGAAAACCCTGAGCCCAATAGGATTTTTATAAAACCTCTCATGTGCACCCGCGGACATGGAAAATCAAGGACTTAAAGAAACGTCCTCAATGTCCTCGACTCACTGGCCTTGGAAGTTTGAAGAACTGGCCCAGAAACCGCCTCATGGCTTTCGCTATGCCCATACGAACATGGAAACGCCATGTCCGCTTTGCTTTGACTTTTGCAAGTTGTCACCAGAAAGCAAGCATATAAAGAGCCTTCTCTCCCCCCCGGGGTCGACACGAAGCCCTTACAACAGCCATGACAGCGTGTGCAACCCTCTGTTCCTCCGTCCTGTTGTGGCTGATCTTGTTCTTTGGCGAACAGGCCCATGGGGAGAGCACCTTCGTAGCCGTCAAAATTACAAGCTTGGTACCCTCCACCAGTTGCTCTCCGTCCAGAGGTTGATTCCCTCAGCCAACTTCTGCCCGAAAAACTTTGGAATAGTCCCTTCATTCAAGAGTTTCGACAATTTTTTGTGTGCTCTATTTTGATTTCTTATAATCATTTAGTCTCACGTCATATACGTAATTTATAAATACATATGAATCAATATAATCCAAATTCTCGGTATGCGTCTGACGTATGTATCTCCTGCAGCCCCCAGTCACAGCTCTCTCCAGGTAGTCCACCGCAACGGTCCCTGCGCGGCCAAGCTTGCCAGCAAACCCAGGCACCTTCAAGCTCTCTCCCAGGATTCCCTGCGAGTCGCTTCACTGCAGGAAATAGTTACCGGCGTCTCCCGTGGTAACGATACACTGCTCCTGGGAAGCCAGGTTTCCATCCCCGCGAGGAGTGGCCTCTACCTCGGCACCGGCAACTATGTCGTTACCGTCGGTTTCGGCACTCCGAGGAGGACCCAGACCGTCATTTTCGATACCGGCAGCGACGTGAACTGGATCCAATGCAGGCCCTGCGTCGTGTCCTGTTACCGACAGAAGGAGCCCTTGTTTAACCCCAGGCTCTCCTCCACCTACCGTAATGTCACCTGCACGGCGTCTGCTTGCCTCGGGCTTACCCCCAGACGTTGCTCGGGCACCACCTGCGTCTACGAGGTGGCCTACGGCGACGGATCCTTCACCGTTGGATTCCTTGCCACGGATACCTTCACGTTGACATCCAGCAACGTGTTCAAGAACTTCATATTTGGGTGTGGCCAAAACAACCAGGGGCTGTTTAGGGGGGAAGCCGGGCTTATCGGGCTCGGACGCAGCCGTTACTCGCTTAATTCGCAGGTGGCCAGCAGGCACGGCAACATCTTCTCCTATTGTCTCCCTTCCACGAGCAGCTCTACTGGCTTCCTAAACATCGGCAAACCATTGGCGAGCGCAGTGCGGTATACGCCCTTGCTGACAGATTCACGCGCGCCAGCCTTCTACTTCATTGACCTTATTGGAATAACAGTCGGAGGAACGAAGCTGCCGGTGTCGGTGACCGTCTTCCGATCTGTCGGTACGATTATAGATTCTGGGACGGTGATCACCCGCCTGCCACCTGCGGCGTACAGCGCACTTCGGACGGCCTTCCGCGCCGCCATGACGCGGTATGCACTGGCTTCGGCGGTCAGCATACTAGACACCTGCTATGACTTCAGTAAGGTGGCAACCGTGACATATCCGGTGATCAAGCTCCTGTACTCCGGTCTCGAAGTCACGCTCCCGGCTACAGGGGTGTTCTACGTGATCAGCTCCGCACAGGTCTGCCTGGCGTTCGCCGGGAACTCGGACTCTACCCAGATTGGGATCATCGGCAACGTTCAGCAGAAGACATTCGAGGTGACCCATGATAATATTGCGAAAAGGATCGGGTTCTCCGAAGGGGCGTGCAGCTAGTTCTCCGCGGAGTGTCGAGGGAATCTACGAGGTCTGGAAAAAAACTCCAGATCGTTTTCTCTGATGTACGGATATTGCGTGAATCTGCGGCTTTTTCTTGTACTTTTGCTATTAGCATGACACATTCTGCGTCATCGGTGACTACTGTGTCGATATCAATATCGTTCGGTGCAATTGGTTGAGGACTATCAGCCTGTTCGACAAATAAGACATCCCCTTCGACGGCGCTTGATGCAATGGGAAATTTGGTTTGAGGGGCATGGACGTGAATTCCCGTTGGTGCACGGTCCATTTGGAATATGAATAAGGAGAGCAAGGAGTACCTTAAAATATATAAAGGTGCCGAAGGAGAAAGGGGAGCGTGTTTGCCAGGAGGACAGCGCTGTTTCTGGTTGGACTTGATTAGATTATCAACTAAACAGAAAGTTTGACCTGCGGCATTGTTTTTTGACGCACCCAACGTTATTGTTTATCCCGCGAATTACCGTACGTTCCATATAACTCTGGAATGGATTGGCCTTCAGTCTATCGGAAAAACAGTGGCTAAGCCAATGAAGGTCTTATAATATATGCTTCCTTCACGATACAATTTCGGTTCAGGATTTATTCTTTTTTGAAGAAACAATAAGAAAGCTGCTCGCAAGGAAGTAGACACTTACAGTATCTGCCGCCAGCAGAATACCGATCTTACCACTGGGTTTAACTTCATCAACTAGGCAAGAGTTCGACCATGAAAGAGCTGACATCAGGCCAAAATCATCGTGAGATGGCTGACGAGCGATGTGAAGGCCTTTAAGAGCTTCGCAAAGAATGCGAAGTATCAGGTTTTCTCGGACGTTATGGATTGGCAGGGCCGGCCGCAATGTCATAGTCTGCCCCCTACGAGAACGGTTCCCACCTTCCCAGCTCTCCCTCAAAAACATGTTCATGGTAGCGCTGGAGTTTTCCAAAAGGCTTCTACCATTTTGGGTCTCGAATTTCAAGATAAATCCATATGCGCAGCCTTGGGTTCATTTTATAGACGATTTTTCCAACACTCTTCTTTGAAAAATGTCGAGGTTGTCACTCTATTAGTTCATGGATGCCTTCTTTGAAAATCTTCTTTGGATTATGTAGATCCTGTCGGTTATTAGTCTTGGGATAGACCATAAAGATATAAATTATAGGACTAGTTGGATTATTCTTTTCTGCTTATATTGCCAAATTCATGTTGGACGACAGTACAAATATTTTTCCTTTGAATGATAGTTTCCCTCAAATATTATAACTTAAAAATTTGTCAAAAACGGTGCAGTAAAATGAGAAGACACTATTTATGAGTCACCTCACTACTAGAATGATAATTACCATCACCCTTTCATTGCCCTTAAACGTGTGTTGATACCATTGAATCCTTATTTTGAGTAATTATGTTTTGGGGAGATAAATTTTACTTGAACTTCTCAAGCCTTTATGATAACTTTTTTTTTCTTCTGGATTTTGGAAACAAAAGAAGTGACAATTATGTGAAAAGAGAAATATGATATTTAATGGTTTCCCGAAGGTCAAGGTGCATGCTGAGCACAATACTTTGATTTTTTATTTAAATAACTAAAATATTATATTTTTTATCTTTATCCTTTAATCAGATTTAGGAAGAAAAATGGTGTCTACAAGGTACTGACCTGAAAAATGAAGAAAATATGATGCATTAATATCCAAAGAATAAGTTACTATATATTCAAAAAATAAAATGCTTTTCTAAGTCTAAATCTGAATTAGAGTTTAGGTTTTGTCCTTTTATCTTAGAAAAATCAAAAGATTAAAAATATTAGGCTCACCCCTACAGCTCCAATGTTGATGCTAGGTCATTATTGTTGATTGTTGAGCTCAAAACCATCTTTACATATGAAGAAAATAAATGGAAATTATACAAAGGCCTTCATAGAGAGTATCTATCCTCCTAGTTTCATTGAGGAATGATGCTTTAAAATTTAAATAAAAATATTAAAAAATTGAGTTGAGGTTGGGTAATACTAGAACATGTGGCTCTTATTAGAGATATGAGCTTCCTAAAAATCCTTTATATATTGACAATGATTATGGTTAATTATTCCCAACATTTATAATTACCCCTTTATAAAATTCTATTGTTTGGTAGATTAAACTTGACAATCTCATGGAAACATATTTACTCTTAAGGATATATAGAGGTCTCGTGTATCTTCATAGAACATAATTTTTGAATGAAGGACCATCTTGCCCAATGAATCACAAGGGATGATATCTCTCTATAAGGAGTCAACATTGGAAACTTATAAAATTAATTTATAAAATGGAGGTGTAGAGTATTGGAGAATCAAATACATATTTTTTTGATGACGAAAAACACTTGAAAGATTAGTTAAAAGATTAGATTATGCATATTATTTATTATGCGTGTTCTATAATGTATGGAGCTAAGTTTATCTATACATAAGTTCAGAAATAGTTTTAATTAGTAATGTGAACTATCTAAATAATTCAATGAATGTAGTCGTGATTTATCATGCTCAGTTCTTTAAATCAGTATACTTTACTAAATAAATTATTATTATGTTTAAAAACACAAACACAATCAATATTTTTAAAAATTTTCATTATGAGAAATTAATGATTAACACATTTGAATAAATGATAACTACTGAAATATAATGTCACAAAAACTTATCTACTGTTTTCTCATGATGTTTGATCATTCTTGAAAGTAGTTACATATCAAACTAATTAAATCATACTTCTAATAAAATTTCTCAATTTTTTTGAAAATCAATAAATATTATTTAAACATGATTTTAAGTATTTATATTGCAAGAATAGTAATTTTACAAATAGTGAATGTGAAAATGCTGCTTGATAGGTGCAATTTCTAAGTTTTGACAATCAAATTATTATCTTATTTTGAGATGCATTATTTGTTCTATTTCAAAAATAATGAAACACAACCAGACTTGTCTGAATTGATAAATTTCAGATAAATATACATTGGTGCTTAACAATAACATGTATTCGTTTCTCATGAGTATATGTGAATCCTTATATGACACATCTTATGGGTTTCTTGACATTCAAATTTCTATGTTTAAAATCTAAACATTGAGAGAACAAAAAATAGGAAAGATTTATGAAGAAAATTTCACCTTAAGAATTGATGATGTATTCCTTAGTGTTTATATAAAAAGAAGTCAACATGTGAATGAACAAAATTTAAGCCTCATAATATCTTCCTTGACTAGATCAAGTGGTAGCATCCATATAGGAAAAGGACCATGAGAATAAAGCCTACATGATCTTCCTCTTCATTAAATTTTGTGGATATATTTTCATTCAATGATATCATCCAGAAAAGGCCTTTAACGAAGCATTTTATTCATTTTGGTGACTAAAATTTTGATTAAAGTTTAAATTAATGACTCAAGGGAACTAAAACCTTTAATTAGTTGTTAGTCACATAGAGTCATGGATCTGATATAAAATTTTGAAGTAAAATTATTTGGGAGTTGAGTCTGATGATTAGTGGTTGTGCTTGGTGAAACATGGTGTAAGATCACATGTGATCTATAATGGAATGTCAAAATTACAGCATAAGAATTATCAACTGGTTCACAAAATATGAGATGTTTAGAATAAATAAGAATGAGAATATTTCTTAAATGTTTGATAGATTTACAAAAGTTTCAAAAGATCTGAAAAGTCTAGGAATAACATATCCCATAGCTCACATGAATATGAAGGTTTTGATATCTTTAGCATTTTATTGGAGAGGCAAAGTTATGACCATAGAACAGGTTAAATTTCTAACCAAATTATCCCTATACCTATTAAGATCTATGGTGACTTGTCTGATGGATTTAACAAATGATGACATTTTTCTATAATATATGTCAGGACATCAGTTTTTTTAAAGTATATTGATATTGTAAATGATAGGAAGACTTCTATAGAAGAACATTGAGAAGAATTGGCCATATTTACTAGGTGATTAAAAAAAATCTTGTCTAAGAATGGAATGGAAATTTTCCAAAAATGGGTCATAAGTTTTTTATATTTGATTGATAGGTTTATGAATGAGCTAGACAAAGGTTGCAACATTTTTATTGAAGAAGATGATGATATCCACTTGGAATATTGATTTTATGTTGAAACCATTAATATATTGAAAGCTCTAGCTGTTGTAATGATATCTATGAAAATTAATGAGGGAAGTACAATTGATGACATCATTTGAGTTCTTGAAGTTTTGATGCTGAGTATGTTGAAATTCAAGACCACACTTTGATCAAGAAAGGGGAGGGTTGAATTGGTTGGATCCTAACTTTAACTTAGAGTCAACTCATTTAATATCTATCTCAGTTCTTTGTTCTTAAATCTATTATTTTTCTTGACTTAAAAACTAACTAACTCAAGGATTCTTACAATGATTTACTCCCCTCCTACTTTGAATTTATCATAGTACCTTGTTCTTAGGTTACACTAGACCAAGTATTTAACACCATGAATTCTTGATTATTAGGCTCAATTCTCATAACATTTTATTAAAAATTTCTTTACTCTAGGAGGCTCAACTTTAATTGCAAGTGTCATCTCCCTTAAATGATTTGACCAGAATTTAATCACGACTTATCAAAAAAATAATTAAATATTTCACCATGGGTTGCCTCCAAATATGTGTTAACTTGACATCTATGTAGAAATTTGATGAAGAGGAACATGAGTTAGAACTTGATTTTATTTTCCTCATCACGTTGGGAAGCTAAAAAAAATGAAAGAATTTTTTCTTGAATATGTTTGATAAAAGATCATTTAAGACTTGGATTTCATTCCTCAATAGGTAGGCTTCTTGTCATTTGACCCAACCAGGAAGATAGCTCAAATTCACATCAATTTCTCAAAAACAAATGTTAGAGAAAATCGCAATATAGTAGAGGGTTAGGGAAAATAATTTATAACTAGTTACCTATTAGAGAGATGTGAATTTATAA